TAATTAGGTCGCCTCGATAGGCTATCGGCAGGGTTACTTACGCCTAGCCGGTATAATATATTAAAATCGAACCTAGCGAGGTAGACGGCCTATCTAGCCTATCGACCTATAACCCTAGTAACCTTCGTAATTCTACGGAGGTTGTTATAGTCCGTATAGACCTGAATAGTGTACTATGCACTATCGAGATAGTATCTCTAGTGCTTAAAGGCCTCGATAATAGCTAGGAGCTCTTACTCGTAGGTCTCGTAGCGACGCTTAGCGTTAATTATCTTCCTCGAGAAGAAGGCAATCGGGTGCTAGTAATTGTTATTAGCCTATTGTAACATAATAGCTAATATAGCAAACTGTAAAGCGTTAGTCTCAATGCGGATCTGTTTACTTAGTACGAAATAGTGCAATAAGGGGACTTTAGTAAAGCGCCGCTTTAAACCGTCGAAAGTAGCTTGTACTCTATTAGTCTATTTAAACTCTCTAGTCGGGTTGGCCTTAGTTTTAGTAAGCTTAGTTAGTAGCATTACATACCTCGAATAGCCCTTAATAAATCGGCGATAGAAGTTAGCAAAACCGAGGAACGACTACAGCTCCTTAATTAACGTAAGAACAGGCTATTTAGTAATAGTTTTGATCCGATTAGGGTTAGCCTTAACACCCTTAGTTAATACGATAAAACTAAGGAAGGCTACCTCCTTAGTAGCAAAGGTGCATTTAGAAGGCTTGCAATATAAGCTATAGGCCCTTAGGCGATCGAGTACCTTACGGACTATAGCCTAGTATTCCGCAATATTAGGAGAGTGTATGTAAACTAGGATATTATCTAGGTAAACTATATAGAGGTAATCTAATAGGCCTAATAGGGCCCGATTAATGTAGGACTAGAATATAGTAGGGGCATTAGCTAGCCTAAATAGCATAACTAAGTACTCGAAATAGCTATAGCGAGTATAAAAGGCTGTCTTCCATTTATCGCCCTTACGAATACAGATGCGGTAATAGGCGTCCTTAATGTCTAATATAGTATAGTAGTAGGTACTAGAAAGGCGATTAAGGGTCTTATTAATAAGAGGAAGTAGACAGCGATCCTTAATAGTAACAGCATTAAGCCTACGATAATCGATATAGAGGCGTAGGCTACTATCCTTCTTTAGCACGAACAGGATAGGGGCACTAGCAGGGCTGTTACTATACCGTATCCGGCTATTAGCTAGGTTTTCCTCTAGGTACTTACGCAACATAGCAAGCTCTCGTTTACTAAGGTTGTAGAGGGGACTAAAAGGAACCTCCTTGCCCTCTATAATATTAACCTTATAATCCGTCTCTTTAAATATAGGCAATGTCGATGCTAGGTAGTGTTTAAATACATTAATATAGGTCTCTCGGATAGGCTCTAGTATGCGAGCAAGCTGTTTAGGATCTATGCTATTAGGGGGCACTAGTTTATCGTTATTACTACCGAGTAGGTCGGCAGTTGGATTAGCTAAGGCAAGAGTTAGGTTGCTAATAAACAGGACCCTAATATTATTAGGATACTCGCTAATATCGATGTGTTTAATGTCCTCTTTCCTAGCGATTCTAAATCGCTATTATTAACTGCCTAAGTCTATAACTATAGTATAGTACTTAAGAATAGGGTTGCTAATAACAATGTCGGATAGGAGGCTGTCTATGTCTACCGCGTAGGTAGTAAAGTTTAGTAGGCGTTCATTTCCGAGGTCGTCTCTTAGAGCTATATAGATATAGTAGGCTCCGTAGGTTAAGTGCCGAGCGTTATTAAACCAAGCAAGGGTTAGCAGGTTAGTCCTAGGCAGTTGTCGAAGGTCTAATTGCTTAGCTAGGCGATAGCTAATAAGGGCGCTAACTAAATTTCCTAGGTCTAGCGTAACCTTAGTCTTATAGTTAGTCCTATACGTATCCGATACGAGACAGGTACGTATAATAGCTAGTACAATATCGATAGTCTTACGTTATATAAGGCTAATAGTTAGTGCGGCGCTTATTCTTTTTTCGACTAATAAGAAGGTTAGCCTATAGGGGTAGCGTTAGCTACTAAAAGGTGCTTTCGGTGCTTAGTAGTAGCGCGGTCGATTCGGGCCTAGTCCTTAGGTTTGTCGTATTAGCCTAGTAGATAGCTAGTGCTATTACAATTGAAGCACTTTAGTCCGGTTAGGGGATTGCTATAGCTATTGCCGCTATTGTTAGCCGAACGATTAGTACTATAGGGATACGAGCCCCTTCTACGGCCCCTATCGCGGCCTCCTCTATATAGCCGTCGGCTACGGCCTCTTCCTCGGTCGTTATTACTGTTCCTATTATTAGCACTATTGTTCTAGTAGGAACCTTAGTTTCCTCCGCGGCTACGATAGGTAGCTAGGCGTATCTTAGATTCCAACCGTTATTAGAGCTATACTATACGCTCTATAGTCTCGACTTTAACTATGAATTAAATACGTATAAGATTAGTCTGTTTAAACATACGGCGGCGGTCCAATTTAAGGACTAATTCCTATCTTAGTTTTAGGCGTATTTCCGAGATCTATATAGAATTAGTCTTAGCTAGAAGGTCATCCTCGAGGGTCTTTAAATAGGCCTCAAATAAACGAGCCGACTAGTTAGTCTTTTGTTTAGCTCGAAGGTATTAGTCCTAAGTATGCTATTGTCTTAGTATCGGGTTTCTAAGAGTGTCTAGCATAATAGTCTTATAGGTTTTCTACTAAATAGCAGTCTAATTATTAAGGGAATCGAAATAGTCGTCCTAGGTGCGCTTTAGGTTACTATTAATGTACTGCATAGCGTAAATAACTAAGGAATAGTCGTCTAGAAGAGCCCTTAGTGCATTTCGCTAGTTAAGTTTATAATCACGTATGTAATTATTATACTGCTTGCGGCTAGAGCTATCAAATACGGTACAGTCTTTAAGCTTAGCATCCTTCTTTTAAATAGAAGGTCCTGCTACTAGTTCTAGTCTAGTAGTAGTTGTTAGGGCTTCCTATAGGCGGCGAATCTCGAGGAGATTATCCTTTAGCTATTGTTCTTAACGTAGGGCAGTAAGCCTGTTTTAGGTAGCTTCTTAGAGTCTCCCTACTAGTTGGGGCCTAAAGGCTAGTTAGCTATATCGACGGTTAACAATATTGTTAAGAATGTCGTCGATAGGCAATTCTAGGTCGTTATCTAGAATTATAGGTTTTTCTTTAATAGGCTCTCCGGCAGGCTCTTTAGTAGGAGGCACTTTAGTAGGCACTTCAGCGGGAATTATGCTACTAGTGTTGTTATTGCTAGCGCTGCTAGCGGCAGCACGGTTGTTATTGCTTCGTAATAAGCCGGCTATTATAATAGGGGATAACGCTAATAATGTATTGTTAGCCCCTAAGATACGGATATAGCGGAATTAGTAGGTATTAGTCTAGTACGATTGACTTAGTATAATAGGCCGTATAGAAGGCCTTGCTTAATAATTAGTACGGTTGTTCTTAGTAGAATAGTACGTATAGGTCCCGTCCTTCGGGCGTAATATAGTTAAATCGATAGTTTTCGTAGCTATACCGCTAAAAGCTTAAAATAAGGACTATCTAGCTGCTGCCCTTAAAGGGTAGATCGAATACTATATAAGAAGGGTTATATTAGCAGGTAGATAGGGTAGTAGTAGGTATAGGTAGTATTCGATAGAGATCTAAGAGAAAAGGGAGGAAGGCAGGCAAGTTAGCCTAACGCTAAGCGCTAAGCCCTGCCTAAGGCACCGAGACCCCGGCTTTACTCGGCCTAACTATATGCTAATTACGTATAGCCTCTTTAGCCCTAATAGCAGCAGAGCTATTATAATAGCTCTAGTAATATTAATAGTAATACGACGATAGTATATTATTTGCTATTTAATAGGCGTAGGTCGATATAGGCGTAGGCGCCTTACTATTAATCTACTACTACTACTACTAGTAATAACAATCTTACTAAGTATAACAACCGCGATAGGTAAGGGACTTGTTCGTACTAGGCGAGGGCACTTAACGCGTACTAGAGTATATAGCGACTAGTTTCTATACTAATTAGTATAGATATAGTTACTAACCTCCTCTGCCTTCCTTCTAGTAACCTCCGCCGTCGCTATTTAAACCTACGCAGGTTACTAACTCGGTACTTTAGAATATATACGCTATAGGCGACGGTACCTATCGATATAATATACCTTCTTTAAACGACGGTAGTTTAATAGACGTTATGCGCTATATCCTTTACTAATAGCGACTTCTATATACGCCTGCTATACTAAGCGGTTTTCGTTACTTAATAATCGCTACTTATATACCTACGCTATAGCTATTAAACCTCCGATAATATATACTATAATAGTCGCTAATCGATATATTATAACTAAGTTACGAGGAAGCGTCTACCTTTATTAGAGACCGCCGATTTCTATTAGAAAAACGGTAACGAGTATTTAATAGTAGGACCTTTAGTAGCGGCAGCGGTAGTAGATATAGTAGCGGTAGATATAGCGGTAATAGACAATAAGAGTAAGAGCAAGTAGATATACCTCGAATTTAGCGTAACGGCTATACTATACGTTAACTTTAGCTTTATTAAGTTATCGCTAGCAACCTTAGTAGAAATTACTATATTCCTAAAGCCCTTTAGAATTTAAAGCATATTTTAACTAAATTCATTAGGGGAGTTACTAGCAACTCGAGGTTGGGGGTGGGACAGGGGTAAAAGTGGGTCGAGCCAATCAGCGCGAGTTGCTGATATACAGACACCTAAGTTGTGAAGTCGAGGAAGTTGCGATCTTCAAGGATGACTCAGCATTGCTGCCTCAGGTTGCTCGCTCGCCACCTTCGCAAGGCAACATCTGGAGCTTTCTTTTGAATGTGCCAACTGTCCTGTGAACAGCTTTCCATTCGTGACAATGCTTGCCACTGACATATTGAAATCTTCATTGTAGAGCGCAACACCATTCCTTCAACAGAACATCGCAATCGATAATTGACTTCGGTCGACCACAGCATCGCCAACATGCGCTTCGACACTATTGCAGCAGTCGTCTTGGCGACAACGACGACCGCACTCGCATACTCCAAAAAGAATGATGCGGTCAAGCTCTCTCAAGTTAAGACCTTGACTCTACGCAGTGACGCCAAAACCTCTCATCGCCGCGTGTCAGCCATACCTCAGCTCAAATGCGTCGGCGGCAATGCCAGAGGGAAGTACGAAGTCGATGTCATGAGATGCACCAACTCTGGATCTGAGTACGATTCTGAAGATGTCCAATGGACGTGCAAGGCAAGCCTGCCTCCGGAATTCAAGCTGGGAAGCACAGACGTCATCTGTGAGGGCTACGACTCTCCGAATGACCCATACATTCTCAAAGGATCATGTGGTGTCGAGTACCGGCTCATGCTTACGCCAGAGGGGGAAACAAAGTACGGCACACAGCGAGCATGGCGATCGAAGCCGGACTCATATTCTGGAAGCGATGTTAACGATACGATTCCGACGCTATTGTTCTGGCTATTCTTCTTGTTCGTGGTCGGTGTGATCATCTACAGCGTCTGGAATGGTGGCCGCAACAATCATGGCAATGCTGGTCGCCGTACAGGACGCGGTGGCTGGGGAGGTGGTGGAGGTGATGACGGTAGTAACGATGATCCTCCACCACCGTACACGCCTCGAGCCCAGCCAAAACCGAAGACTTACAGCAATACCAGATCTTCAAGCTCGAGCTCTAGCAATAATCAACAATGGCGGCCAGGTGGGTCAAATCTCGCATTGCTGTGTGAACTGCCATACTGATATCAATACAACTGTAGGTTTCTGGTCTGGCACAGCCGCCGGCGCAGCAGCAGGATACGCAGCAAGCCAATTTGCCAACCGCAACAATCGGACCCGCTACGAGGACCCGCAACCAGGCCCATCAAGCTGGTTTGGAGGAGGCCGCCGTCAACCTGACTACCGAGAAACAGAACCTTCGGGATGGTTCGGTAGCAGCAACAGGTCACCTAGCTACGGAGGAGGGTCAAGCTGGGGAGGCGGCTCCTCCACGCCAAGCAGCAGTAGGCATGAATCTACAGGATTCGGAGGCACGAGGCGACGCTGAGAGCACTTTCTTTTGGACAATCAGATCTGCCACTGCAGCACTCCTTCCTCTTCTACAACGAGCCCTCACTACACAAGACCTCGATCGCACTCGAGGAAACGCCAATCTTCATCAGAAGGCACTTCGTTTTTGACCCATTCGATTGGAGCACCTCCACAACCAACCCATACAGCTCGAGTCCATCCTCCAATATCTGGACTTCGGCCTCGTCGGCTTAAAGCCAGAGCTCGAAATGTGAGAGCACTTCAACGGAGTCTTCATTCCTGACTAATTCCTTCTCAGCTGTCCTGCGATCTTCAGGTTCGAGAAGCACTACTTATGAGAGCATTACGTACATTACTAGTACAGGATACGGAGGCACGAGCAGGCGATAAGAAGACTATGACTGGAATGAAGACCAGGCGAGTGGAGTGCTTTGAAAGATACCCTTGGCCTTCGCTTATGTATCACTTGATTGAGATTGACGTGTCTAGCAGCCTTCCCCTCCCTTTCGAACCCCCGTGTGCTTCTCCAGACTGTCTGTAACCTTGCGATCGGCCTTCCTGTCTTGCCCTTCTGCCTAGACTCGTGGGTCTTCAATCTTCGCCACGATCCCTGATTCTCCTGTGGCGGGGGAGTGTGGTACTCGAAGACTGAGTGGCATCCAAACGACATCCAACGCTCATTGCACGTACGGCGGTGGCGGCGGCTCCTGTTCCTGCTGACCACCCTGTACCAGTTGCGTGACCACATCCTCTGCTGCTCTTCTGACGTTCTGTTCCCGACGTCTCTCAATCAACCTCGACACGTTCTCAGATAACCTGTGAATCGTCGCCGCATCAACCGTAGGTCCAAATCTCACTCCAACCCAGAGGTCGATGGCGTTCACGCAAGCCATGATCCATTCAACGCTTGCCAGGAAAAGCGGCATCACCACAATAAGACTTTGGCAGATAACCGTCGCGGTGCTGCCGTAAACGACGCTTTCGCCGAATGTAAGCGCCGTGCAGAACCGGATGGCTGTAGCTGCGACGACATTGACAATCGGCGCAAAGATGAGAAGCAGGCGTAGTTAGCGGCGGAAATTGAGCGATGCACGGTCGTCCGTGGAGTAGAACCAGCGTGCCGTCACGTTTGAGACGATCAGGAGCAAGTCGATGGTGAGCGGTATCAAAATTGTCAGCAGAAGCGCCAGAAAGAATCGCAGCAGGTGGAACAGGCCTTGACGTATCGTACTTCCGTGAGTCGGATTATCTGTCTGCCAGTCTTCATGGATACAGTCGACGAGCATGCACAAGAGGTTCATGATGAGCTGTGAGGAGGTGGCGATGGTTCGACCAGAAATGCGAGAAGACTTCGAACTAGAGAGGTCGCGGAAGTGAGGTTCTGTTGTCATTTGTGGATCTTTGTGGACCATTTTGCGTGTTTCACATAGTGCAGGAAAGAGGTGGAAAGTTTTTACTTCACATTCGCCATTTTTCGCCACGGCGAGATACTCGCTAATGCTAGCGAAGTCCACGGAGGTTCTGGACTTGGAGGTCTCCAGAAATATCGAAATACCTGGCGCCTTCCTCATAATCTGCTTCCTTCATTTGAAGCAAGATCCCTCTCCTCTCATTTCTAGTATACTAGATTAATCGAGTCGGTTCTAGGCAGTTAGACCTTATTTTTGTAGAGTTGACAGTTGATCGATTGGAGGTTGTGGTCTGGTAGCTGGACACATTGGAGTCTGAGTTTGGAACCAAGCTTGGCGGTCGTGAGGTTATAATTTAAGCTTTTTGAATGGCGAGGCTGCGTCTTGCTGTCTTTTTGGCTTGAGAGTTAGATTTCTTCATTTCAATCGAGTTTCCTCGCCGTATTCTGGATCATGAGGATACAGATATCTCGTACCGTTCCCACTATGGGTCGTGAATTCCAAGTCCTCAGGATTGCTCGTGTAGCTGCTAGTCAGCATGATCAATCCAAAACGATAAGGCTGAGGACAAATGTGGTTCCCTCTGGGCTTCGAGGATTTATAGGCCACACAATTTATGATCGAGCACGAGACTGCCGGTACATCAATTCTGCTGCAACAAGAAATTTCCAAGCGAGCAGAGATCATTTTCTTCAAGCACATCAAGGCAACAAAGCACTTCGTCGACGACATGGTCCGTGGTGGAAATCGACACATTCTGCCAGTCTCTTTCAACGAGCCGCCGATGTGCCAAAATCAGCAAAACCGACATTGCTCTTGTCCGGAAATGCCCGGTCTCTCCAGAATTCAGACAACCCAAGATGGCTTCGTGCAGGAAAGGATGTACCTCCCCAGCGACACAGCAAGTACCTCCGAGCATGCCATGCTTCTAAATCATGATGGACCAGAGAACTATGGTTCCGTAAATGTGGAGGTTGTGGATTCCGATTCAGCTTCAGACTCCCAACTCAGCTCGCTGCCAGGGTACTCCGAGTGCGCAAGAGATTTGCCTCCTGACTACACTTTGGGACTACGACGTCTCCTGCAAGAATTTTTCTCAAAATGCGCACAAAATGTCCGCGCCCGGTGTGCACGCGGGACTGCCAACGAAGCTGACTTAGAGAGGGCGATTACACTTGAAGAGCAATTCGTCAACGCCCGGTCTTTGAGGGCATCTCGTCCCAACCTTCATCGTCGTCGTCGGGGCATGAAATTTCTGCGACATCATCACTGGTCGCGATTCCAGCGAGCTTGGTCGGAGGAATCCTGGATGTCGGAAAGCGAAATCGAGACGAGACGCGCGATTACGTGTATGATGTTTTTTGCGCTCTGGATGATCGTGTTGGCCTTTCTCTTTGGCGCTATCGTGTACCTGAGTCGCCCTCATGGCGTCTGGATTGGAGCATAAGCCCTTCTGCTGGATACTCAATGTTCATGGCCTGCAGATCAAGATTCGAGGCTGTGCGGTCCAGGGAGAAATGAAGCTGGGTATTAATAATAGTCGAAGTCATGGCATCGGCATGATCGAAGTTGCGGCCTTTTTGAGGGTTCGAGTCGCAATCTGTAGACGGTAAGGGCTGTATTTGTAGCAATAGCTGAACAGATTTTCCACCATGAAGTTCAAAATATTTGCTCTTGGCGCAGCATGCATGTAGGAGGTCAAATTGATGCAGTTCTCAAGGCAGTCAAAGCTGTGCGTCCCCCTTGGCTGGAGCCAAGCGCCTCTGGCAGTCGAAGTTGAGTTCATTTCGATAGTCAGTACCGCGAGCTTTCGAAAGCTGAGTCATTTTGTTCCTGGTCAGTGAGGCTGTACAACTCTGTGAGAACGGCACAGAGATGAGCTCTTTCCAGTGGCTTTGTGCTCGTACGCGACAATCTCTCACCCTGTAGGTTCTGTACTGCCGGAGGTATGTTAAGTCACGCCAATGACGGTCCGCACTTAGCGTCTTCGCAATTCGTACTTATAGACTTGCAAACCCAGACCCTCTTCTTCCACCAGCTCTGTTCGTACTCACCCAACCACCCATACACTTTGACACTTTTGCTAACAGCACTGCAGCTTTGCCTTTTGGCTTAGATCAAGTGTAGTGTATGTACCGCACCTGACAAACGCCATTCTCGACATCGACTGACGTTCACCACAGATCTGTTCTTTTCAGTTTAATCTCTGAAACGTGGCTACGGCCACTTCAATGATTATACTTATTTTTGGCCCTGGATGGGTGACCGCTGGGCTTGCCTATGTCACTCGTCACCGTGTCGCTGGTATTGCACTATCTCCAGCTGACGCGACCTCTTTTTTCATCAGTTGTGTGCCAGTGGCCGCGCCTGGAGAAGAATGAACAGAAGGCAGTGGTGTGCGAGAAGACGAGAGGCTGCGAGGCGATGGGTTGGTGCGTAGACGATTGAGAAACGCTGTATACCATCAGATCAGCATTCGAGGAGTCGGTCGCGCGATGCACGACTTCACTGAGTAGTGGTTGTTATCTTGCAAACATGCTATCATGGACGGTCTAGACACGTCCTGTTTCTACCGCCAACTCGCCCGTACCTTGCACAAAGTGTGTCCAGTGCTAATCTGCGTTTGTTTGAGACAATCTTCGCGCCTGTAAATTGAGCATTGCCAGCGACTTCCACTTCAGCTACTTCATCGCACCCACCCGCAACCGAACATGTCCGTCGCGCGATTCATGCTTCTATCAAGGCTCTCATCCGCCTGAAACGACGCATGTCATACGCAGCATGCCTCCTCCCAGACCACCGCACGACCCTTTTGCGACGACCATACCAACAGCATCATCCCTGCGGCATCAGCCCTCACAAAGCAGCCTGCGATCGCATGCGAGCGCTGCGTCGACGCGTCATAATGGCCTCCTCACCTCTGCACGTACGCGACGACCTAATAATCGCTCAACACCAAGACTCGAAGACGGAGTGCTCGCGGATTCGGAATCAGATAGAGACACAATAATGGCACCAAGGCAGAAGCTGCTACAACAGCGAGGTTTTAGGCATGGCTCTCCAGAGCGCAGACATGCACGACCGAAGCCGGCGAGACAGCAGGTTGAGGACCAAGATATTGTGAACAGACAACCTGATGGTAGCTACTTGCTGGGTGCACCTGCTCTGGGAACGCCTTCTTTGATGCCTATGTATGGGTCAGGGCATGAAGATGGCGAGGTCAACCCAGGTATGGCCGGCTAATAAGACGCATCGTCATCGGCGGCAATAGTTGACACAAATCAGACGAACTTGATGCCTACTATGCTGCTACAGCAAGAAAGTACTTCACGTCAGGAACGCACATGGGTGTCCGGCAGAGCAGACAGGCAGAAGACGGTGAGCATTTTGCTTCTTCTACTTCTCCAAGTTCTTCCACTTTCCCGCAGCCCCTTATGCCAATTGCTTCGTCCTGGTAGATGTGCGGCAAGCGGCGCGATCCACTAATATCATGCAGAGTACGAACGCGATCGACCGGAAATGATGGCAGTGCTTAGACAAGAGGTGATGCACAAATTGGATAAAGAGAGGTGGTTGTATGAGCCCGGAGATGGTCTACCAACCATCCTGCCAGCATCTTGAAACCCCGTCCATCCTGCGAACGCGGGATTCTTGTTATCTTAGTCACTCAGGAACACCATGTCAATTTGGTCAATGGAGCGGTGCTGCAGTAAAGACGAGCGATAGACTTTGTGCTTGCTTTCAGGGCACACATTGGAGGTGGGCAGCTTCGAGTCAATACACGGGCCGAGCGATCGAGAAGCACGCTGGAAGTGTAATTGAGATCATTGAGTGGGATTGTACGCAAGTCTCCGAACCACCGATTCGCATACTCGGTTCAGGACTCAGGAGCACGAGAAACGAGACGCTGGCGCATGGTGAGTTAATAAGCAGAGACGTGTTGGCATTTGTACTCCTTGTGGTTGCTCCAATCGGGTCGATCGTCACAGCGTTTGGCGGAGCCAGACAGTTTGTGCTCGCAGATGCGCCATTCCCACGTTCAGAACTCCACTGCTCCCGCAAGCTTCACGAATCATCAGTGAAAGCCTCGCTCCTCTGTGCGCTTGCTCTTTCTTTTGCCCGCCATCCCGCAACGCTGGGAAAGTATGTGACTCCACTGCTCCGAACACAAGTGCGATTTTTATACATGACCAGGACCGGCCTGGGACCCTCTACATAGAGAATAGATTGGGTTTCAAAGGCGCATAATCTGTATGGCGCCAGGACCGGGGAGGAGCTTCAATGGGCCGACCCTGGCCGTTAGAAGAAGCTTGGTGGTGAATGTCCAACCTTGTCATCCTGGTTCTGTGCAGCGAACGGTTTCGTCGACCGGGAGAGGCGAAAGAAGATGTCGTCCAAGCGCTTTGTGCTTCTCAAATCTCAAGCTGATACAGTGCGGCCTCTCAGGGTACCGCTGTGCTGGATCTGGCGCATCCATGTACCTTGATGTGGTAGACAGACTCAGAGTCAGTTATATCCGAAGTACGTTCCTTGCTCTGACGTCCACGATCATCGAGGCTCGCGACGCGCAAGTGATGCTGACTTCCTCGAATGGTCCCTTGGCCAAATGCAAATGCAGAACCGACATGCTAGGAAAAGGCCTGGACTTTGGGAGGATGGCTGCACAAAAGCCTGATTGCCGTCTAAATTTCGCTCTGTGTATATGCTTTGCTAGGCTTAAGATCGGCAGCGGTTGTCTTGTGCCTGTGGCATCGGCTTCGTGGCCGGAGTGCTGGCTGTTGTGCAGTGCAGTGCAGTGCATATGCATCACTCCACCTGCAATCGCTTGTGTATGCAGTTGTGAGGCGTTGGAGACGCCGGCCAGCGGATACATGCTTTGCAGCCGTATGCGCCCCATGCCAAGCGACGTTGTTATGCCCGCTCAGGTCAGTGTAGAGCACAGTACCGAGCTGGTCTGCAACGGGTGTATGCAATCGGCTTGGCGGCAGACAGCACAGTGGACAGGTGGCGTTGGGAAGGGCGACATATGCGGAAAGCTCATGGAGTGACTTGTGCTACAGTACTGCTGTGGTTGCAGCAAGGGGCCATGGCCATGTAGCTGTCGAGGCCGAAGCAGGAAGCGAGCTGCTGCAGACGCACAAAGGTGTGAGACCGCATACATACAGCGGTAGGGTCTGAGCTTGGCTCCACTCGCTCCGGCACGCTATGCAAGGATCAGAGTCATCAGACGGTGGGCTTAAGCTCTGCACTAATGCAGCGATGGACTGGGACGCGGACCCACCCCACCCTGGCAACCTGGCTAACACTTAGATCTGTACTGTGAACGACAAAAGCCTGCCATGCCCCGTTAGACTTGAGAGGGTCGTGATTGCCGCCGCGCTCCACCAAAGCATCGCCTCGGCCACACCAACATCCCCATCCCAAGCCTCGCCTCGCCTCCCTCCTCCTTCCCATCGACCAACATCCATCAGCCATCCCCGCCCATTGAGTCGAAACCGCATCTCACCACGCCGCCCGGACTGCGTTCCGTTGTATCGCAGAGCGCAAGGGCTGGGGAAAAGTTCGTCACAAGAGACTCAGCCATACGTCGCCGTCGCCCTCGCTGTTGGCAGTCTAGCCGCCGGCAACTCACCGCCGACCACGACGACATTTGCGCGTTGCTATCGCCAACGGAGCTGATCGCAAACGCGGCACAATGTACAACGCGCACCGAGGCATGGCCCCGGGGCCGCAAGCGGGCAGCAGGTTGCAGGAGCTGCTGGACCAGGTGCGCGCGGAGTTCGAACAGCATACTCAGCGGTCAGCCGCCCATGAGCACGATTGTGAGTGTTCCTGTCTTTCGCCATACCCTATCGCAGGCGACACAAGCTCAGTGTGCTTGTCGGCATGCCAAAGAAGCACGCAGCGCCATTTTCATCGAGCTTTCCCCAAGAATCATCGTGACACCTGAACTTGATATACATAGGCCTTCACCAGATTGGCCGGACTCCTTGCATGACAGCAAACATGTGCTAACTGGTTTACGAGTAGTGCACCAGCAGATTCAGGAAATGGAACTTGTGAGGACCAAGATCTATCAGCTCGAGACCAGCCACGTCCAGATGAAGCAGAAGTGAGTCTTTCCTGCAAGTGCCCACCCAGCGGCAACAACTGACGCTCTGCAGATATGAGGACGAGATCGCGCGTCTCCGACACGAGCTCGAGCAGCGAGGTGGTCCTTCGCAAGGCCCACACGCTGCACCACCTCAACCGCAGCCTCCAGCCATAGGACACGGACCTGCCAATCTCTTCCAAGGCATCATGGCCGGCGGTGGTCAGAGTGGACCAGGCCTTGCACCTCCGCCTCAAGAAGCTCAAGGCCAGCCAGGCATGCCAGGACACATGCAAGGCCAAGCACCTCCAGGTCTCACCCAACCACCTCCTGGACCACCGCACAACCCATTCGCCTATGGTCAACCACAGCAGGGTCCTCCAGGTCTCGTTGGCTACCCAGGACAGCCACCTCAGCCCACCGCTAGCCCAGGCGCTGGAAAGCCTCGCCTCGGAGCGCCACCAGGAGTACGTGGACCTGCAACACCTCAGCAGAATCATGCAGCAGCCTACCCAGGCTCGCCACACCACGCGCGCCCAACGCCGCCACCAAATGGTCCAGGACCAGCGAACCCGAATGCATTGATTGCCCCAGACTTCGCCTATACCCCAGTTGACTTGGACCGAATCGGCAACCAGCTGTCGGATTATGATCCAGACAAGCTTCCTCCACACCTGAAGAAGCAGGGCGATGACTGGCACGCGGTATTCAACCCGCAGATGCCACGCAGGTTGGATGTTGACCTCGTCCACAACCTTCCTCACCAGAGCGTGGTGTGCTGTGTTCGCTTCAGTCATGATGGTCGCTTTGTCGCAACCGGTTGCAACAGATCGGCGCAGATCTATGATGTCAACTCTGGCAACCAAGTCTGTCACCTCCAGGACAATCAAACCAATTCCGAAGGCGATCTTTACATCCGCAGCGTATGCTTCAGTCCAGATGGACGATACCTCGCTACAGGCGCGGAAGACAAGATCATTCGCGTATGGGACATTGCTGCCAAGCAGATTCGTCACCAATTCTCTGGTCATGACCAGGACATTTACTCCCTTGACTTTGCCTCTGATGGTAGATACATTGCGTCCGGATCTGGGGATAGAACAATCAGACTCTGGGACCTGCAGGACAATCAGTGCGTCCTCACCCTCTCGATTGAAGACGGAGTGACGACGGTCGCCATGTCTCCAAACGGTCGATATGTTGCAGCTGGTAGCTTGGACAAGAGCGTACGCATCTGGGACACGCAGACCGGCGTGCTTGTCGAACGCACAGAGGGCGAGCAGGGTCATAAGGACAGTGTATACTCTGTCGCTTTCTCCCCATCTGGAGAGCACCTCGTGTCTGGATCTCTCGACAAGACCATCCGCATGTGGAGATTGACTCCACGTAGCCAGTATGCACCACTGGGCAACGCACCGCCAAATCCAAAGAGTGGCGAGTGTATCCGCACTTTCGAAGGCCACAAGGACTTTGTCCTGAGTGTAGCACTTACCCCCGACGGATCTTGGGTGATGTCTGGCTCTAAAGACCGTGGAGTGCAGTTCTGGGATCCCGAGACCGGAAAGGCTGTGCTCATGCTGCAGGGACATAAGAACTCTGGTAGGTTTATCGCGTCAATGTCTGCAAGACTACTGCTAATTTCTTTTTTAGTCATCTCCGTCGCCCCATCGCCAATGGGCGGTTTGTTCGCCACCGGCTCTGGAGACATGAAGGCTAGGATCTGGCGCTACTTCCCATACAACACTGGTGGTTTAGAACACCGTGTATAGTCAAAATATTCACTTCTGAAATACTGATGATGTCTCAGAATCTAGTAGCGCAGCCCGAGCCATGGCATTGGACTTTTATAGACCTTCAGATGTGCAAAGATCGTTCCAATTGGGGCAATCATCGCAAAATCCTATTATGATACAATCGCAGTCGCCGCCATCTCGAATCGGATCGGTGGACTGGAAAGGTGGATAAGGGAGGAGTAGTTTGGAGGGCGGCCAACGTATTGGTATATCCTGGGACTTCATGGCGGCATGGCAATGGAGTTGGGGGTATGCCCGCGGATGGGCGATGTAACAAATTCATAGGATGACAAAACGTGTATTGAAATGCTATGCGTTGTTGGTCAACGCCTTTATATACTTCACTGATTTGGGCATTAAGTTGGCTTTTGAGGCTTCGTGAGAACCTCTACTGTTGTATCGCTTTGCCCGTTCGACAGGTGGAGATTCCACTATCTGAATTATCTGGTCGTTGCTAAGATGAAGGAGCTGGTAATAGCACATGCGCGTGTGTTGATGACGTGAGCAAAGGCGCGTAAGTGAAGCCGACTTCGCGTCTCCAGCAATTTGCCCTCATGATTGTAGTACTGCGATGAACACCCCTTTCCACCTCTTGCAATCATGCCTACGCCAATTGAACTCGCTCTCACGACATTGCTACCTACCGTCTCCTTCCTCCCTCCCGAACTCCTCACCCTCGCGAATTCACTACTATCCCAATCGCGCGCCAAAGCTGCCCACCTCAAGCCCGAAGAAGAAATCGGAAGGAGTTATGCTTGCGCGCATATCGCATGTCAAAGGCTAGCGAAGAGACTAGAGCTGGATATCGACAAGCCCAAGCCGCCCGTGAAGCCAAACGTGTACAAGAAGTTGTATGCGTTTCTGGATGATGTGCTTGGAACTCCGAAGACACCTACGAGGGGAGTGGAGGGAAGGAGGAGGGATGCATTGAATGGTGAAGGCACGCCTAGCAAGACACCAACGTCAAAGAATGTTACTCCCGGTAAAAATGCAACGACTCTATCGAGCGGAAAGAGAAAACGTGCGATTGAAGAAGATGAGGCAGAGAAAACACCACGTCAGAGCACGAGTGAGGAGCAAGACATCGATGGACTACCATCATCTGTCGCAACGCTAGTGAGAACGATATGCCAATCCACTTCTACATCCAAAGCAGCACCTCACATCTTCGTCGGTGCCCGAGCAGTGAAAGCCGAGATAGAATCTCGCGCCGCACCGCCCCAAACAGAACCTGAATCAAGATCTAAAAGACGACGAAAGACCCCCCAATCTGCCAAATCCGCCAAATCTGCTCCACCACCACCTTCAGAAGTCCCTGAAACAAAACCCGAGATCAAATGGCCAGCTCTCATCCTAGCACTCCACACCATCACCTGCGCTCGAATGCGAGGCCTACCCATCTCAAACTCAGACGTCCATACCATGAAACGTGAGGCTCTAGAGAAAGTTCTCGAAAGTCATTATGCAGGAGCAGGGAAAAAAGAATTGGAAACAGATCTTGGATTTTATATCCTCGAAGCCGAAGATTCTGGTTGGTTGGAGATGGAATGGTACGAGAATATTCCTGAAGGAGGGTTTGAGGATTTGGAGGATGATGATGGGGAGGGGACGCCGAGGAAGAGTACATGTCAAGAACGGACGTCTAAGACGCCTTTGAGGAGGAAGGAGAAAGGGGGTGGGAAGGAGGGTAGGGAGGTTGAGGGAGGAGGAGGAGGAGGAAGAAGGAGAGGTAATGCTGCGGGTTTGGAGTATGGGTTGGGGACCATGTTTTCGCCTGAGGTTGATTGGTTGAGTGAGGAGAGGAGGGAAGAGTTTAGGGCTTGGAAGGAGGGGATTTTGAAGAGGATTGAAGGTATTGAGGCTGCGGGATGAGTTTATGAGTGAATGAAGGTATATGTTAGCGGGAAATGCGGGCTGTGTTTCGGCGTGGCAGCATTAGACCATGCGAGAAGAGAGACTAGCCTATCCGAGCCATACTGAGGATCTTTGAGTAAGGTTGAAGACGTCGAGATCGCATGTCATACAACAGGAGCGATGTCGTGCTGTTCAAGTTGCGAGTGTTTTTGCAGCGTACTGTACAATGCTATCCCCTTCCATGATATCCCAAACGTAATTAACAATCCTGGGTATAGTTCGCATTCGAAAGCTGCTCAAGTAGCAGAACCCATCCAACGCCTCGCTCATAGCCATAACCCATCAATGCCTCGCTCATAGCATAACCCAACAAACTTTTCCTTCGCTTGCCTTTTGCGCAATTGTTTCTTCCACCGTTCTCACTGGTTCCTGGCCTACAGGAGCCTCCTTTCGTCCCTCCGGCCTCTTTCCCTTCGGCCTCTTTCCATCGGATTTCCACGTCCCACCCGTAGCCCTCAATTTCTCTACATACGACAGCTCATTCTACTCAGCTGGCAGAGCTCCCTCGACATCCTGCTCCTCGCCATCCTCTTCCTCTTCCTCGACGGGCGCATCGAGTTGAGGATCAGGAATCACGAAATCCAAATTCATGAATCCCGTCCTCCTCAATTGAACAATCTTGACCTCTCTGCCTTGAACTTCATGCGCACCATTCCAATCGTCGATATAAGTTTCCAGTTCCCTCTCGCCTCTCTTAGCGCCCGTGAGGCCCAGATCGTCGTAGATATAGCCTGTGAGCACGCCGAGGATGGAATCGACCCATGCGCGCCAGGTCAATGGCGAAAATGAAGATTGTAGGATGGAATTGATATCGGCGATCAGAGTACGGAACTCTTCGTCTGTGACTAATGGGTGTAGTATTTCTGGGTATAGGTTCGCGTATTGTGGATACAAGTCTCCTGCGATCAAGTAGTCTCGCTTTACGCGGATTATGCGGGTGGAGATGAATTCTTCAGAGGAAGGTGCGCAGTGTGGATTCTGGTGTGGGAAGCATGGATGTTGGGGTCCCCATTCGAAGTCATCGTCTTCTCCGCCTTCGGTTGAAACGTCTGTGCGGTTTGTTTGTGGGATTGAGGTTTGGCTTCTGTGCGAGGGTAAGGCGGGGAGTGCTGGAACTGGACCTAGAGATTTGGGATCGAGTTTGGGCGTGTGGTCGCCTCGAGATTGAGATTGGCCTGATTTGGCTGACTTGAAGGACCTTTGGCTTCGGCGGCGTCTCAATGGCAGGGGCGCACGTTTGCCGGAAGTGGCACTGACTACGCTGCGGGCGTCGTTGCTGTCTTTGGGCGGAATCGGAGGCGGTTGTGAGATTGCTGTGTAGTTGACTATGGTCGGCTGGGGGACAGGTGGTATCTCACTGCTAGAATCTGCTTCTTGCACGCCGGCGATTTTGTGCAGCGCATTCATGACTTCGGCGGCCCACGTCAAGGGCTTCGTTCGCGGTCTGCTGTATCTGCGGGTGGAAAGGGATACGTTTGTGTGTAAGAAGCGTTCGGTGGACAAGATGGACGAAAGGGAGGATCCGCTGGGGCCGAGCGGGCGAAAGCGATCAGGCACGTGCATCCCTGAATTCTCCAAGCGATCTCTCAACCGCTGCTTCCACCTGGGTGACTCCATCTTCTCACTATGGCACTGCGCAAGACAGATGCATGCATCAAGAAACACATTAGCGATACAACACTCATATACACCCAATGCCGGCCCGGACCTGAAACTGGGCGTACGCTGACACACCCTCATCTCCACCGTCATCAGGCGTCTCCCATGTTCAATACTGAAACTTGCTATTGGCATCGCCGCGCAAACACGTGGCTGGTGGTGTTCGTTTCAGCACAGCGCAGCACAGACTTGGGTTGACATGCATTGATCTCTAATACATGACTCATTGCTTCCCATCGCAAGTCCGCTCTCTTTTCTGGAGGTTCAGGCACCATCATGAAGCTCTCAAGACCACGCGGCTCCGGCTATTGAAAGTTTCAATATACGAGTGTGACCGGTGCGAGCAAAATCGTGGACCGCACGAGATCATGGAATGTTGCTAGGATACCGCGTCTCTCCATACTGGACGGAGTGCGACGGCTGGCAACGCGAATATATTTGCACAGCCTGCAGTTCAGACTTAGCAGAATTCCAAAGCAAGGCCATTGACGAAGCCGACACACGTTATTCTGGCCAGACATCTCTCCGGTGCTGCCTAGACGGTCTCAATGCACGCTGTTGCTCCGAGGTGATGCAGCTTGAGTCCTCCACTTGTGAAGTTGGGAATCGAAGAAAAGCCAGCAAAGCAATCGACCAAGATCTTGCTTTATTTTATGATTTGCGGAGAACTAATGGCATTCCAGGATCGATCGATGGATGGCGATCATGTGTTTTGAGTCGACACTTATGCAAGGACGAGGTTCTTCGCGAAATCCGCCGCTGGTAGCGTACATGCATGGAAATCCGCCGGCAGCGAGTACCGGCGTGACGGATCATTGCATTTCTACACAAGGCACTCACGAATGAAGTTGCACAATCTGGAGAGCTGCGATGAATAAAATTGTGAAGCCTAGAAGCCTGACATGCTGACGTGACATGACTGCCAGGACCCGCCAAGAACCACATGCCGGAGATTTCACACGACACTGGCAAAAGCTGAGGGCTCGTCTGAATTTCACTGGTCTGATCTTCTCTGTGATCTCTGTTACTTTGGTCTGCTTGCCCTTGCTTTGCTTCGGATACAGCAAGACTGAACAGCAAACCAACGACCACCAACACCTCGATTGGTCTGATGACAGCTGAGGTAGGACTCTCCGAAACCCGACGTGTGACATGCAACGAGTCAGGATGGCATTATTTCCATACATCAAGCACTGCCATTCCAGTCTTGCCGGTAGATTACAGTCGGCCTGTGGGCTATCCGCAAGGAAGAATTGCAAGCCCAGCGGCGGCTTTGGCGAAGATCGCAAAGTATGGCAGCGCACCCAAACGAGGCGACCCACAAAGCGTGGGAGGACTCAGTTGGTATCTGACGATGCTAAGACAATCGAGATCTATACAGTGCTGCCCGTCATCTGTATAAATGTTGTGGAAAGATGCTGGTTGAAATCTAGACCAGGCTAGTCCTTTTCAGGCAATCGGCTGACATGTTTATGTCTCAGCACCTCACCTCGCTCTGCGAAATATTGACCTCTTTCCCACTGACTCCTGCTAGTCCGTTGTGCCACTAAACAGCTACGTAGCCAGGATGGCAACGTCACTACCGATGTTCCACAAAAGCAATTCGGCTACCATCTCTAATGTGCGGATGAAGATAGTCTCAACCACTCGACAGCAGAATGAGCCTCCCCTCGACGTCGAACAAAGTGCATACGAACGCTTGCGACCAATGCTATCGCCGTAAACAAGCCTGCACCAAAGAGCTACCTACCTGTGGACGTTGTCAAATTGATGGACGCAACTGTACTTACAGTGAAGCTCGAACCGCAGGCCGGCCTCGGAAAATTCGAACAGACCCACTCCTCGGGTCGACGGCAGGTACGTTGAAGCAAGGAGACACTGGAGTAATCCTCAAGAGTACGTAGATTACATGTGGTCAGTCACTACTTTCTCCAACTGCTGACTCTGAGGGGCGTCTGACAGATTCATCTTCGCAATACACCAACGATACTGCTTGCTATAAAGACCATACATCATGCAGCGTGTCCAGTAGTGCGGGATCCCTCCAAGACCCGCTGGAAATACTATTCCCAGGCGCTCTCCCGATTTCCACAGGCGGAACTCTGCACGCTGTGCGAACCGACTCGGACATCTCAGAAAGTTCCACTGGCCGTGGAATGCACGCGATACCGGAGGATGGTCTCCTTGCGCCGGCGCAAGATGCCTCGAATAGTATAGCCTCCTTTCCTGGAATTGAATTCAATGGTAATCCATTCTCGACTTCCTTCCCTGTCCCGAATCACACGGACTTCTTGGGCTCCGACGCTCACTACCAGGACATTGAAGACCTGCTGCAATTCGTGAACCATACAGCACCATATGACACTGGTCAACTGGACAGGAGCGCTGAAAGTTTGGCGGCGATTGATCGCGCGTTCGACATCTGCGAGCGACTGGTCATGTCCGAAGGCATGTACGCTCGAGAAGCTCGCTTCCTGCTACTGCTCGCGGTGCTTTCACAAGTCGAGAGCATCTTGTCGCTGAACGTACCCGGACTGCAGCTCGGCCACAGAGATACCTTACGTGCGATTATGCTCCTTTCGACGCTGGAACACCCGGAGAAATTTGGTTATCAGGATAGTGCGGACGGTGCGGTCCAACTGGAGCATTTGAAGCAATTTGCTAGCCAGCTTCGGGGGCGGCTTGGTCTCAGGCTGGAGAGATTGATAAACGATTACTCGTTGCCACCGACGATGAGTCTCTGCTCGTGAGGCTCAGACGCTGAAAAGGTCAGGTGAAAGAACTTCAGATGGACAGGATGCACGGCCGAGATATGTGTGGCCGGAAGCCTGGCAGAAGTACATGTGCGATTACAAATTTTCATATTTCCGGAAAATAGGTCATGCTGAAGGCGGTGGAACGGAGTCTGTTAGACCGTGACGCTGTGGATGTAAAGTATTGAATAGCATAAGTTCACAAAGACAGTTAAATTCGTATTAAGATCCCTTTGAAAACTGGACGAACAAGAGCGTTCATACAGCGTCCCCTACACAGCAAGGGTACCCGGACCGCACTACGCTGTAGATAGCATAGTAAATAGTCGCTTATAGGGTACGCTTTTGGGATAGTGTGTGTCCACTCTTCCGCCTCTTGTTCTGCCGCCGTATTCGGCCTGTTTCTAACTCGCTAGCGGTGCGATTAACTTTTAAGGCTCGAAGCCTATTCCTAGCTCTTTTATATAATAATAGCTTCTTCTTAGTATTCTAATGCCGCCGTATTCGACGAGGACGATAGACACTAGTCTAATATTAATAACGATGCGGTATACGATATAGGTACGCTTAGCGTAGAACCGGAAGAGGAAATAGACGAGATTAAGTCGCAGGAGATAGTCGCAGGTTGTAAGAAGATTAGGGCCGCTTATAGTATAGAATACGAGCCGAATAGACGAGACGATAAGCCGCTAGTTACTAGAGAGGTTATTAATAGTATATCGATATAGGAGACTAAATTAGACGTTAGTAGCCTTGCTTAGGCACCTAATTAGTCGAGGTTTATAGATAGTGTAAGATACACGCCTTTAGAAGGGCCTTACTACTTGCCGGAGGTGTTATTACTACCGAATAAGGTGTTCTTCGAAGGCGTAGATTATAGTAGTAAGGCCTTCGAGAAGCTAACTTCTAAGGACGTATTCGACATACCTATACGCTATTTCTAGCAGTTGTAGACTAACGAGGTCTATAAGAAGTTAGTAAGCTATACTAACGAGTATACGCGAGATCTACGCTTTAAGAAGATAAATAGTAGCAGCGTTATTAAGACCGTAGTATTAGGCGCAAGGTAGAAGAAGACGTACCTATACGAGATGCGGATCTTTATTAGAATTATCGTTTATATGTCCGCTATCTAAATAAGCGACAAATCGGACTTCTAGCGGACTAATAGATACTAGCCTTCGCATTCTATTACTAAGAATATATCCGATCGAAGGTTTAAGCAGTTAAAGAGTTGTTTATAGTATAGCGAGCCGGTCGAGTCGAATAAGGGCAACCCGCCGTAGATGTAGGTTTAGTAGTTAGCTAACAAGCTAAGGAGCCAAATCGCGAAGATCTACGTACCTAGAACTAACGTTAGCCTCGATAAAGTCCTCGTACGTTTTACTAGACGCTCTTACTATATAATAATAATAAAGGGCAAGCCGTGTCCGATTGGCTTCTATATGCTAGCAGTGTATTATACTAGCTTTATTATAAACTAGCTATTCTTAAGCCTAACCAAGAAATGGGGGTTCGAGAAGGTAAGGGTGCCTAATAACTTCGAAGGACTAGTTTTCGTCTATAAAGAGCTCTCTAAGACTTAAAAAAAGTAGCGGAGTTAGCGCAACAGTCGTACTAGAAGATCTAATAGCGATAATAGTAGATTACGGCGTAGAAGGGCGAAGAATGTTAGTGTAGGTAAGAAGGTTAACCTACCGCCGAGCTTTTACAAGCACGCCAATCTCTACGCGAATGCACTAGCGGGTACCTCCGAGCTACTTATAGCGTAGTCTATTAACCTAAAGTCTTAGTTATCGAGGCTTTATAAGGCAGTGCTATCTCTCTTGCTACAATTGCCCTTCTAACGCCGGTTCTACTATATATACTTAGACAATCTGTTTAATAATATACCTCTCTTTGCGATACTGCGGCATTATAGTATTACTGCGACTAGTACGGTGCGTATAGGCTCTAAGAGTTAGCTATAGGTAGGCGCCGAGTTTTCTACACCCTCTAGCAAGACTATTAAGTTATATCGCAAGTCGACGCGTTTCCTATTCGATATATAGCTTTGCCGGGCAATTTATAACGTAGCTGCCCCTCTTTAGTAGGACAGAAATCTAGTTCAAATGCTAACTACTGGACACTAGCTAGTAGACCGAGAACTAAGGGAACGACGGAAGCCGAGAGACACTAATAGCTATATTCGCACCTACGTACGCCCCTACTAGCAAGAAGGCAAAGAAGCCAAATATATACCTAAATACGCCGCTTTCTATAACGACTATATAGGCGGTATAGATATCTACGACCAGCTTAGGTACTATTATAGTACTTAGTATAAGGCCTTTAAGCCGTAGCACTCGCTGTTCTACTTCCTCTTAGACGCGGCTGTTATTAACTCCTATCTCCTTTACCGCAACGCCGCAATAGCTAAGAATGTAAGGGATTTAGTACTCACTTAGCAACGCGACTTCCGTATAAGACTCGCGTAGAATTTAGTCTAATAAGGAGCGGCTATATTAGGTCCTATCCGAGACGTAGAACTAAGAGCCGCTATCGAGTTAAGGTCTACTTTGCTACGGTATAGAGGTTGCTTTATAGGCGGACACATACACGTTAATTATAACGCGGGCTTACTAAAGCTACGGCGCTATTAGTTTAAGAAAGACGACGATCTACCTACTAAGGTGCCTCGCCTTAATAATAGCTATCTATATACTAAGAAACGCACGCTTGTTAGCCCTAAGAGGTGCTAGTTATACCGTCTTACTCGTACGGCTTAGAAGCTCAAATAGTAGCCTCTTAAGAAGGGTAGATCTCGAGCGTTTAATGCTACTAAAACCTGCCTTATTTGCGGACCGGAATACAACCTTTGTAAGGTATGTTTCTACGACTAGTATAACGTTAAGGATATAAGGAGCTATCGACAGGCTTAAAGGCCTATATTTGCTAATAAACTATACTTAACTTCTACGAGTACTTCAGCTATTACAACGCCGGTTTAAAGGCCTTCTACTAAGCCTAAAACAACGACAATAACAACGCCTTTATTGCCTTTACTTCCGTCGTCAAATCTACTAGATTAGCCTTTAACTAATTAAACTCGGAGGCTCTAACAACCTCTTCCTTACTTTAAGAGCCTTCTACGCTCTTAACCTCCTTATATACGGCCTACGCTTGCTACTACTGCTATATATTTAAATCTACCCTTAAGTCCTTTATCTACGCTTCTACCTTGTTAAGGCGCTTAAGAATTGCCTTAGACTAGTTACTAGCAGTCGACAATCGCTACTTTAATAGACTTCGTAGTAGTACGAGCTGCCGTACCTCTTCTACGCTTAATTTAATGCCCTTCGAGCGGAGCCTACGGCGCTAACGAGACTCTTCCCTAGTACGGAAGTGCGTACGTAGCTATTATATAAGTTAGTATCTACATTCTATAGGTCTATAGTCTATAAACCTCTCGCTTTAGTGTGCTTAGCGGCATTGTATTCCTTTACTTGCTTAGGTTTAACTAGCAAAGTTAATCTCTAAGAGTACGGCGGCCTATAAACTACCCTCCTTACTAACCCTAATCGATACCCTGTCCGGAGCGAGGTCGGCTATAAAGGAAGGCCTAATCGGCGTTCGCCGCACCACCAAAATTAACATGGAAAGTGGAACCATTAGTGGGACTAGTTCGCCAAGAATCTCCGGTCTGGCCTTCAAAGGGATGGAGACTAGGAGAGAAACCCGACATCGGCCCGAATGCACCAGCCTTGAACGGCCTTGGCAGTCCGAACAAGCATCTTTCCTCCCCTGTTCACTCTCACGAGCATGATTTCCCGCAAACCTCCGCCTGGCGTCACAATCAGTGCGAGCCCTCCTCGGAAACCATTCGTATACGATGACCCTCAGCAATCGCTCATCCGCGAATTCCAGCTTGATGTCCTCCCCGATGGCGAGGATAGTCAAAATGCGCCTCTTTCGGGCCGCATCATGAGCAACACTTTCGCATTCCTCGGCATAGAAGGCTTCACTTCAGCATTTCTGCCATCTGCACGAGAAGATACTGGATCTGTGAGAGAGAAATTGTCGGGCTCAAAAGGATATGTAGCAGTGAGTTACAGCTGGGGCAACGCTGATGAGCTCTTTCCACTTCACCTCGTGACGGTAAGCTGCGATTTGGACAAGGATGATAACGTTGTGATGAATCACCAGCCTGAGAGGAATGGCTACATCTGGATCACGCCAAATTTGAGGATATTTCTTCTCGAGCTGAGACGGCGACGAGAGCGCAGATTTCTGTGGATCGATGCCATCTGTATTGACCAGGCTGACGATAATGATAAAGGGTATCAGATCAAGCATATGAGGCATGTCTATGAATACGCGGAGGAGGTCTATGTGTGGCTTGGCCAAGCTAGTGAGATGGAGTTGGGTGCTCTCCGAATCTTGCCGAATGTGACTGCCAAATTGCAGAAGTGCGATGCCGATGCTTATGAGAACCTCGAACAGAACTTTGCTCAGGCTGGATTGCCTGATCCTACTCATGAGATCTGGAGGGCATATTCGAGCATCATGATGAGGAGTTGGTGGTCACGGCTGTGGACACTGCAAGAAATCGTCATGGCCAGTGAGCTGGACGGAACGATCGAATACAAGGATTTCTACAAAGCTCCCAACGCCTCGGTGCTATGTGGAAGCTCCACCACTATGTGGGAGAAATTTGACCACTTCGTCGAGGCTTTAGCCAAGACAGGACTGAAAGAATGGCTAATCACCGGTGAGGTTGGCATTGCGTGCGACGATCTGCACGGGATTGATGCTGTGTCGGAGGTCAGGACTGGACGTGCAAGCCAGCTGCGGTACGGCTGGGCGGTCACTATGTCAGCAACTCTACTGGCAACTCGTAGGAGAATGGCGACCAAGCCAGAAGACATGGTCTTTGGCCAACTTGCTCTTCTCGACAACGCGACAATCAAAGAGCTCGCACTTGATATCAGAATGCCGGAGACTGAAGTCTTTACTCGCTTCGCAAAGCATTACATCCGCAATGAGGTTAAAGAATGCCTACTGAATCACACGGCCACAGTTGAGAGGCTGGCTGGCCTTCCGAGCTGGTGTCCGAACTTCGCTTCCCGAGAAGAAACCATCTCTATCGGTTCTCGTTGGGTAGGCCATTACCAGGAACAAGCCTGGTTGAAGAAGCAAATGCCATGTGCCGGTCTTCAAAAGCATGGGAAATGGAAGTTGCCTCGAAGCAAGCTGTACTATGCTAAATACATCACCAATGCCCTTCAAGCGAAACACAGTCTGGACAATCAATACAACACCAACAACCCACGACAAATAGCGCTTTCTCCAGGAACAGATTGCATCATTGCTACTGGTGTCGAGCTCGACATCGTCACGCATACCGTCGATTGCAACGCAGCCGCAGAATCTGCCAAGTTCCTCGCCTACAACAGCGTCTTGCAAACTTATGCCTGGGAGCGACAATGCTTCAAGCTAGCGCATGAAACGTTCTCGACATCATCTACGTCAGCCTCGAGCTCTTACTACGATTTGTATGCTCGCACGCTGACAGCGAACCGTGTGACAATGAACCCATCTGATCTCTTGAGTCGCGATGAGGATGCCAGCGAGATCATATTCGATCGATATGAGCAAGTCGACTTCGCCGAGCCATATCTCAACCTGAGAAAATTCATGCAAGCAACCATCGATGCTGGAGAGACAATCGACCCTAAAGCGAACATGACGCGAGAAACCAAAAGATTTGCTACTTGTCTTGCGGCAATGAGCAAGAGGAGGAGATTTCTCGCTACAAGAGGTGGTAAGATTGGTTTGGGATCCTCAGATGCACAGCCTGGCGATGTGATTGTCGTGATTTTCTATTGTCCAACGCCTTATTTGATACGACGGTCGGAAACTGTGCCTGGACAGTGGCGCTTTGTTGGTGAGGTCTTTGTTCCTGGATATATGTATGGTGAAGCTTTGGACATGTTCGATCGAGGACAACTTAAGGAGTCGAAGTGGACGATAGCTTGATGGAAATATTGCAGTGCCTGCGTGAAATATCATTGTGATCTGAGAAGGTTAGCGTGTGGGAAGGATCAAGTGGGATATGGGAGGGAGGAGTTGATGAGGTTGAGGAAGGATGGGCGGAAGTATAGCGATCTCGTGCCTTGTGAATCAGGTGTAAAGTTGCTCACTCGTCTCCTTTTTTGAGCGGAGAGGAGTAGTTTCGGGATACGGCATATGAATAATTGCTCTCTCGTATCCTTACTTGAGCGGAGAGCAGTAGTGTCTGTGTATGGGGTGCCAATAGTCGCTCTCTCGCATTGATGAATGAGCCACGGATTTTCAGTAGATATCGTCTCGACGTCGGAGCCGCCGAGGATGGTGAGGTTCAGGGTGGGTTCATACAATGTCTTCAGCCAAGATGTGGTGGTTTGAACATGTCGTTCTTGGCGCTGAGTCAGCCAGGTCGCACAATTTCGCTTCAAACACGGGCTGAGAGCACAAACAACTCATCAGCAATCCCATTGCCTCAACATTGTGTCTGCACTCGGACTCTACCGGCTCAACCGGTGACGGCGACGGCGACGGGACAAGGTCCTACCTGGACATTTGTTGCACGAGCACGAGCACGGGATCTACGGCCATTCGTATCGCGACATCGAGATGTTGCAGTCTTTCGAAGGTCGAAGCCGGCGTGGCCGAATTCGCCGGTGATGATGGAGAACTATACCATTGTTGTGGAGGGCGGCGTCTGGCAGACATGGCCTTCCATGCGTGGGATATACCCTTGGGCAAGGCAACACCGAGCATCAGCGACGCCTCACTCCAGCTGGGATACGATTCCTAATAATATTGACCTGGATGGACTCTGGCGTCTCCGTTATCATTTACATACACTCACAGCGATGGAGAACAATTCCGGCGACCTGGTCAGTCCACAGAAGCTACGGCGACTAATCTCGACGACACCACATAATAACCGGCCTCCACACCACAGCTGAGATCGTCGCCAGCTCGGGAATTTCTTCCACGCTGCGTGTCTCGCTTGTTCCTGCTCTAGTCCGCCAGTCACGCTTCGTGGCTGCCCAGGGCGTGGAAGCCGCGCCGCACACCTCAAAGCTGGGAGCCGACGTTGATTGCCCACCCACGCTCGTCGGGCGCCACCGACTCCAATTTGCAGCATTCCCATGCATGGATGCGACACCAAATACATACGAGATGACTGCCATGGACCATTTCTGTTATTACGGATCTGCTATGTTCATCGAAGCAATTGCACCGCAATGATCTCAATCCAGACATATGGCCACTCCACTTGGCTTGTTGGCTCGCGTTAGCTTCAGCTCTGCATTGCCCTCTCCCTGCAGGCGTTCAGCCTCGTGATGCCTCTTCGGTTGAGACTGAAAGCAGATTGCTCGTGAGAGGCGTATGATACATGCAATCGTGAGCTTGGCATCGATCACCCTGCGCTTGTGGAGCAAGACCTGGAGTGGCTGGCGACGGATCGAACCTTCGCACATATCCGACTTCCCGAACCACACCTCACATCCCCCGTCCCGCAGAGCCTTGAGCTTTGAGCCGCGATATCACAGCTCCATCTCGATCCCACCATGTATCCAAGTCGCTTTAGACTTTCTTCGCTTCACACGTCCCGCCCGACTTGATTCGAGCTTACCTTTCTGGTGATGGACGGCTGCAAGATGCATCTCTTGCGGGATAGAGCTGTTTCCACTGCGTTTTCGTCATCCGAGATGTATATAATATCATCGGTAGCACGATTGCTATCCAGAGGCCTGGTATGTATAGGCGGGAGCTGTTCCCGTCTCAATCAGCTTCAATCCTTTTCGTGAACCCCAAGCTCTACACATCCTTGAGGTATTCATCTGCCTGACACTGAACCGCTTCGATTGCGCACTCGACTCCTTCTGACCGCTTCCTCATCACCGTGCGAGCCTTCGAGCTCCATCCCGCCCTACAATCCACAGCACGATGGCCGATGTGCTTCCAGCGAAGGCGCCTAGCCAGCTTTTGCAACGACGGCTGTCACAAGCACATTTCAATGCAATGCAAGTCCAAGGCATGATGGCACAGTTCAACATGGCCTTCAGACCCGACTCAGCAGCTACCATCCCCTTACAAATGCTCCAAGCACAAGAGCAACAAACATTGGCCATGCACGCGGCTTCAGTAGCTCCTAGCGAGCTTCTCAACACTCATCCAGCACAAACAATGAACAACTCAATGTACATGGATCACTCTGCTTTTCAAAACTCTTACAGCATCCCAGTCGGCATGAACAACGCTACCTTTGGGAGTCTCGCCTGGCCTGCCTCAATAGTCACCAACCCGAATACCATGGCGGTGCTGCCTTTAGTCCGAAATGAAAGCTATAGCAGTGTGGAAGGCAGCGAACCCAGTATCAAGACTGAAGACCGGTCTCCGATTCACCCTTCTCAGGTCTACTTCGATGCAACTGCGTATGCATCAAGCCCAGAGTCGCAGACAGCGACGGATTCATCAGAAGAGACGAAGCCGGTTGTGTTCTCGACTGAAATTGATACTCTCATGAAAGCTATACAGATGAAGACGCAGCCTGCAGAGCAACGAGAAGCACCAAAGCCGAAACCGGCGGCGAGCAATAACAGAGCAAAAAAGCGATATACCTGCGATGTACCCGATTGCGGCAAAGCCTTCTACCAAAAGACCCACCTCGAGATACATACACGAGCACATACAGGCATCAAACCGTTCCTCTGTAAGGAACCATCCTGCGGCCAAAGATTCAGTCAACTTGGTAATCTCAAGACACACGAACGAAGGCACACGGGAGAGCGACCTTATCACTGCGACATCTGCGGCAAGACTTTCGCGCAACACGGCAATGTTCGTGCGCATAAAATTGTGCACACTGCTGCCAAGCCGTTTACATGCAAGCTCGACAACTGTAACAAGCAGTTCACGCAGCTGGGCAACCTCAAATCTCATCAGAATAAATTCCATGTTGAGACGATTCGACGTCTCAAGTCTCGGTTCGAAGATATCAAAGCAGGCGACGTTGTGGAGAAGTGGGAGAAGGATATGTGGGAGTACTTTGCAGGTCTGTACAAGAACTGCAACAAAGGCATCAAAGGCCGAGGGAAAGACCGACGGATCAGCACTACTTTGCTAGGTGCGGCTCAGAGGAGGGATAGCATGGTCTCCGCAGAATGCTCAGGCGGAGAAGGGCTGGCAATGCAAGCCAGGCGAGATTCACTGACTGGCACCATGCACCAATAAGCCAAGGCGATTCATGAAGAGGTGTGATGGATGCTTCGGCAATATGGGCGGTGTGTTGGCGGGCACATTTGGGAGCGCGATGCGTGACGCGATTGAGATACCCTAGCAGACAGACAAGAAGACTGTATACTGCTGTTTTCAATTCAAACTACAACCCACGAAACAATCTCAAATGCCATTTTTTCACTTTTGAGTAAAGCTCATGACAAACACTTTTCCATCCTCTCTCGCGCCGCAACATGTCGTCCACTCACACTTTCTTTCCACCCACATCCTTGTCGTCATGCCGTAGAATACCCGTTGACCCCTCACTTTTTGCGAAACTTTCTTGCAGAGCCGCGTTTTTCATCCCACTTCACTTGTGACACTGTCAAGGCAAGGCAACAACATGTTCTCAGTTGTGTGATAGGACTAGCTAGCTAACTGACCGGGGTGGGATCCTCCTACGTTTCTGTTTCCGCCTTGATTTTTTTTTCGAAAATTCGGGCTTTTTATCTTGTTCTTGTTTTTGATAACGAGGGTAATAGTTTGTAGGAGATAGGAAGGAAGAGGAGGATACACGTATAGACTTAACGTTTCGTTCGGAGATCGGCTTCTAGGTATAATAGGAATCGATCTAAGTATAGACTCGAGAGGTGCCTGCCTACTAACCGCTGCAGTCTCTAGGTAGTAGTCTGCTATTTCTATTTAGCCTTACGACGGGAATAATTATTATAGTAGCTAGCTAGCTAGTAAGCTTGTAAGATTGAACTTCTCTCTTACGATATATAATAATACTACCCTCCTTAGTAAGGTAGGAATTAGAGAGAAGAAAAGAAAAGGAAAGGGAAAGTACGAGTATTAGTAAAATCTTTAAACAGAAGCCTCCCCTTCTTCTTCTTCTTCTCTTACTATAGCTTCTGCTATACTAACCTTCTTTAACAGGGTGCATTGCAAGAATAACGGTTGTCTGACTTCGAAATTTCCAGCTCGCTCGTTATCTGTATCAGACAGACAGATAGATAGACAGACAGACAACAACCTTGAAACAGCACAAGGACATAAAGCAATCGCACCGCATGCTCTCCACTTTAGCTTTCTCCAATGCTCGCTGAAGAACATCATGCAAAAGAAGAGCAAAGCAAGCAAGCGCGCTGACATTGAGACCTTCTAGAAAAGAAATCCAGCCACCAAAAGGTCCTACTGGAAGGAAGATTTCTTCGGCGGGCTGCTGCTGCTGCTCTGCTGTCTCCTTTCTTTCCTTCCATGACGCCGCATGCGAGAGGAGGTATCTGTACATCATAATCCAACGAGATGCATTATGCATGACACCGCAAAAAGTTTCACGCCCGCCCGATCTTAATGCCATTGAGCCTTGCCATTGTAAGGCCTTGTCCTTGCCTTCAGCTTTTCCTTCCTTCTGTATCGCTGCGCAAAATCCGAATTGATGCATGCATGCCAAGCACGAGAAAGATGTTGCTTCTAACGGATATTCAAGCTCTCATAACGCACCCAGTTGTTTCGATTCCTGTTAGGATGTTCGAGACCAAGGTGATCTTCGGGGCCGATTTTTTCGGAAAGAATGTCATCTATGAGCAAAATTAGTATGTGTTGATCGGATCGCGTGCACTGAAGTAAGGCTTACCGTCATCGATCCAGACAGGTCTGCTGTAATTCTGGCCCCCCTTGACCACAGCAAACCTGACTTTCTCAAAGTTCTTGCCTTTGATGCCTGTTCGCTTGGATAACCGTTCTTTCGTCTCCTTGAAGACCTCGCCATCCTTCATGAGGAAGACAAATGGTATGCCATGTGACTTTGAGGGTTCCTTTTCGAAGTGCATGCAGGAGAGCAGGCGGTCTCCTTTGGCCGGATCAAGCTCTTTTTCTTCCTCTGGCACCTTCTCTGCATAAAGGCTCATGAAATCGTTAAGTGTCACTATGCCTTGAGTGGGCGTCAAAACTTTGTAGACCTTGTTGCTATGCACCTCGTAGAATCGAACCGCGACATCCTCGGGGAGTTGTAGTTGCTTTTGCATCACTTCCAGGACAGCAATGAAGTTGGATTGCTTGTGCACGAGGAGTTCGACAGGCTCCTCTTTGGTAATGCCTTCGGAGAGCCACGTCAGCTTGAGCGTCTTACGCTGTTCAAGATCCGTAAGACTCATGTCCAGGACTTCGTAGAAGAGGTGATCTGCTGATTGCGTTGGCGCATACGTGTATCCACCGTAGCCAGTGGAGCCGAAAAGGATGGTGTTCACTGTAGCTCCTTGCTGCCGCTTCACCGCCGTCCGTGGCTTGCCTGATTGGATATTCGTGGTCGTAAAACGAATGTGTGAGGGATCCACGGGCGTTTCGTTGATGGATGAAAGGTGTTCTGCGACTTTGCGGGCGAGTACATCGTAGCCGTCCTTCTTTGATAGAGCAAGGGAAAATCGCTGATCTTCCTCGTTTCGCAATCTGAGATTGGCAAGTGTCTTCGGAGTGAAGTTGACGAAGAGTCGGTTCATCAGGTAGTCGTAGAACTGGTCCGCTTTCAATGATGCGGTCGGGTTCGTCTGTCTCATCGCCACAATCTCCGCTTCTGTCAGCGAGCGTTGGAAGCAGATAATGTCTCCGTCCTGGATTTCCGATGCCACAAGTGTATTCTTCGGCTTCATCGGCTCGATATAGTTTTGCTTGATTTCTTCGTAGAGCTCAAGCGCGACGCCGGGTTCCCATCCCATGATGTTCATGATGTGAGGCACAAGGTCGACGGCTTTCTCGAGCGGATACATGTAGACGTGGCCGATGCCTTGAAGTTGCTGCTTGTCGACATCGAAGTGTTTCAGGAAGAGGATGATGGGCTTGTTGCTGTGCGGTTGCGCACCATTCACCATGGGTGCTGTTGGCAGCTGATCGCTCTCGCTGGGCCATTTGGGACGTCCGTCCTCGTCGCGTGTCGTTTGCTCAATGAAAACTCGGAAGCCTGCCGAACGCGTGCTGAACTTGTCAGACGCTTCTTGCAAAGTCATATCTGGCCAGGACAGCGGCTGGTCGGGCCGAATCGTGCCGTTCTGTCGATTCACCATGACCCATGGCCGGATAAGGTCAACGTCAACACCGAGATCCTTTGCCATCATGGCTGTGAACTCGCGAGCAGTAGTTGACTTGAGAATGCGATGGCTCTTTGGCGCTGCTGGGTCGTCCGGACTGTCCGGCGACCACGGAATCAGATCTACACCTTGGTAAGCCTTGAAGTTCTCCTCCGATGCCACCTGAACGGTCATGTAGAGATGCGCCTCTTCTCTCTCCTTTCTCCGCCTTTCTGCGAGCGCGCGTTCTTCTGCGATCTTGGCCGGGAGGTGCTCGGGCGGCTTGACTTGATCATCTGGCAGAAGAATCTCGTCTAACCGGCTTTCGCGGATGTAGACCAACATGTATGCGTTGTTCGATCGCTTCGTACTCCACTGGCGCGTGTATGGATTCTGGCCCTTCGCCACGCCGTTGGCATTCTGATAGTCACCACCGAAGTTGTCGTCGATCGCTTCGCGCTTTGTCGCGCGCGTCACTCGATCGTCGTCAAAGCGGAAGAATTGGCCGTTCTTCTCGGGCTTCAGGAAAGCATAGTAGTGTCCAGCGTTGAGGTCTCCAGAGTGCACCAACACGCCATGTAGATGGTAGACATATGGTTCCGACTTGTCTGCAGTCTCGTCCAGATATGGCGATGCATCGAAGACCTCTGGAAATTCGTATCGGTCGTTGACCTTCATCATCGCATCCCGCTGGAAATCGTACTCGAATCGCTTGAGCTGGAGATGCAGCACATTAGGGAAACTCTCGAAAATGACACCCTTCTTGGCATCCTGCAGGCCAAAGCCCTCGGCCGCGTACTTGTTGTCGCCTTCCAATGTCTCCACTTGGATGTAATCTCGGAAACTGTCATCGAGACTCCTGCATCCCGAGACGTTGAGCTGAAGGTCCCAAAAGTCCTCAATCCGGCTCGACTCGTATTCCACGTTGATGCACTTCAAGTATGTTTTCATCTTGCCCACGAACATGTTATTGAGTGCGTTCTCCGCCTCTGTGCCTTTCATGCGCGCCTCCAGCTTCTCCATCAAGATTCGAGAAAGCTCCTGCACATCCTGCTGCTCGAATATTTGCCTGCTCTCCCAGCCAAAGGAATGGGTGAGCTCCTGCGTGCCGACGGCCACTGAGTCGGCCTGGAGACGGTAGAATAAGCGCTGTAGGCAGTATGCAGAAGCCGATGCTTCTCGATCGGCTTGGGTCTCGGTAGGAATCTGGTAGACGGCTTTGCGGAAGGCACCGGTGAGGTATAGAGACTGGAGCAGCGAATTGAGATAGCACGTGGCGCCCTGGTTGCGTAGACCAACCATGCCAGTCTCTTTCTTGCTGTCGTAATTAACGAAATTGTGCCATAGCACTCCAGTGGGGTCCTTCAGCACGCGCACATATGCGGTCATGCGAGCGACGCCATTTTCGACGAGCGGCCGTGTGTGGTTGTCGAATTTGGAGGCAAATATGCGATTCTTGTCGGCGAAGCGTGTGAAGCCCCAGTCGCCCTCGTCTGCTGTGAATCTATGGTTCGCCTCATGATGAATGTATATTGACGGGTCGTTGGGGTTGGACAGCACCAGCATGAACTGGGCACATGCGTACCAGTCCTCTGGCGGCTTCTGGCCCTTCTCCTCCTCAAAGCCCTGTTCGAGATAGAAGGATACACTCTCCGAAGCGGAATTACCTGCTGGAAAGAACAGCACCCGCCAGGGATGGCCAGCGCAGTGGAAGACTGGGCCATGTGTCCGCTTGGGCTGCTTTGTCCAGTCGACGATGTCCCATGTGTGCCAGGCTTCAGCTTCTGTCTCGTAGTCTGGCGATGCCGGCATGAAGCGGGCGAGCATAGCGTCGTGGTCGTCGGCGAGGGGTTGGGCGGGCTCAGATGCGGGATCGGGGTCGGCGTCGGCGTCCATGCTGTCGGCGTCGTCTGGCGATATGATGGCGACGTTATCGGTGTCTTCGCTCGGGGTCAGGCGCTTCTCGTCGTAGTCGGAGTCTAGTAGCATGTCACTTCCTAGCTGTTTGGCATCATTACGTCAGCCTTGTTTCTGATTAACAACGAGGACAGCAGTAGCGCATGCGCATACATGCATGTGAGTTGTGACGATGGATGTGCGTAGCCGGGGGGGGGCACGGAGCAGCAGGCGGCAGGCGGCAGGCGGCAGGGCGGATTGTAGGGGGGCGGTATGCGGTGTGGGAGTGGAGTGTTGGTGGAAGAACAATGGTGTGGGAGCTTACATTATCCATTGCCAGAGCCAGTGTGTGCGCAGGCTGCAGCTGCAGCTGCTGCGGCGAAGGGGGGTGCGTGTGCTGCGGGAAGTGGCTGCAGACACTGCGCGCCGTTCAGTCCAGGTTTGCTGGATGGGATGTCTGCTTGTGCTTGTGCGTGCGCGTGTGCGTGTGCGTGTGCGTGTGCCGGCGATGCGATGCGCGTGGGCAGGCGGCGATTGTGTGTATGTGTGGGCGGAAGCAATGTGTCGGATGGGGAGGAAGGCGGCAGGCAGGACGTCTAAAATGCACTGCACTGCGCAGCAATTGCTCGATGAGGTGAAGGCAGCAGATGAGATGCGGTGGAGTGCAGTGCTGGCCGCTTGTCTGCTAGAGTCTGGAGAATGACGTTTTGGCTTTGGCAGGCGACAAAGGCGGCTGTCACATTGTGGTGTGGCATGGCATGGCAGAGACGTGTGCCTCAGGAACAGCACAGCGTCAGCCCCACCATCGCTGCCCTCGAGCTCGTAGACAGCTCCGGTTCCATGTCTTGGCATTGGTCGGGATAGAATATCTGGCAGCCCGTCGGCCGTGGTACAGTACATCGTCTTCACGTCCACATCGACTCACCCCTTCTCTCCCGCTGCTATGCCATTATCCCTGAATGCCCGCTCCCTGCTCGCACTACCGCCAGCCATCCGCGCGAGAGCCTTCGCCACAGCAGCCTCGCCCACAATCAACGCGCTGCATCCCGGAGCAGTGCCGCCGCCCTGCGGACCGTCAAACGCCCTCGACGAATGGGTCGCACGAGAAGCCAGACCCATCAGTCTACGCCAACTGACCTTTTTTGGACGAACATTGACCGAGAAGCGGCTCATCGAATCTGCCAACTATGTTCGTGTTGAGCTGCCAACGCGCATCGCGCACAGGCTGCGTAACATCCAAATGTTGCCATATACCGCCGTGACCAATCAGCACATCAGCCAAGTCTACGCCCTGTACCACGCTGCCTTCGAGCGATTCCGCAAAGTGCCCGAAGTGCGCACTCTTGAAGACAATCATCGTTACTGTGAGCTTCTGAAGCTCACGCTCAACGAGCACTTGGCCGTCATTCCGCAGCTTGCCATCGGAATTCTTGAAATCCAGGACTCAATCAGCAGCGACGAGTGCGATCGCTTCATGATCAACCTTTTGCGATCTCGAATCAGTCGTAGGACGATTGCCGAGCAGCATTTGGCTTTGACCCATACCTTCCACTCGCTCTGGCACTTTCCCGGGAAGTCGACCACATCACCCGACGATGAGTTCGTTGGCGAAATCTTTCTCAAGTGTAATGCCAAGGAGGTTGTTGAAAAGTGTGCCAAAATGGCCAGAGAGCTCTGCTCCCAAGCATATGGATCACATGTTGCCATTCCTGACATCGTACTGCAAGGCCATCTAGATACCACTTTCCCATATGTCCCGTCACATCTCGAATACATCATCGGAGAGTTGTTGAGGAATAGTATACAGGCCGCAGTGGAGCAGAGAGGACTGGAGAAGCCGCCGCCGATCGAGGTACTGATATGCGGAACGGCGCAGCATGCCATTATCCGCGTTTCCGACCAGGGAGGCGGTATTGATAGGGACATCCTGCCATACCTATGGTCTTTTGCCAAAGGTCCTCGACGCAACACCCGTTTGCATAATCTGGGCCAGGTACCGAAGCTAGCAGGGACTATGCAGGAGTTACGTCCTTCACCAGCCGACGAAAGCCATGTTCCCAAAAAGAGAGACAGCTCTCTGACGACACTCTCAGAGCGACCGCCTGATCTGAAGCTGGGAATGGGCCTTCCAATGAGCAAGATCTATGCAGAGTACTGGGCTGGTTCGCTAGAGGTGCACAGTCTGGAAGGCTACGGCTGCGATGCTTTTCTGCAGATCAACAGGCTGGGCAATCAGAATGAGAGGCTGAGCACGAGGGCTGCCATGGATGCTCTGTGATGCAGTGGATGCCCAGGTTTTGGATCGGTTTTTCTTCGCTAACCAGTTGCGTTCACCTTTGGAAATGTTGCAGTTTCAAAAATCTCATGTTGAGACGTGACCATGTCGGCCTCGTCTTTTAGATACTAAGCTGGTGACCACAAGTGCCTCCACAGGGTGCATTGCCTGCAAGCGCCCCTCTGGGACGGTCGATGTTGCAGAATCGCTCTTGCCAACAGACTGGCTGCGACTGGCAGGAGCCATCACAGCAGGCGGATGATCAGCGCCTGCTGATGACTCTACATGTACGTATCCATCGACTTCAAATCCCGACCTCGAAGAATGAGCAACGAGCCGCGCACAACACATCACTTTGGCAAGCATCAATATCAGCAGCATGGCATCTCCCGAGGTTTGGACATCCTTGCAAGACACGGCTTCAGTCCCGATCGCGTTGCTCATGATTATAGCAGCGACCAGCAACCCGTGCGAGTGACGAAACGACCTTGAATGGAAGCGATTCGGACTCATCATCACGCCACCAGGTGGCGCAGTTGGAAGAGCTGTATCAATTTATTCACGATCGGATCAATCTTACTTCATCAGGAGCACAATGGCCACCCCGGAGTGATGCGGTAAGTAAATTCAAGCTTGAAGCTCCACACATTGGTCTTTGGACGACTCACTCGCGAGAACCATACTTCGCTCTGCGCGTGGAAGACAGCACTATCCTCTCCAGATCTGTTTCCAGAGTATTTGAATTTCGCTAATGATTCTACCCATTTCCTACAGATAGAATGCTGGCATCCCTTCCACGCCGCATACAATCGAGCGGAGAAGAACACCGATCAGAGACAGGTGGACGTGGCTATGGCGGAAGTTGTGCCCGGATCCTGCCCTCGCATAGTGGCAAGCTCACACGCCAAGAATGGTCGGGCCATCGTCTATGACAGAGACATTACAACGACGTGGAGGCTTCCGGACGTTCGGAGTGGATACGAAGTTTTGTTCTAGGAGAAGGCGTTCGAGGATGCGATTAGTCGTGAGACTTTGTATGCGACTGTGGAGGCTTTTATTGAGAGGCAGGGACCGGGTATCAGTGAGTAAAGCGTTGAAAGCATTGAAAGAAATGCTTACGGTCCATTCGCAGTGGAAGCTCAACCCGACGAATTGATGCGAACCCTGCACGATTTCCTCGCAGGACTTGGAACGCAGCCCATGACGATCACGGTCTCGAGCATCGTTGAAGACATGAAGGATCGCATCGAACGGCAGCAGCACATTGGCAATCATCAACTTCATTGGAAATCGTCAGCGGACTTTGAGACTGCTCTCGAAGAGTTCTGCCTCGCTCAACACTGCTGGTAAGTGTAGTTAAGACACCTCCGGGACGTGGAAGTGGCCGAGATCGCGATGTTTAACGCGGCAGTTTAAGCTGTCGCTTGGCCAAACACTTGCTGAGGCTTTCATCTAGGAACTACTCTCCTGGACGCTACCCAACTGTTGAGGTCAACTTCTCCACGCTAGCCAGAACTCGTCGAGACCATCGCATTACGCTACATCTGCACTACAGCTGGAACCCTCCCGTCATCAGTTTTAACGATCTGCAAAACGTGGTTGCAGAGACTCAATGCTTCGTTCTGAAGCCAACAATCTCCTCACAACGACCGTTCTCATCCATGTCGTCCGTCGAGATTAAGTACTTCGCAGGGCCATCAGGAGACTGGCTACATTGGATCGACGAAGACAAGTGCTTCCGCGGTCGAGTCCCATCCGTAATGGCTTCGCAAATTGGAGCTCAACGCCAAGACGTCTTCACCATGCCCCTAGAGCTGAGCGCGAAAGTCACGAAACACTATTTAGACGGAGTCCGGCATGAGACCTTTATGCGGTGCGCTATGCCGCTTACTATGAGGAGGCGGCCAGATGCCTGCAATCAATTGGGAGGCGACCAGTCACTTCCCTCTCCTCTCCGAGGACTGATCTCAAACAAGCGGCAAACGCCTTCCGTGCGCATGCGCGATCTGGAAATGCACATGCGCCGTGACATGCAACTCGAAAGTCCGAGCCCGTGCAGCAGTCTATGGAGCGACACTGCCGAGCGGCCAAGAACGGTTATGCGCACACCACCACGTTTCACAACTCATATCAATCGTCGTGGTGAGCTGGGTGATGCTTCTGATGAGGGCAGTCCACTCAAGAGTCCAGTTGCAGAAGATATCACACCGGACCCTCCAACATGGATGAATGTTTTTGATGGAATGGAGGTCTAGGCAGGTAGGCCGGTTAGCAGAGTTATGGTTGATTCAGAGGCATTAATGAATAGCATGAGCTATGTAGGTCTGGAGCTGTATGACACAGCTGGTATTGAATTGAATTGGTATCATACGTGCATTATTGTACCATCTCCCACGTCTACCATCTGATTCGTGCAGCAAGAGCAACGCCACAAGTGCAGCTACGCCACAATTCACAAGAGAATCGAATCGAGAGCGGCATCGGCAAGGCAAGGGCGAGAAAGAAGCTTGTTTCCAGTGACGCAAACGCGTCACCTGCCCTGACATCCTGGACAACAATCTTTCGCAAGCTTTATTACTATTGCTGCGCCATGAAATCAAAACTCGCGCGTTCTCTCACCTCAAAAGTATCACGAAGACGAAGAAGACGAACCCGACCATCCATCGACTTCATCCAAACACCAACTTCTGAACTCACAATCCTTTCCCCGCGACCAGTCGAGTAGGAATCCGACCCAGTCCTCGAAGAAAAGTCCAAGCGACAAGCATTGAAACGACTAATACCCCAACGACTCTTCCACAAAAAGAAGAAGTCGCAGTCGCAATCGCAAAAATGATCTCAGCTATCATCCTCATCATCCTCACCATCTTCCGTACGTCTCTCTGCCCCACAAATCCACCACTTGTTGCCAACTAACTAACCCTTTTCTTTTTTCATCTCTAGTCCCACCCATCGGCGTCTTCCTCGTTGCCGGCTGCGGCGCAGACCTGCTCATCAACATCTGTCTCACAATTCTGGGTTTCTTTCCCGGACATATCCATGCGTTTTATGTGGAATATGTGTATTTCCATCGGAAAGAGTTGGCGCAGAGGGGGATATACGAGGAGAGGGATGCGCCGGGGGTTTTTAGTCGGAAGGCGAATACGGGTGGGTATGGAAGGGATTATGGGAGGGGTGGTGTGGATGGGGTGCCGCCGCCAGCACAGCAGGGGTATTATGATGCTGGTCCCGTGAATGCGCATGCACATGCCCAGGGAGTACCGCCGCCGCCGGCTTATGCGAAGGCTTGAGGAGATGGTGAAGAGTGATTGTATGCGTTCCATGGCTTGAGCTACAATTAGACGACATTGTACACGATAACCTAGGCAAAACGGTACTGCGAGATGCATGAAATTGCATGATCGAAGACATGGACCTGATCTGCTTCATTGGCGTTGAAGCGTGTTTGAATCTCTCCAGGGCGATCTTTGGCGATATGAGGATTTGCGACTGCCTCGCTGTTTGGGAGGTGCACCTGCCTCAGGTGCGAGCGACTTCCCGCGATCGCTGTAGGCAGCACAATCTGTCTCGAATTTCGATGTGGTCCTGCTCATCCCATACCATATGGCTACGCCGGGCTCTGGCACGATGGACTCGCGATCACGTACGTTGAGTTCAACATTCGTGAGAGACACATCACCCTCACTTCCTGCTCTCACGCAATCCGCTCGGTCGCCACTCAATCTCGAGCAGGAGTCACGCGTCACTCAGAAGAAGCGCTCACGCTCGCCGTCTAGGTCGAGCCAAGCACCATTGAAGCGAAAGAGGTAGATACTCTCCCTCTCCATCTCGTCAGGGCACTGACAAAGTCCCAGACTAGACTTCACCAGCGAAGTCCAAGTCATCGTCGGCCAAGACCAACAAGTCATCAACATCCCCAAAACAATCCTCACCAAGTCCTCAAATTTCCTCCAATCCACATGCTCCGAGCTTTCCAACCTGGAAGCAGACGCCAAAATCAGACTCCCCTGGGCTCTCCCCGAAACGTTCGCAATCTATCAACAATACATTTATACCGGCGACGTCGTGATCCTCGACATAGAAGAGGAAAAAGACGACGCCAAAGTCGAATCCTTCAGAAAACTCATGACTGCTCTCGTCCAAGCCTATACTCTCGGCGACATGCTCGCCGATCCGACTTTCAAGAACGGGCTTATGGATGTGCTGATGGAGGAATATACACGTTTGGATCTTTTACCCACCGCCAAGGAGATTACGCGTGCGTATACTGCTACGTTGCCGGGTTCGCGGTTGAGAGAGGCTTTGGTTGCTATGTATTGTTATAGGATTGATATGAGGTGGTTGGAAGAGCATGCGGGAGTTTTGCCGGCGAGGTTTTTGTCGGATGTTGTTTGTGCTTTTGCTGGGGCGCATGATCGGGGGGTTAGGTTGGGGGATCCGGTGAGGATGCAGAGGTGTGTTTTTCATGAGCATGGGGATGGGGATGGGGTTGGGGGTTGTGTTTGATGATTACGTGTGTGTTTGGGTGGGAAAGGTGTTTGGGAACTGGAATCGCTAGATATGCGGACGCCACAAATGACTGTATGATCGATCCTGAGAAGTCATTCTGAGCTAGGCACTCAGCCATATGATACCAAGCTCAAGCGTCTTGCTGATTATTTCGATCAAAGCTATTCCACACTGCCGCCGACGAAGTCTACAAGTGTTCCGGGAACGCTTGGATATGTTATGTGTATGTGTCTTGAAGGTCGTCTTAGAAAAGCAAATCATTCACATAGTGGCTTGTGGTGTATAACCTTAAGAGCTTGACCTTCTTTACTTCTACATTCGAGATATGGACAGTTTCGTCGTTACGGAGCTGAGCCGCAATTGAGTCGGAAGGTGAAGTTATTTTAATCTATATATATATAACTAGGTCGAATAGCTTATATATATATTATTGCATAAATGAACCTCTCGCGTATGGTCTCCTCCAAAGCTTACGCTAACGGGTGTTCCTCGTTCGGAGATGGATTACTAGGAAGAGTAACTGTGAAGAAGATTCCAAGTCAGTCCAAAACATGAATATGTGAGGCCGTATTTATTCTAGTATGATTACAGGCGAGCAGCTCGTCCTCCGACTGGAAACTTCACCTCCGGCTGAGCACACTGCCGGAGATGGATTCCTGCTATATAGGTAACTGTGCAGAAGAAGTGTAATAAGGAAGCTAGTTAGCAGGATGCGATGCGTGTTGGAGTACTCGAAACAGGAGTGATCCCAGACCGGTTCGACGCCGCGCATGGAACCTTAATACCTTCGTATCGAAATCTCACTGGACGTGCGAGACGGCAGCTAATGGGTGTGTGCTGCTACGGCGTTGGTTTCTACTATGAGTAAACGTGTGGAAGAACGGGGTGGTCGGGAGGTGTCCCGAAAGTGGCGACAGAGCCGACCGGAGTAAAGAGCTGGGCTGGGCTGGAAAGGTGGGATGCGAAGCCGATAGGTTCGGGGGAATGGCTGGCACTGTAGACAACAAAAATGAAAAATAGGGCTGTGATGATGAGACAGAAGATTGGTTGGTTGTGGAGGGTTGCTGACTGCGAAAGGAGAGTTTGGGCCCTGGGGTTTCATCTCAGAGTGAAAAGCATGATGACGGTGTTATTTTACATGGATCAAGGATGTCGATTTTCTTTCCTTGGATAGGTCATAGATGTTGGAAGTTGGGTCTGATGATCGACGTGGTTGTATAACTTGTATTATTCGGAGACAGACCATGTTTTGAGGCATAGCACCACCCTGATGACTGAAATTATCTGGCTCTTCTTTGGCTTGCTGTGTGATTGCTCGCCTCGCACTTTCAATTTCACCTAATAAGCCGTGATGACTTGGAAGGACATCTCTGAGCTGTATCTTGACTGATGATATAGACTCTGGAGTTGATGCAGATTCCACGCTGCCAAAGAAGTCGCTGACTTGCGGCTCAGGCTCAATAATCTTCTGCCGAACCCACCTAATAACACATGACCAACAAAATCCAGCTCCCGGGTTGCCGGCATAGCTACAAACTTCATGATCGACGCCAGCTTCATGCCATGCCTTTCCTTGCTGTCGAGAGGACGGCAGTTTGCGTATAGGAACACGCTCTGGGTGACGAGAAGTGACTGTTTCAGTGATGACACCGCTTCACCCTTCGCTGCTCTTGTAGTCCATCATTTCGTCGCTCGAAAGAAGCATGAAGGTCTCGAATCGAAGGCCTCGCTTGACTTTGTTGTCCGCTCGAGTGTGATGGAAGAGTCTGGCCTCCTCAGAAACCTGCCCGTAGCCTCGCCAAAGCGCTCTCCAATAGCAAGCCTCTGCGGCGGGAGTTAAATACCGCTCTCGGAATGTTCGAACGCTGTTGTCGGCGATTGTCTGCGCGCGGGCTGGATCCGCGAGCAATGCGTTCATCTTCTCGTCTAGATCCGAGAAGTCTCGTTCGACTTCGACGTAATTCTGCAGTGGTCCAGATGGATTGAGCAGATAATGGTGGTGCTGAATGTACTGCAGTTTGTGCGCAACTATTACCGAGCGACATGCTTGTCGGTACTTTAACGACGCGGAATAAGATCGGCCTTCGACGTGAGCAATGAACTGGTATTTACAGTGTTCATCCAGAGCCAGGTAGTTGTCTTTGACCATCCAGTTCAGCTCCTTGACATTGTTCCATGGCTTTCGCCTCGCAGCGTCAAGAAGCGCTCTCCTTAACTTGGGCGCGAAAGAAAGTTTTCCGCGCCAAACAAGCTCAGGAACCTTGTCGCGGAAGGTGATATCACGCTCACGGGCCAAGGCTTTGTCGACGACTTCATCGTAAGGCCCAATCTCGTTGTTCATCTTGCCGATCATATTGTCCCAAGCCCAATAGCCAAAGTCGGGAAAGAGGAAGTACGACTGCTCAGAAGCCTTGCGAGCAAGGACCCAAAGTGGCAGAGTCTTGCTGCCTGTCACATCTGTCGCCTTATCCTCGATGGAGAAGATGAAGTCGATATTCGGCATGCTTCGACGATCCGGCGCCGCGGATAGTGCTCGATGTATCGAGTTCAGAGTTGCAATAGTCTTGCGACGGTGGTCCTCTGCTTTGGATCTCGTCTGTACCACGTACAGATTCCCCTCGAAGATCATTGCGCGCGTCATACCATTTTCGAGATGAACGCGGTCTAGCCTTTGCGTGCTGATCTTGCCATTTGAAGTCCAATGTTTCGTGGCTAGGTTGATGTCTTCGAAGAGTCCAGGAAAAGCGACGTTGCATTGCGCTTCACTCAACCCTTCGTTCTGGCCGTCGCGGGCGTACTCATAGGTCCAAAGCTCGGCACCGGTATCATTGACAGAAGAATAGTGCTGCTCAAGGCAGCTAGAACATTGGAAAACTGTTGCGCTCTGGCAGGTCGCATGGCCAGCTGGAATCATCTGGGTCAAGAGAGGCGGAATATTATCCTGATCTGAGTTCGCCGCGTACCAGAAGGTCAAGATCAAGAAGGCCGAGCATACGATACCGACGAGAAGACCTAGGCGTCCCCATCGAGACATAGGTAGTGAAGAAAGACAAGACTGCATTTCTTCTTCGGCAAAAGGAGGTGCTGGGTCCCTCCAATTTTGCGTTTACGGCTAGATAGGTGTCAAAACTTAGTCCATCGCGCGGAAATGATGAGAGGGGAGATCAGGCGCGGGGGGAGGGGGGGGGGGGCACTATCAATGATATTAGCAGCCCATGTAGATGTCAAAGATGAAGTCGTAGGAGGGAGGACGCGGCGACGCGCATCTCGAAGCACAGCCCTCAAGCCACTGGTTCCTCCAGAAGGCTAATATCTTGGTACCGGTTCGACGGCGCCAATAGACTCAAGTCTGCCCTCGTATTGAGCTGTGTAACTACTGTGCTATCTATCGTCTCGTTCTTGTCAGCAGCTGATATACACTCTCCCGTGAGCATCAAAGGAGCATCACATTCGTAGTTTACAGTTGCACATCCTTTGTTACGGCAGCAAATCGAGATGCCTGGCCGCAGGCGTACTCCACATCCTGGGCAAACTTTCAACTTCTCTCGGCAGTATCTTGAGCCTTATAATAATAACATCGACCACGGTCATCTTGGCTTGCCACCTGTGAGCATAAGTCGTCGAAATGGTACTTGAAGCAGGGTATCCAAACACGACAGGTTTTCGAAAAGTCGTCAAGGCTACAATCCTGGTCAAAAAGAAACCAGGAATGAGCGACGAGGACTTCATGGAGCATTACAATCACAAACATGCTCAAATGGCCGCGCCGGTCTTGCAAAAGCACAACGTGATCACATACAGTCTTGTAGGGAGCCACTGATATCACTATCACTGTACAGGAGAAAGATCTGGGCTGAGAATGGCTTAGACTTATTGCCTGAAGAGGGACCGCACCATCATCCAGGATATGTTGCATGGGAAGTCGGCGGGGATGTTGGACTACGATGCGATATGTACGTTCGTGTTCAAAGACTACAAGGACTTTGCCAGGTTCATGTATGATCCTGCTTCGAAGGCGCTTACGCCAGATCATGAGAATTTTATGGTTGAGGAAGAGATGAAGATGATGGTCGGAGATGAGTATATGGTGATAGAAGAGGGAGTCAAGGTCGGCTGAGGAGGGGGCATGAAAGATGACATCGACAGAGAAGCGTTTTCGGTACTGTATATCCTGGAGAGCATGTATCATTTGGGTTGTGTCTATGTTGCAGCGGCCAGCGCATAGATCTATACGTAGGCTACATGGCAGGTCAGCATATAATCTTGACAGTCGTTTTGCATGTAGCTTACCCTTTCGGCCGCCTGTGAAGAACATCTTGACCACAAAGACCTGAAGTCCTGCCATCGCAACCATAAGTGCCGTCTCAATCATGCCCATGTTGAAGATTCTCTTCTCCGTGCTTCTCACAGTGCTGAAATTCCTGTTCTCTCGTGTCCTGAAGTACTTTTGCTGTCTGGTCAAGGTAGACACCTGTCCTGAAAGCTTGAGGATCGTCTCTTCGACTCCGCTGAGTTGCTCTGGGGTTGCGCCGGCTTTTTGTGGGAGGTTCGCTCGTTTCTCATTCTCGACCTGGGACGACTATCAGTACTAGAACGTATCCTGTCGCAAGTCCTCTGCCTACAGCAATCTCAAAGTCTACAAGTTTGTCGGAGAAGGTTGATATCGAGTTGTCGAAGCAGAAGCGATATTCTCCAGTCTCAGTCGCCGTGAAGACATAGTCGCCTTGTCTCTCCTTCTGTCCATCAAGAATCACTCGCTCACGTCCTGGCTCTTTGTCGGGGCCGTAAACCGTATAGTCGACTATAGCAGGGATTAGCATTTCAATGCTGACTCTTGTCGGTATTGGCTTCGCATACTGTCGAATTCACCACCACTCTGCACCGCGAAGTAGAATGCAACCTTAGCATTCTGCTGGCCGACATGCGTGTAGAAACATTCCTTCTCGTTGGGCGTAAGCCTGTACGTGAGCGCGGTGGCCGATGTGAAAGCTGTCAGAAGCCCAAGCAGGGCTACAGCGGGTGCGAAGGAGATCATGCTGGAAGTCGTATCGTCGTCGCTCGGATCATGCAATTGCAAGAGAATAATGTGTCGAAGTGAACAGTCGCTAGCGCATCAATGCAAGTTGGCGATAGGCCCCCGAATGCCCCTTCCCTTCTTGTGCTGGAAATCTGGCACGCGATCGCGCGAAGGCGTTCAGGGATTGAGTGCCAAGACTTCACGACTTCGAGCTCTTCGCCGTCCTGACTTCAGCTCCCAAGCTCTGCTGCGTCATGACCAAAATTCCCGTCGAAGGAGAATGATACGGCGCGAACACTCACGCAACAATGTCTTCCTATTGCCGCAGCTTCGTAGGTGAACAAGAAAGGTGAATTTGGTCAGCCCAGATGGCCACCAGTCTACCCAACACCATTTCAACCTCTGCTGATAAGACAGCGGATCTGACCAAGGCCAACGTGCAGCTCAGAGCCATGAGGACGGCCAGGCTAACTATCAATACGTGCGAGCGGTGATAGAAGGAGCATTCATCATGCAATTTCAATGTTCAATAATATTGCTTACGGGAGAACCTAGATGTCCGAATTCATTGGCCAAACTCTTGCTTCTTAGCAGAATCTGCAACACCGCAGCACGAATTGGGACTACGATTAGAAGACCCACCATATTCTTATCTTCACGTGTTCTTCGACGCGGCTCCATGAGACTTTCGCACTGCTAAACTCGCTGTCAGAGATCGTCAGGGTGTCCACGTGGTGCCTGCAATTAGTCGAGTGCCACGTTCGCGGGCGCGGGCGCGCGAAAGTGCTACCCTGGGAGCAGACAAGAAGTGCTGCGTCTCCTCGAACCTGGAAGTGATATGGCGGCATTTCATGGCTAGCTGCCGCATGCGACGGTTGCATAGCCTTGCAGCGGTACGTGGGTTGTTCCATCAGGAAAAGCGTTACTCCTCGTGCTACCATATCCTCCAGCCTGTGCATAGACTTCCGTCCTATGTAGCTTGTTCGGCTGTGGTCAACCGAGCGTACTGCTTCTCCACAGCCTGATTGAGGACTTGAACGCGAAGACTGGCTCATCTCCACCTTCACCTGCTCGAAGCCGCTGGGGCAGAGTTGACGAAACGAGACTAGTAGCGTCCTCAGATTCACTCATGTTCCAGAGACTGCAAAAATTGATCTAGTAATCGCATATCGACCGCTCCTCCTGCGCTCCAGGACCCGCCTGCCTTCTGCCGCGTCCAATACGATACTTTCCGAAGTCCTCACGACCCGTCAACTTTTTCTCTCATATATTCTTCTCGCACTCTGAGAATAACTTTCCAACCGCCCATTTCATGCTTCAACATCGCTAGCAATACATTCGCGTTCGAATACCATCCATCTTAGCAAGGGAGCCGGGATATCTCAAGCCATTGCTTAATCTGCAATTTCGGGATCAACAGAATCGCTTCAACACAGAAGATGGACCTGCACTTTGCCCACAGGTCGCGATCAGGTTTCGCACACGATCTCTCAAAAACCTCGCACAATTACAGATCGGGGACAGCAATAACCATGGAGCGCGAATACATCGAGCCCAATTGGAAGGATGCTGAACGGGTGGACCGCCTGTTTAATCAAGTAATAGACGCCAAGCAACCTTTGAACAAGCTCCGCAACGCAGCACCTTTCAAGGATATTCAGACTAACATTGACGCGGCGGCTCGGGCACGCCGGGAGGCCAGGCTGGCACAAGACGATCCGAAGCAGGCCAGAATGGGACAAATGCTTCAAGCTCAGGCCCTCAAAGATGGACCACTACCCGAGGACGAGCAAACACGCACACTTCAACATCTTTCTCCTGAGGCTAAGACGGATTATCGTGTCGCCCAGAGGAGAGATGCGGTGCTGGACATGAATTCCGCTTACGCAGATATCCCGAACGAGAGCCTCAGCAAATCGACGAAACGCATCGACAATGATGTAGCACTGTCAATGATCCTTCACCCTCGACATAGAGAATCTCAACCTGGCGAGGCGCACGACATTCCGCGTGAGGCGCTCGCATGGACTTCAGATGCAGTGGGTCCACGCTTGGTTGGTCGTCCTGAATCCCTTCAAGCTTTGTTCCAAGATGACAGTCTCGTGGATTCTCGTTTACAGCTTCGGTCGACAGGAGCTATAGAGGAGCCACGTTCGCCAACCTCGACTTACACCCGCCCGCAACATCGCACGCCTTCGAGGAGAAGATTCTTGGGAAGGCGTACTGACACCGATGATAATGCCTTTGGGCTGTCGAAAGGATATGAGCTGCCAGAACTGATAGAAGATAAATTCTTGCGTTTGCCAGCTTCAGTGAAGAACAGAAATGGTCTTCCTAATCCTTGCGGTCCTAAAGAGCAGCAACATCTTGCCCGGTGGGAGGCTTTGAGAGCAGCATCAACGAAGGTGGATACCTTGGACCAGAACATAACACTGTCGAACGTACGCGGCGCGCAAGACGATACTAGCGATCCTAGTCCGTCGGAGCCCGTCACGCACTCGGGTGGCAGCGTGACTTTGTCCTTTAGTAGCCTGACACTCGATACCGAACAGTCTGCAACTCTTAATGCGGACCATCTTGGCACTCACAAGCGACTGGTACCGGAACACGCGATGAATGACGATGTCAACAAAGAATCATCAGTCCGTGACTCCCAAACGAGTCGTCGAAGCGCTCGCGCTACTCAGCCTTCGATAAAATTGAGGGCCGAGCTTCAGGAACAGCACGGCAGAGCTACTCCGAAGCAAAGTCTTTCCAGCTCACATCCAGGATTCCAGTGCTCGATCTGCGGAAATAAATACGCAGACAAGAACGGTCTACGCCGCCATAACAGGAATATTCACCCCGGACAATCGCAAAGCAGTCTCGAAAGCTTCACATTGCCAACCACAACAAATGACAGAGTGGTCTGTAAATTCTGTGGAAGTGACTTCTCGAGTAACAGCACGTTGAACCGACATCAAAGAAGTCAACACCCGGATCGTGAGGATGAATTCGAGCATGGAAGGACGACAGCATCGACGACTCCGTTCGATCCTGATCTTTCGCGGCATCGTGAACGCTCTACTACGCTTTCGGACCCGAAGGATTCTCCGACTATGGGGTTCAAGTTACCAGATGATGACGCTGCTCAGATGGAGGAGGCTGCAAGAATATTGTTGGCGATGCAGTTCGATACCAACTTTCCGCCGAATCTTACAGCTTCAGAGAACAGATCGCCGGATCCAGCACGTAATGCTCCCACCGTGACGAAGCCTCGAAAACGTCCTGCCTCGGGTCCTGGCGGCGTCGAGAACGAGGAACAGAAATCGATCGTGGATGCTGATGCTCCTAAGAATGCTGAGCCATAGGATGGTGTTGCGGAGAGAAAAAGAAAGCAAAGACGTCGATTGCCAAGAGGAATGACCTCGGCGTTACGGCATGAGAAAGAGGAGAGTGTATCGACACATGACAATCCTCCGGTGACAGAGACGGAGAAAGCGATCGTTAATCCACAGAAGAATTCTGTTGGAAAAGAGACTCCGAGCAAGAGCAAGAGCAAGATCGAGGAAAGGAAAGAAAGACGTCGGCGTCTGAACGAAATGACTCGAACGCCACGGTCGTTCGGATGGGGGGAGGAGTTCAGATGATGTAAGATAGATGTCAGTGGATTTATGTGTGTGGCGTTCGCTATTGTTTTATTAGTTGTAGTACTAGTGGTGCTGAAATATTCCCTGCCTGCCCTGCTCTTTTCTTGACTTCTGGTATCATTCTATTGAGATGGATGGAATTCAAAACTTCACAAAAATTATGGATAATACGCCCTGTTTGCGATGTGGAAGGCAAGGCAACCGGGAAGGCAAGGCAACCGGGAAGGCAAGGCAAGAATTGTCAAATTTTAACTGGTGGTGAAGAGGGCTGTGAGGAGAATGAGGAGAGTGTTGGGTGGTTCTTCATTTTCTGGTTTCATTATCATCCTCCTTCTCCTCGTTCATTGAAAAGCCAGTTCTGACCATTACGCAACTTGCTACCGACTAGTTCTACACCTCGGCGTGCCTGAATTCATGCTCCAGCCGAAAGAAAGACACTGCTTCTGCCACCCCAGACTTGCTGCTCGGTATGGCAGCATTCCACCTACTTCCGCGCATCTCGGCGCTATGCTGTTCGCGCTGATTCCAAGAGGGGTATCTCGTCGTAGGAATCCAAGATTTGCCTTCGCGTCGAACGAGTGGTGGTCCTCGATGGGTGCTGAGTGCAGCCAGTGAACATCTATGAGATCTCCATGGCCAGCCCTGGCCCTCAAACCTTGCTCATGTCAACGTAATATGCATGTGATCGTTTGAGCCAAAGCCTTTGCTACAGCTTGGGCACTTTCGATTGCGATTAGAAATGAGCTCCTTGATGCATCCGTCGCAGAATACGTGGCCGCAAAGCTTGAGGACTGTGTTGCGCAGGTTGTTGTTGCAGACAGGACAAATCGCGACTCTTCGCCAGTCGTCTGCGCTCGTCTGCGAAATGGCAGTCTTGCTTTTCTTAAGAGTGTCGTACTGCTTCTTCGAGTCCTCCAGCTTCGTCTTGCAACGTGCAAGATCCTCTTCGGCTTGTCGCTTCGCCTTTGCCGTGGCCAAGTTGTCCTTGTCCTTGGTGCTGATCAGTGATTTGAGCTCCTCGACGGACTTCTTAAGTCCTTCGGCGGAAAGAGTGGATTCCTTCAGCTTCTGCTCGTTGATCCGGTATTGGTGCTCAATCTTGGCCAAAGCTTCCTTCGCGTCCGCAAGCTGGCGTTCGTGATTCGCACAAAGTTCTTTGGTCTTTGCTTCGGCGTCTTTCAGCTGCGTCACGATCTCGCCCGAGCGCGCATTTTGCGACTTGAGCGTTCGCAACTCGTTCTCACGCATGTCCTTCGCTTTCATCGCAGCGAAGTACTTCTGATCAGCCTTCGCCTTCTCGGCGTTCAAGCGACCAATAGTCTCTTCCCAGCCTGAAATCTCCTCAATCTTCTTGGAGGCAAGAGCTTGTGTTTTCTTCCAGGCTGACTCCATGGAGGGCAATTCGTTGCTGAGTAGTGAGTATTGGCTTTCGAGAGTCCGTAATTTCGCCTTTAATGCATCAACGTCCATCTCATCCACGTCCATCGCAGTGGCATCGGATTCTCCCAATTGCAGCTCAAGTCGCTGGACCTGTGATTCTAGAGCTGCAATTCTCATTTCTCGAGCTTCCGCAAGCTCTTTCGCTTGTGCCGCCGAGACTCGCGTGCTCTCCTCACTCGACTTCAGTATTGCTAGATCAGACTGCAGCTGATCTCGAGTGTGTCTAATACGTGCAAGGTCGGTCTCTGCGCGCGCATTTGCGGATTCAGTCTCACTTGTCTGCTGGCGGCTCTCCTCGTCCAACAAGGAGCGGTATGAGGTGCGTTCCGCAGCAAATTTCTGCGTCTCCTCCCGCAGCTGCATATTAGTCGCCTCCAGATCATTGATGCGCTTGATCACATTCTCATGCTGAGATTTCAGCGTCTTGAACAGCGAGGTCTCAGCATAGTCGTCATCCGAAAGGCTAGCAAGTTTGGTCCTGGCGGCGCTCAGCTCATTGGTCAATCTCTCGTTTTCGACTTCGATCTCCTCAAGCTGTGCTTTCTGCTGTTCTGCAGCTGCCAAAGCCTCTCTACGTTGGGTCTCGGCCTCAGCGGTAGCAACGCCATTTTCAAGTTCCCCATTAGTCTCGGGGTGCTCGCGCTTGGGGGTCGCAGCAGCTTTGGAAGTGGTTGGAGACACGGCATCAGCATTTCCGCCCAGCGTGGCTTGCTTCTCCAACTTCAAGACCTGTAAGCTCTTCGCCCTGTCAAGCTTTCTTTCAGCGAGCATGTAACGCTCCATAGCCTGTTCAAGACGCTGATAAAGGGAGTCCTTCTCATCAATAGTCCTCCTGAGCTCGGCAGCATGCTCCTTCTCCTTAGCAAGCAACTCATTGAGCTGCTTCCTCAGGACTTCAGCTTCAGGTGAGGCTAAGGGGATGCGGCCAAAGAGATCTGATATGGCGGACTTGATGCTATCGGTTCTGGCTTTGAGATGTTCAGAGAATGTCGGGCTGTCCTCAAATAACAATGCCGAGTTGTACAGCTCTTGTCCTAGTCACATTCTCAGTATGGATTATCTTCACGTGATGTGCAGGGCTTGTCATACCGGTCGAGGAAGTAGCGCTAGGTGGAGGAGTCGGGAGGGTTTCTAAGGCGAGGACGCGGACTTCATCGAGGAGCTGGGCGAACCAGCCATCGATTGCGCGCAGGTGCTCATCGTGGTACTTCGAGCGTTGCTGGAGTTCGGCCAGGCGCTCATCGGCGTCTTTCTTCTGGCGCTTGTACTCCTTCATCTGGCGCATGATGGCATCCTTTTGGTAGTCCTGGGCACATAAGTCAGCATCACAGCACACGCACACGTCCAATAGTGACATGGACCTCGATTGTACATACTTCAACCTCTTTCTCCTTTTCATCAGACATGCGCATGGTTGCGCCATTCTCGTCCTTGACCCGCTTCCGACTGGGAGCAACATCCTCGGCGTCGACAGCCAGCGACCGCTTGCGATCCTCCATCTCGAATTTATGAGACGGAAGGACAGACAGAGGAGCGGCGGCCTTGGTGGCGGTCATTGAAAAGACCAGGCGCAGTGTCAGAGTAAGGCTCGACCACGTCGGCACTCATCAGCGCCCAGCTGTGCCGTCAAATTATTGGTACATGAGAATGAATGCACTCCGGAGTAATTGCAGGTGGCTGGTGGGGATGCAGAGCGCTGGTTGAACGGGCTGAGTTGGTCGTAGGTGCAGAGCAGAAGTCAAGCGTGTGTGTTCGAGTCAAAAGGAGAACGAGAGGCTACAGGCGTTGAAAGAGCCTGAAGCGAAGCGAAAGCGGGACTTGCCGAGCATTGGCGATTTCGCGATTCTACTCTGCAGGCAGTGCAGTCACTTCCATACCACACCAGAAAAGGCGAATTATTACTGATCCCAGTGGTGCATAGCGGAGGATAGTCGCAGGCGGAGTGATGGCGCCGGTGCTCTTCACATCGGCAGCTCCAGGCAAAAAGGCGGCGCCTAAAGCACCTGCGCGACGACGACCAGCACCACCGCCATCTGGACCGCCGCCGTCAGCACAGCCAGAGTCCACGCCTGCGACGAATGTAGCCCCGCCGTCCCCTCCAGCTCCACAGCCACCCGTAGCGGAAGATGCAGAGCCCGTACGTCACGAGTTGCCTCCAGCGAAAGAGCCAGATCAGCCACCATCTGAGCCTGTGCGAGAGCCCGAAGTTGAGCAAATCCAGCCAGAGCCGGAACTCGTGAAGACTACTACACAACCTCTACCGACTCCTCAATCTAGTCTTGAGCACCATGTTGAGCCCGCACGTGATCCAGTCGTAGAGAAGCAGCCGATACCACAACCCGAGCCAGTCCGCCAACCTACTCCAGAGTCGACTCATTCTACCGCAGAGCAGCCGCAACAGGCACACTCTGATATCGTCCATGCCAGGCACGAGAGCGCTGTGCAAACATCTCAGCACGACGAAAATCTTACCCCTCTTCCCGAGCCAATACAAGCCGGCACTGAGAAGCAGACAGAATCTCCAACCCGCACACTGCAGGAGCAACGATTAGAGGAATTCAGGCAGGTCAGCGCTGCACATGTCCTCCAAGCAGCCAGTGCCGCAACAACGCGCCCAGCAAAGCGATCAGCACCAGATGTCGAAGAGTCTGCAGTATCACGACCTGCTAAAAAGGCAAAGCGCTCATCTGCGCGGAGCAATGCGAAGGTCGCAGCCGCTGTAAATGGGGAAGATGTGCAAACCCAAGATGTAGCAACCCAAGATGTGACAGAACAAAAAAGGTCAAATCAAGATGCAGCCGCAGCTCTCGTCAAGGCCACGCCAAAGTCGAAGAAGGGCAAGAAACAAGCCCCAGAGTCGACTACCGCCACCAGGCGCTCGACGAGGACGAAAAAAGACTCTGCGAAGAAGAAGAGCGCATCAACAATCGTCGATTCTGATGATGAGATGGAGGGCGTAGAGAGTACAGCGTCCACTCAAGGGCAACCGCAGCAAGGTGCAGAGGCTGACGAGGCTGGAGAGGCCGAGGTGGCAGCTCCGAAGCGAAAATCCAGAGCGAAGCCGAAAGCAAAGGTAGACTCAAACAAGCCCAAGAGAGGTCGCAAGAGAAGAATGCCTACGATAGCCGAGGAAGCTGCAGCGATAGAAGGCCAGAACGAGGCCGAGCAAGCTGCACAAGAAGAAGCAGGAGAAGAGTCAGATGCCGAGCTGCACGAAATTGATCCAAACACTCTTTCCATGTGGGATCTGAGTTATGACTCGAAGAATGGCAAAATGTCGGAGCGTGGCAAAAAGATGAATGAAATTGACTGGGAGGAGGTTGCTGCAAAGCGGAAAGCGGAGGCCAACTTGATCGCGGCTGGTGGCGCAGAACAAACAGCTCCACCAGGCACCGTAGCATCGACAGAGGCAGCAGGTGGTGCGACTGAAGGCCACGCTGAAGGCGCGGCAGAGGGCGAAGAGCCTGCAGCCGAAGCATCAGCGACACCCGCCCCAGATGCTGACGACGGCGACATTGAATTCCTTCTCAACGACGAGGGCCAGATTGTCGAAGATGAGAGCACGATGCAGGTGGACAGTACTGCTGCGGCGATGGCGGCTGCTGCTGACAGGCCTGTGGAGGAGGTCAATGACCTGACCACCCAGATCAATCGAACTAGCTGGATCAACAACAACCGGCGAGAAGCTACGGATCGAGTACCGCTGTGGAAATGGAAGAGTGATCCTTGGTCTGAAGAGGAGACGGATCGCTTTTACGACGCGCTTCGCATGTTTGGTACTGACTTTCTCGTCATCAGCAAAATGTTCCCGCCAAAGACTCGGCGCATGATCAAATCGAAATTCACTCGAGAGGAGAAGCTGGATCCGCAACGTGTGACTGATGCTCTACTCGGTAAGCAAACTGTCCGAATGGATCTCAACCACTATGCTCGGGAGACCTCCAGAGACGTCTCGGTCTTCACCAAGTACGAAAGCCTCGAACACGCTCAACAAGTCATCAACGAATCCATGAAGGAGAAGCAGGAAGCCATGACAACGGCCGCCGAGAAAGAAGCGCAGCTCGAGGCAGAGAAGCGCGAGAAAGAAAAGCAGAAGGAAAAAGATAAGGCCAAGCGATCGAAAAAAAGCAAGAAGGCAAAAGCAGCTGGCACGTTCGGAGGTGGTGGCCCTGCTGAGGATGGGGACTGATGCCCAAATACAGCTTATCATTACAGACGTTGGTCGTCGTACTACCTGCGGTCTTAAGTGGTACGCGCCTTGCTGGAATTACAACCCTACGACACCTTCACGAGGCTGGCTGAATAGACTCCTCAAACGCCATCGTTACGCAGAAGCATATTATCCTGGTCGATCGGAGAAGCCGTTCGACCACCTCGTGGCTGCATCGGTTGCGGACGACACCTCAAACTCGACGGCCCACTCTGTTGTATTCACGTGCGAGCTTTCAGTCTGGTAGCACAGCATGCTGATTCAGACTCTACGGCTTGCACGAGCGACTGTATCTTGTCTCAGTCAGACGGACACCTGCAGCGCGCAATTATGGTCCGGAAACGCATGATTTATCTGCCTCATCTAAGTGTTCTAGACACTCTCGATTATGAGATGCACTGGGGTAATCCTCGCCTAAGCAATGCGGAGTAGTTCCACCAAAGAATAGAGCACTCAGACGGCAGGCACGGCATTTCATGTGCGGCTAGAATCACTCCTAGACCACGGTCGGGGTATTCTTGCACCGAGCAGTGAACGGTCGCCAAGAACTCGATCGAGACAGACCAGAAAAGCTGCTTAAGAGATGCGATGCTATTGCGGTGTCTGAGCATTGAATGCAAACACATCGTTCAACAGCTTGTCCTCTAGGTAGGCACTCTGGCAGGTATGGAAAGTTTTCCCGCTATTCTCAGGTTTCTCTTTTGCCATACAATTGACTTACATTCACATCATGGACACTGACATCGGCATCACTCTTTGATGCCTCCAAGAGCAAGCATTGTCTTAGCCACGGCTGTCTCGAATTCCTGGAAGTCGTGGTCTCCAGACCGTCGCTGAGACCGCGACTCCATGGCTGTCGCACCTGCACGTGGCTGCCACGATGAAGACGATGTCTGAGATATCGCGTGGATGTCTCGTCTCACATTTCAAGGACCGTCATCTATAGCAAGATAAAAGGCAGGTCATATCACCACTGCAGCCAGATCATCAGCTTCTTGCACATCCATCTTCAAGACTAGACTGCAGGCCAGTCTTCCATTTCCTTGAGCAGGTCTCTCCCTCTTCTTCAGTTTTCTACGATCTCTACCATTTTCTTTTGTCAAGCCAATACCTGCAGGACAGGACCAAAAAGCGACCCACGAACAACGCAGATCAAACCCTCCCGAAAACATGTCCAACCACAGCAGTTCAGGTTCCCAACACCCGGGGAACGAGTCAGAAACCAGCAGTCCTTCATCCGGCAGCACCACAAACACACCCAACACATCTCCACCCACGTCTCCACCAGAGCCAGCACCGTCAGCACCGTCAGCACCGCCAGCAGCACCAGTCCGGCGCGCAACAAAACCTTCCCGACATAAATTCACCCCCATCAGGTTGCAGAGATGTCGGGGAAGAAAGGTGAAACTTGGGAGCCGAAGGAGATGTCCGCGGTCAGACTGCGAGTATGGCAGACGTTGGCTGAATCGCTTCGTTTTGCAATGCGAGAAGTGTGGCATGGAGTGTTGTGCGAATTGTCGGACCAGGCTTTGGTTGCGGAATGAGCAGTGTCCAGGAGGGAGGGGGAGAGGATGAGTGATGGAGAGCAATGTCATGATATGATATGATGATTGATGGTGTTGGGGAAGTTGTGGGATTTTTGGGTGAGGTGAGGTGAGGAGAGGATGCCATGACATGATTATTGACGATGTTTGGGAGTTGTGGGATTTCTGGGCGAGGAGAGGATGGGTTTTGTAATGGGCAGTTAACTTGTAATTGAGCAGGCTGGACCTGTGAATGCGATGGCTGTTCAAATTTGTTCTTTTCTTTTCATGTTTCGTGGTCGTTTGTCTTTGCTATATGCATGCATGCGCATTAGGAAAGCACTTTGAAGCACCGAGTTGGATTGATCGTGTCCGTGACTGAACTCTTGGACAGCTATCCGCAGCTGAATTGGAGGCAAACGCGGCTCGCTACGCGAGCAGTCTACACCTATCCGTAAACCACTAACTAAACCTATCACCTATCCGGAAATGACCTATAGTCGGTGAAAACAGGTGTTTTATATAGTAAATAGCCCTCTCGCTCGATTCTATATTATTACAATAGTGCTAGAACGTTCTATTACTATATAAGGTAATAGGGTTGTTATATAGTGCTAGCAATTCGAGTTCTTACTAGCTTTATATAATACTACTACCGCCATTCACCTACTATTTATATTACTACTACGCATCGTATATATATAATTTTTATATTATATAAAAGCCCGGAGTAAGTAGATTAATACCTCGTATCGTATATATATATAAGTAGCTAGTATAGGTAGTGTTTAGTGCACCTTCGTAAAGCCCGGTATCTCGGGCTTAGCGGGCTTTAAAGGACTCGAATACGGACTTCTTACTTCCTATATCTATACGAGAGATAGCGGCTCTACCGCGATAATACTATATGTTTAGAAGCATTAAATAAGGTAGTATCTATATATATTCTATATCCTCGGGCATCTCCGGCAGCTCCGTATCCTCCGCGAGTAATAGATCGAGTACCTACCCTAAATCTATCTCCTAGTTATCTAACTTATACGGCTATAACTAAGAACTAAGGCCTATAGTTGTATTAAACAGGTTACTAACGTTACTATCGGACTCTTCTTTAACAATGTCCTCGTACGTACGCTATTACTATTACTGCTTAGTAATTCTAGCTATATCCTTCGGTCGTATACGTAATAGAAACAGGCTCTTATAATGCTCCTCGCATAGTAGATCTTCTTTATCCGATAATCTACGCTCGTTACCTTCTAGCCGTAGAAGAGGCTCGTTCTTATAGCGGAGGCTAACTAGCTACTAGTTATAGCGACAACAACCGTAGAAACTAGCTTCTTCGAGCGTATCTATTAGTATAGCTTTGTCGCTCGCTATAAGCTACGCCTATTAACTATCTTCTAGCATTACTCGCTATACTAATAGCAACGGTTTTACTAGTATAAATCGAGCCGCCTTCTTCTTACGTAGTAGCCTCGAAGGTATAGCGGTAGTAAAATAGGGGAAGGGGCTACTAACAGACTTAGTATTATGCTATAGATTTGCTAGTTTAAAGACCTTTAGCGGCGCTCGGTCTTTAAGGTCGTTAGGAAGATAGCGGCTAACTAACTTATATTAAACTAGCTATTGCTTACGCTTCTTAATCTAATATACCTTCTTAATCGGCCTCTACTTATAGCAACTAGCGAGCGGTCTAGTCTTATAAATACCTATTAGAAGTAATAGAAATAGCTTAGTTAGTAACTAAATAGTACGCTTAAGAAGGGGCCGCTTCCTATCTTCTATACGTACCCTTCTACTTATTATCGTACCGAGCTCCTTCCGTTATCGCTTATAATAGGACTTCTATTGCTTCCGTATCTTATAGGCCTTATTATCTACTAACTTCTAAGCCTTCTTAATAGTAGTAAGCTCTCGATAGGCGACTCGAGTATAAACCTTATACGTATAAGCGATGCCTATCTTCTATTGCTTGCTATTATTAGCCTTGCGTACCTTCCTCGCCTCTATAGCAATCTCTATCTCCGAGAGGTTATATAATGCCTAAGCGCCCTAGTTAGTATAGAATAGCACTAAGCTCGTAACTCCTTCGAGAAGGCCTTATATTAGAGATAAAGGCGGTTTATACCTCGTAAGTCGCTTATTAAGGGCATTAATCTGTCGCTTTGCAGTACGAATAGTAAGCGTAGGGTTAAATAGGTCTATATCGACTAGAGGCGGCAATTCTAGTAAATGCGAGAACTCGAAGAGCCGACCGGTTTCTACGCTATTATAGATGCTATTAAGATCCCTTATAAGAAGGTCTGCTTTCTCTACCGCCTTACGCTCTACGTACTAGACTATATACGTACCGTACTCGTTACGGAGAAAGTCGAGGGCTCGCTATACGTTAATAGGGGCAATACCGGTCTTCCTAAAGGCTAACTAAATATTGCTATTCTTAAAGGTCTTCCGCCGGATACTATCGATAGCGTCTATAAACTAAGCGACGCTAAATTCGCCTGTTCCGAGCCTTATGTATTTAATAACAGCCTTCCGGTAGTAATGCTTATAGACCTAGAATAAGACTACATCTAGCGGCTATAGGAAATAAGAGGTATATAGCGGCAGTATAAAGATTAGAATACGGTATCTATAAGCGAAGTCGACAAACTCGAAGAAGTCGTAGCTTCTAAAGTTGTCTATTATAAGCAGGCGATATTGTGTCTTATCTATAGGCTTCGTAAGCCTCTCGAAGTGCTAGATCTAGTAGAAGGCCCTATCGTCGTTTAAATAACTAGACTTAGTTACTCTAACTAGATAGTACGCTAGCAATTTATTAAACTATGCTTCTAGCAAGACCTTGCCTTATACTAGAAGTATTAGCTTAATATATCGTCTATAAGCGTTAACGGCTTCTACTAAAGTTATATACTTCCGATAGGTATTAGTTATAGCCTATAAGCGGCGCTTTAGGTCTATTATAACTACCTATTCTATGCCTCTAATTCTAATCCGGAAGCTAGTCTCGTCTATATTCTAGCAGTTGTCGAGAGTAATCTTATAGGTCTATATTAAGCTATATAGCTTCTTAAACTAAGCACCGATAAACTAAGGGTCGTATACTTCCTTCCGTACTGCCTCGATATTCTTCCGCTTAATCTCTTTAACCCTATTCTTCTATATCTATCTCTTGTGCTATATCTTACTTAATAGCTTAAATAAAGCCTGTTTATTATCTAGGAGGCCTCTTCGTATAATTAACTTAGCGGTAGCGCGGATTAGTAATATAGGAAGGCTTAGGTCTATCTGTTCTCGAGAACGGCAGTATTCGAGAAGAGCGAAGCTTTGAGATAGATTAAGTCGAGCGTATAAAGCGGTACGGTTACTACGGCTACTACGGCTATTATAGCAGTAGTAGAGGCGAGAATATATATCTTCGCATCGGTTGTCGCGGTACTATACCTTTAGGTCGACGAGTGCTTAGCAGGTGCGCTTATATACTTATATTTTAGTCAATTCGATCGCGACTCGGGCGTCTTTACGACGATTCTCGGTAGTGGATTTTTGCTAGGGCCGTATAACGCGTTTTTTCGACTTTCGCTTTCCTAATAGCATTGTGATAGTGTTAAATAATTTATTTAATGCAGCATACACAAATTTACGGATAGGTGATAGGTTTAGAAGATAGTTTACGAATAGGTGTAGACCGCTCGCTTCGCGAGCGGCATATAACTCCACCAAAGCCGCGGATACAATTTCTTGACTGACGTGTGCAGCAGTAAGCGACAGACAGACCAGTCGCTCAATAAGCGCCGTTCTCACTAAGGTTTTGCACAACACATTGCATACTCCAAGATTTTGAGTACAGTATTGGAATGATAGTAGAAAGGAGTCACAGTCACAATGTATTCCATCTGCTACGCCAACAAAGCCAGCGCAACTCCCTAGCGTACCTTATTACTCCCACCATCTACCTACTACATAATCCCAATCCCAATCCTAATCATGACTGCATAACTTCTAGCATCATAATCTCGTAGGAGGCACGTTTCTTTTCTTCTTACTCCTCCTCCTTGTTTGCACATCCCTGCTTCCAGAAAACAAACCAAATCAAATCCTTTGAGGAGAAACCTCCTCCTCACAAGGCGTGCCACGTTTTTTTCTGGGTAAAAGTATGCAGCCCTTTCGGCTTTGTCACGGTGCCGACTCTCGTACCAAGATCCCGAGGTATATAGTTCTACCGAGTCCAGCCGCTTCGCGCTTCGGTTCTCGCTTGATCGCGGTGGCAATGAATACGAGCTGCAGTTGTATATACCTAGCTCGTTCGGCAAAGTATGGAGATTATTTCTTCAGCATGCGGAGTCGAGATCCGGCTTGCCGGCTTGTCGGTACTGTACGGAATCGTGGCGGTTACTTTCTTTAGAATCCTGCGGTGAGGCACAGGAGTTCGGACCGCTCTCTCGTGTGTGTGCGACTACAACCTCGTGCTCGTGGTCTGGCGTTTTCGATGCAGTGCATTGCACTCTGTACAACCTGTTTTCTTCGTATTTGGGGGTATCGCGGTTTGGAAAAACTTCGTCAATTTAGCCGTCCCGTCACGCGTCCAATTCAGGAAGCCGTCCCAGTTGTGGTATGTAGTAGTATTCCTGATTCCAAGATCTAGAAGTGTTTTTGTGTCGGGTGATGTTGATGGGTCTGAATCCTTCGACTTCTTCAATCGTCATGATGATGATGCTAAAAAATCACGACTTTCGTTGGCATTCGAAGTTGCTTTGGAGGGAATCGAAATCTGGGAAACTGATGTAGCCTTCGCGGGTTGCTTTGCAGTCTTCCCAACTGGTTCGTCTGTCTGTGGGCGAGCCGGAGGAACTGCTTGATGAGCTTTTGCGACCTGGAGACGCGTTTCTTGATGCGAAATTGGAAAGTGCGGAGGTCGCGTCTACTGATGGTCTACCGCTGTCTTTTCTAGTGCTGTAGGAAGACTGTCGATTGAGATGTGGTGGTGTAATGCTTGATTTCGCCAGTGAGGATTGGCTGAATTTGACTGCCATTGTGAAGATAGGTGGTGATGTGTCGCGTGCCTGGATCCAGAATTGTCCAAAGCTGTATAGGTATGTGTATATCAGACGCCAAATGGGTGTATGGGTGTATGGGTGAAGGCAAGTAGGACTGTTGACTTGTTGGGAACGGGAAGCACCTACAAGTGGGAGGCGATATGTCAAGTATAGATACTTCTCTGGAGGGAATCAAGGAGGGAGCTGGGAACGGGATCAGAAGTAGCCATGTCACTTCGCACTCGTGTCCTGGGCAAGCCTTGCAGGCGTCATCCAATTATTGTGCCTAAGTCTCACGGCAGGGAATCGGGTCGCTTCGGCCCCGGTCTTGGGCAGAGCAGTGGACTGAGCTGTCACGACGCATCTGGACTCTGCGCTAGATAGCCGCTGCTGCTGCATCATCCTCAGGCTCATCTATTCTGCTTTTCCCAGTTGCCAGCGCAGGCGGTTTCCAAGCGTCAAGTGGAGAACTGCATCCGCGGTACTTGGCTACGCTCGCCAACCAAGTCTTCCGCCATGTCGGTCTGACACGCAACTCGCGTTCCTTGGAGCAATGTGGCACAAGTCGTGCCCATCGGACGACGCCGACCGCTGCAGAACGACAGCCATTATTATTGGCGTGGCAGCGACAGTACATACCGAAGAGGCATGGGTGAGACCCCAAATGGCTGCCACCTGGCAAGAAGACGGCATCCAAAAGTTGGGTTCAACTGCAGAGTCGCCGGCGCGGCGGGCCTGGAGGCTTGCGTGCTGAGCTGCGTGGCGTGTGGCCGACTATTGGGTGCTCAGGAACGCGCTGCAGATGGCCCAGATGTGATTACCAGGGGACGAGCAGCTTTGGGGAAGTCGGGTGGTCTTGATCAGCTTATTGGACCACATTTAGGAACAACAGGCGGTGTTATCCCATAGGGCAGGGCAAGAGTAGTAGCAGTAGCGTTCATCTTCAACTGCCAGTCGCCCAGTGCCAGCTCATCGATGCTTTCACCGACATGCCCGGGGCTACAGTGATCATGACACTGGAACAACTTTTCCCTGTATCGGCAGGCGTACGGTCGGTGGTAAGACCGACCAACCAGCCAACCAGAATACCATGCAATACAGTACAGTAATGCCTTGGGCGGGACACGTGGCTATCAAATTTTTGAACGCCATGTTTGCGCGTCGCACGTTTCCGGTCCTCAAGGCGTATCATTCATTCGCGAGCGCCTACAGTAGTAGTAGTAGTAGTAGTAGTAGTAGTAGTAGTAGTAGTAGTGCATTACTTTCGGCTGCCGAGCACTCGAGGTCTAGACAGCGGGGTCAAGTTCGGTCTGTGGGCAGTGGCCTTACAGCAAGGTTGTAAGTATACCAACCAAAAGAGAAGTTTTCAATATGCTCGAACCAGGACATGGCATGTTACAATTCAAGGGTCTGAGGAGTCGCGGCTACGGCTCCAGATTTTCATCTCTACCGCTGGAGCGGTATTGAAGGATATAGCAAGAATGTGAAGAGATCGACACCATCAAAGTCTGGCGCATAAAGCGGCAGATAGTCGGTCAACAGCAAATTTATGATTGCAGATTGATCTACGAACTGCTGCATGTTGCAAGTCTCGACATCGATTCGAGACAGCACATGAATGATCGTCGCCTCTATGCTCAGCATCGAGGTACGATTTCCAGCTCAAGTACCTTTGTCAAAAGCCTAACACGCACCGACTTTTACATGTCGTGTGTACACATTCAGTGCTAGATTACATCTGTCAGCTTGTGCATTCACGCTGAAAGTGTTTTGGTGAGACTTACATCAACATCTTCCCAAGCTCTTCCTTGGACGTTGTTGAGCTCTTCTACTGTCATGATCTTCCCTGTCGTGACTGCAGAAGTGGTCAGCTACGAATCGAGATTGAGCTCAGCGCTACACTCACAGTATCCAGCATGAATCTTGGCGTCGATCTCTACTCTGCTGTCCTCAGGTATCAACTCATCCGGGATCGGCACGCGCTCGTGGATCGGGATGCCCTGGTCAACAATAGCATCGTGTTTCATGTTCGACATACTCAGCATCCGGTCGATCTTAGTAATGCCTAGCCAGTGGAGGATGTCTGGCATAAGCGCTTGGAAACGCATGTCCTTCACTCCAGCGATGTTTTCAGTGCGTTTGAAGTATTCACTGGCGCGATCGAGGCCACGTTTTCGCGCATTGTACACCAAATACTTGGTCACTTCTCCAAGTGCTCGACCTTCTTTTCGGAAGTAGATCACGACACCGCTGCCGCCTTTTTGAGCTTCCTTGACCGCCTCTTCGATGCCGAAAATCAGGTAAGGCCGGCACGTGCAGATGTCGGACCCAAAGACATCAGAACCGTTGCACTCGTCATGCACTCTCAGAGCAAGCTTCACATTAGGATCACTCATTTTCTTAGGATCACCGAAACAGTACACAGTCAGGCCTCCGATCGGTGGAAGGAACAGTTTGATGTCGTTTCTCGTGATGAGCTCAGGGTAGGATCCACCAGTGTGCTCGAACAACGAACGCCGGAGCGTGCCCTCGTCGATACCGAAGCGTTCGGCTACACCTGGCAGGTACCAGACCGGCTCCACGGCGACCTTGGTCACAGCAAGCTCTCCCGAGGCGTTGAGACAGATTTTGCCGTCTGGCACCAGCCGACCTTTCCGAACACTCTCCTCAAGTTCGGGGAGTTTCATGTGGGCCTTCGTGATGGCAATGGTCGGCCGAATATCAATGTTCTCTTTCTTGATGTAGTCGTTGAAAAGCCACGGCGCCAGATGTCCCCAAGGGTCCATAGCTACAATCTTCTTGGGATCGCACCATGTCGGATTGGCTTCGATCGTTGCGGCCGGCTCCGTGTTTGTGAAGTCTGGCCGGTGGTCTGTTTCTAGTTGCTTGGATCCTACAGCAAGAGCATAGTAAATGGAATATGAGCCTCCATGTGCACCAATGGCATTTCGTCTTCCAATGGTGGATGGGTTGCGAGAGACTACTACTGGTCCACGTTTTGCTGAATCCCTGGCTCCCCATTCCATTGGCAAGGGATCTACTCCTGCCTGCAGGGATGAAGAGTATGGTCAGTCAATGTCACAGGCACGAAAGGGTGGTACTCGGCGCTTGCCTTTCCTGGGTAACTGGTAAGAATTATCTTGCTAGTTAAGCTCGACCGCCTGGGCGGAGGCGATACAGACGTTGAGTTGCCGTTGACATCCTGTCCATGGCCGTCTGTAGAGCCAATGCTGCCACGCTTCTGATGACTTCGTGGGATGAGCTTCGGGCTATCTGCACCCAGTCGTGGGCTTGGAAAGCTCGCATCATGAGCAATGCCGTCTTGAGCTTGCTTGACGCCGGCAAGAGCATTGACGCGGCCGTTGATGGCTTCGACAGTCGAGCCAAGGTCACTGTGATTTTGCTGCAGCGTGGACTGCCCTTGCTCCAGCTTGGTCAGCTTCGCCAGGATGACATCGAGCTTGCTGGAAAGGGCATCGGGGGCCGACATCTTCTCGTGAGCTCACAGGCAGTCGTGGCAGTTGATTCAAGACGCGTTCAAGTGGATTTGGCAGGAACGATGATCTGATCGAAGCAGTCGTAATCGGACTTCGGGGGTAGGCAAGATACGTGCTTTTGTTTTCAGGGAGGCACGCTACAAAGAAGTGTGCCGCCACAACCGGACACAGCAATGGCTATAAGGACTGCAAGCACGATACCTGTGCCACTTGTTAGGTGATGTTTGCCATTGCCGCTGATAGGCCTCTCCAAACATTATCAAGCGTAGGAGCTCGCCGTGAGTGGCCGTCAGCGTCAGGTGAAGCAGGCACGTGAACGTTGCCGGGCAAGCGCTGGTGATTAAGGTTTGAGCCTCATTCAGGTCCAAGCTCTGCGCTTGCTAAGGCTTGCTTGCGGCTGCCGTCATTCTTCACATCAACACAGACAGACAGACAAAGCTGCCTCCAAAGCCTTCTTCCTGCGTCGGACATCTTCCTGCGCTGCACATCTTTCTGGCGACAACAATATCGACACCCAGAAGTATCATCACAGTCAGCAGCAGATAACACACATTCGCGACCATGGTATGACTACCATTTTGAAGCGCAGACTGATCCAAAGCTCACGCGAAGGCAGGGCAAACGTAAGAAGTCGTCGCGAGGTCCAGTGAAGAAGAAGGTATGCTCTGGCCATCACGGTGCATGCATTGAACTTAAAGCTGACTCCACCCAGAAAGAGGTGCTCGGCACTGCCTTCAAGTGCGTATTCTGCAACCACGAAAACTCCGTCTCCGTCAAGATCGATAAGAAGGCTGGCGTTGGAAATCTGAGCTGCAAATCATGCTCCCAATCCTTTCAGACTGGCACCAACTGTATGCTCTCTGACCGCCTTTGCAAGATGCGTATCTCAGCTGACACTGTCGTAGATCTCTCCCAACCTGTCGATGTCTATTCGGACTGGATCGATGCATGCGACACCGTTGCCAAGGAGACCGCGTCAGGAACCGCGCAGCCGGCGACTTACCGGCCAACTGCCTCCGCCGCAGCATCACGTGCAGGACTTGCGCCAGGCGAGACGTACACGGATGAAGACAAAGGGTTCATAGATGACGAAGGAGTGGAAGACGAGGCAGACTATGCTGATGACTGAGACACACAGGACATCGCCAACGGCGTCGAGCCCTAGCGACTCGTCGAGCTCTAACGAATCGTCGAGCTCTAACGAATCGTCGAGCTCTCGCGAATCGTCGAGCTCCAGCGAATCGTCGAGCTCTAGCGAATCCGACTCGGAGCCAGAGTCCGTCTCAGAATGTCCTTGCTTGAAGCAGAACTACATTTGTCGTGAGATACACTGCATTTGTTGTGAGGGGTGCAGAGCACGTTAGAAGCTGCGCAACCTGGTCACTACCCGAAGAGTGCGAAATTTATTGGAGAAAAGAGTCTGGAAAATAAAGCAAAAAAGCACGAAACGCCTACGTAGGTGGAAGCGCATGGACTAGGAGCTCTACTTGCATTCCTCAGCTATGGCGGAGTCGAACAAGCCTGATACCAGCCTTCCTCGGGACACCGACATTGACGAGGGAGTTTCGTCGCCCAAGCCTGACACCAGCCTTCCCCAGGACGCCGACATCGACGAGGGAGGTTCGTCGCCCAAGCTCAGTGCCAGGCTTCTTCAGGGCCTCATCGAGGAGGGAATCTTGTGAGGAAGCAAGAACGTCAATGTCCTTTCTTTGCAGGTGGCAGGCAAGCAGGCAGGTGGATCTTACGAGAGCATGCGACCCACGCGTACATTCGCTCACAATATCACTTCGACCGACTGCAAAACGAAACCAATGCACATTCTTTGGCTTGGCGGAGTAGATATCTCAAGAGCAGTCCAGAGCAAATGAAGCACACGGGCATTTGACTGTCACCATCATTCATCCTTGTCCCGGCACATATGGCCTGCCAGACTATTTCACAATGCCATGATGCCTCTTCACCCAGCTGGGAAACTGCTTACAGTATGTTCACAGGCACACAATACAATGCGCGTTCGATACAGGTACATCTCATCTCTATCCCGCTAAAAGCATACTAATCCTATCAATTCCTCTACCCAGCGCCATTGCTTCACATAACGCCCCTGCAAACGAAGACCCTACTTTGAGCTTAGCTCTTAGATCTCCTCCCACCCTCCTTGAGTCCTCAGAATGATTGTTTCAAGCAATCGTGGTATAATGCGCCGTCTATTGTCCCCTTCGCTTCCTCCCAGAAATCACAAATAATCCTCCACCCAGAGCAGCGCGGCAGTACACCGTGGCCTTGCGTGCAATCGTATATTCCTCTTCTTGCGCTCAAATCCGCAACCTGAGGCTTTCATCTCCTCACATCATCGCGCAAGACTTATTCCCCTCCTTTGGCTGTCCAGCTTCCTGACCTTTCTCAATCTCACCAATCATCCCCTACGCGACAGCATTAGTCTCCCTCCCTCATTCATGCCTTGACACGGAATCCCCCAACACTCACCTCAAACGCCTTCCCAACATTCTCATTATACCTCGCACTCGCCTCCACAAACCCACACCCCAGCTCTTCGGCCACCTTCTTCCCCTCCCCCGCACTCACCTGTCTCTGCTCCGGCCTCAAATCACTCTTATTCGCAACCACCATGATCGGGACGGCATCGGCGCCCAAATGATTTAGGATTTTGTCGCGGATGATGCGTACCATTTCGAAACTCTGTTTGCTCGCGACCGAGTATACGATCATGTAGCCGTGCACGCCGATGAAGTGTTTGTTGTTGAGGAGCGTGTATTCATCTTGACCGGCCGTGTCGATGATTTCTACCGCGAAGTCTTGGTTTCGGTAGCGGATTACTTTGCTAAAGGTGTTTTCGATGGTCGGGTAGTAGGAGTCGACGAAGTGGCCGTCGACGTATTGGACTGTGAGGGAGGATTTGCCTGGGAAGGGTGCACAATGTGGTGTTAGTGGTGGTGGTGGATGTGTTTTTTTTTCTTCTTTGTTTGTGTCGGGTGCGAGAGTGGTTCGTTCGTGTTCGTAGTGTCAGGGATTATGGTTCATTGATGTCACATGCATGCAGAAGAGATGGGCCAGGCCACTTACCGACAGACCTGCTGCCGACGATCGCCATCTTGCGCTGCTTCTGCTGTGGTGCCATGGTTTGGCTGGGGAAGTTGATTGAAGCTGGAAGAATTGCACTCGTTCCACGATGTGCGCGTCGTCGGCACAAGAGAAATAATAATGTGTGAAGTAGTGGAACGATGTCGCAGAGCTGGCAGCCCGGTTCGCAGTTTGTCAAAAAGAGGGAAATGCGTATGGTAATAGCCTGGGCTAAGCTGGATGCCGGGCCGTGTCCGTCGAGGATGTTGGGTAATCCCAAGCCTCGTCTCTTCCCCGAGCCCCAGCTACCCACCCGAGCCCCAGCATAACCCGGGATTATGAGATCGGCTGTTCCATACAAAATCGCGTGTAGAATCGATAATCTGGTCCCCGCAACCACCTCCGACCGGGCAACCACACTGCTGCTAGCTATGAAGCTAAAGATTGTTAGCAAATTAGTAATATAGCAAAATTGAAGGTATTATTAGTTGTATTAGGCAAGTGCGAGCGCTCTATCTACTTAGGTCTAAGCGGGTTACGACCTACCGCCTTGTAACCACGCGAGGCTATATATACTAGCTTATACTAGTCTCTTAGCTGCTAACTAGACTATTATTATTGCTATAGATAGCGCTACTAAGTAAACTAATAGTGTTATTGCTATAGCACATTCTAATACAATAGTACTACTGCTAGCCGTACTAATAGCTATATAAGTAAGTACTGCTGCTACTACTGTCTTTAGTAGTATTGTTGCTAAGCAGCCTACTATCGCTATTGTTTAATTAACGCTGCCTACTATTAGTTATATTCAAGTTGTTGCCGTACCTACTGTTCTTCTGCCTGTAATCGAAGCCTCTTACGTATACGTAGGTCTTCAATCTCTCGCCGGAGTGAATCTAACTTAGAAGGAGGCTACGGAGCGACTAGAAGTAAAGACTCGACTCGTAGATTGAAGCACTCGAAGCTAGAAGGGTAACAAGCAGCGCTATAGGCACGATTAGCCTTCTAGTAAGGACACTATTAAGTGCGGCATTAGCTCTTTACGCACTTATAGTGCTTAGTAACGGTCGTACGAAGCTAAGTAAGCGATACGCCTAGTTCTAGTATAAAGTCCGCTATTATCGCTATTGCTATTATCTTCTACTTCTTAGTAACGGCAATAGTGTTTATATCGTCTAATTCTCGAGCCGTTAATGCGCGCTTTATTGTATATAGAGTAGCGCCGCTAGTTAATAGCTTCTAGTTACTATATATAATCTCTAGCTCTCGTAGACGGAAGGTCCTACGGAAGTCGATAAACTAGTAAGCGTAGAAGTGGCTCGGCAATAGCATAGTACGGCTTCTACCTGTCTTAAGAAGCTTTATAATATCGTAAAGGCAAGGGTATCTATAGGTCCTACTAAGATAGTCGTTATAGCGGCATTGCGGACAGCTATACGAGAACGCTAAATAATTAACCTCGTTGCTATTATCGTTAGTCTGCTGTCTTAGAAGTGCTACGGCTCTTATATAAAGAGCCTTTACTTAAAGTAGACAATAGTTACTAATAGTGCGAGACACGCTCGCCTAAAAAGGGCTAGTTAGTGCCTTATTGCACTTCTTTAGGTTCTTAGCAAGCTAAATACGCCGCTGGTTATAGCCTTCTACCTACTAGTTAATTAGGCTCTCGAAGAGGGTAAAGATATCGTAGCGGCTACTATAGTTAAGCTATTGTTTGATCCTTCTATACGTAGCTTCTACTCGAGAGGTTGTCTTATAGCTAAAGTAAGCGACCTCGTTAGTCTAGTAGTCTACGATCCTCGTCTTAAACCGCTACTATTCCTTATATAGGTATCGTTTAAACTAGGGATAGACGTTGTCGAGCTTCTTAACGCTATCGTTAAACTCGTCCTTAGTCTAGCAATAGATAGTATAGCAGAATAGCTATAGAAACTTGCTTATATAGGGGCTGTCCGTCTATAAGCCGTTAACCTTAATCTATGTAAAGTCGCCTCGTTCCTTACGTACGCGCGTAAGCACGTCTTATTATAGATGCTAGTTATAGACGATATTCACCGAGTCCGGATATACTATATCGATAGCGGTTATAAGTGCTTCTTTACGGTTAGTACCTATAACAATAGGCATTACATAGCCGGCTTGTTTAAGGCCTTTCCGTATAGCCTATAGTAACTATACAAAGTCCGCTTTGTTAGGCTTCGGACGGACAAGACTAATACCTAGCTTAATCGTATTATTTATAGGGCTAGCGGCTACTATGTCTATTAGCTCGAGGTTATAGATATTAGTCGAGTATATAGTGTTAATAATTAAGGTGTGTAGTGTCTTCTTAAAGGCCTCGAGCGACTTTAGATAGAGTGCTATAATAGCTCGAATTGTACTATTCTCGGGGTTGTTAATTATCTCGTAGAATATGCTATTCTTATCTAGCAACTAGACTATCCGCTCTGCCTAGTTACAACGTCGTCTCGCTTTAATATTGCGGCTCTAAGCAATGTTATATAAGTCCTGCGGTTTAAGAATAACTCTACGGTCCCGGAAATAGGCTATAATCTTCGAGGTTAGAAGCCGAGCCTACTAGAGCCGCTCTAGTTCTTCGAGAAATTAGACAGTCCTTAATCGAGTCCTATATATAGCGAGGGCAACAACGTCGTCCTTCTTATAGTTATAATAGTAATAGCTATCTTTAGAAGAATAGCGGATCTCCTATTAACTATTAGGTTAGCTTAGATCGATAGCAACGGCGTAGAAGTAGAACTAACAACCTATCTTCTTAGAGCGAGACTTCTTCTTTATCTTATTATCGTTGTTAGTCTAGGTGCGCTTATCTAGCTGTCCGAAGCAACTATATACCTAGAGGTAGCGGTATTTAGAGCTATTCTTGTTCTTCTGCGGCTTATACTACTTAAACTTGTATTTAGTCGACTTTCCGAAGTTATTAACATAGTCTACTAGCGCCTAGTAAGACCTGAATTCCGACTCTTATAGTATAGGTCTACGGCGGCGCGCCTTCCTCGAGAATAGGTGCTTCTAAGGTCGTAGCGATACTAACCTATTATTAGATAAAGCGACACGCTCGCGAGGTAGGTCTAGTAAGCGACTACGACCTCGAATACGTGTCTCCGAGATAAATTGGACCTCTTCCTACGACTCGATACCTACTACCGCCGAAAGCGCGCCTTCTACTACTATTTCTACCGCTATTTCTACCTCTTCCTACGACTTAATAACTACCGCCGAGAGCGCGCCTTCTACTACCATTTCTACCGCTATTTCTACCTCTTCCTACGACTTAACAACTACCGCCGAGAGCGCGCCTTCTACTACTATTTCCGCGCCCTCCGTACCCTCTACTACTACTACCGCCGCCGCCGCCGCGCCGTTACCGTCGTTACCGCCGCCGGCGATAAAATTATCGAGAAACTCGTCGTATAATAGAGATTTAGCCATTTTCGATGGTTACTAGGCAATCTACTATAAAAGGGGGAAGAAATGCGAATTTTAGGTCTACGATAGAATTCGAGCCTTCGAGGCGCGACTTCCTAGGTATAACGCGCTACGCGCCTATTAACAACACTAACCAGGAATGGAAACAGCCTATATTAGGCGTAAATTGATACAGAGGCGATTCTACAATAGTGCTAGCACCGGGTTATGCTGGGGCTCGGGTAGGTAGCTGGGGCTCGGGGAAGAGACGAGGAATCCCAAGAAGTCTATTCGGTTCGCTTGCGCGGGAGCTGTCTTGGTTGGTTACGAGAGGAACGGGACGATTTCTGTTGTGAAGGGATGGCCGAGAGAGTTGAGAGTAGCGTTGTTGGGGCGGCGATGCTTGCTTGCTTGTTGCCGTTGTTGCTGTTGCTGGCGTTCCTTTGCTCAGCAGCAGAAGCCCCTGATGCGCGTCTGCTTACTCCTTGTGGTGTGCGACGCGACAAATGAAGATTCGACGATCCAAGAAGGAACTGGACTGTAGTCTGTAGGACGGGGAAGGCGGGCGAGACAGGCACGGAGGAACGGACGCGGAGGAGGGAAGAAAGGATGCTTCTCGTCGCTTTCAATGGCGAGTCGGCCCACCGAGGCGCACCGTGGATTGCAGCAAGGCTATCCTATCCTATCCTGCCTCGCGGAAGGGATGTGAACTCATCCTACTACTACACTACGACAACAGGCGGTCACCTTAACTTACGCGAGGCCGTGCCGAAATCTCACGATGATGCCGATGTTGCGGTCAGTACGCTCCAGGAATGGTGCGTCAGAAAAAGCTCTTCCAAGTTCTATCGATTAGCAGGGTTCCCTCCTGACACCGCACCTGCAATTGGCTCCTTTTCTCGCCCTACGACGTTGGACATATTGGATTTTGGAGTCTTGACATCTTCATGCGTCTTAAGCATCGCTTTCATGCAACGCTAGGCAGGGTATACGGCTTCCATTCGCGTGGTTTGTCTGCGGCATTGTTCCTCCCGAAGTACATGTGATGCCGGCAAAGGGAGCCGTACCGACGGCCATCGCTACACGGACGATATGTTGGTAGCGGGCGAAGGGATCACGAACGCTGTGAAACACTGCTTATCGTCGGCTGAAGAAGGCAGACTTGTACCACGGTAGACGGCATGCCGACCAAGCATCACTCGCTCACTTTAGATCGGTCATCGTCGTCATGCCGCTGACAGCAGGGCGTTCTTGAGAGCTTTGCACGGGGTACAGCGCTGATAGCCGAAGAAATCTGTGTAGAATTTGCAATACCGCACTCGCATGTACTGTAAGCGTGAAGAAGAGGTAGGAAGGAAGCGAGTCAATCTTGTGTGACCATCGGCATGCCGATGCACGCGAAAGTTTGGGTCATACATCAAATCTTGTGATCCGTACGGGGATACAACACAACTGTCTGGGTATCTTGTAACAAAAGAGAACACGGCCGTGACACCACCATGCGTTTGTATGTGTGCCTGCCCAAATCAGGCCTCCAACTTCAGCTTTTCTAGGATGCCCTTCAGCATCTCCGTAAAGGCACCCCACACCTCCGCGCCTGCCTCATCATTCAGCATATCGACTTTCTGATGATGCGCGATAAATTCCTCGACAGCAGTGACAAGTGTGCTGAGCTTGTTTCCTGGCAACTTTGAAGCAATCACCTGCTTAGCCGATTTGTTTCGACACAGGTTCGCAAGCGTCACTGCCAGGTATCCATATGCAACATTCGCCACACCATCCTCTTCCGACTCGGCATCAAGCATGTGCTTTTGTCCAACCTGAAATTCGACCACGAGGTCGCTTAGAAGTGGCGCTGCCTCTGCCGTTGCAGCGTAACTGCGTGCTTTCTCGTTGTGCAACGTAAGGTTGATGGTAACGCCGACTGCTGGCACCAGGAACGCCAGGTTCTTCTCGCGCTGCTCCTTGACAACCTCAGTAGTGTGCAGGCGGAAGCTGTTGAGCATCGCGCCTAGGAGATGGCAAATCAGCTCAGACCTCGAGAAAGCCTTGCAGTTGCGCGAGTTATCCGTTGTGAGATAAGTGCACAGGCGTAAGCACAGAATATGAAGAGTCTGCACTGCTGCTTGGTCCTTCGCGGGCATCAGCAATATGCTAACCACTCGTTCGGTCACATCAGATGGCCAGGATAGCGTAGCAGCATTGCCATAGAGTGACTCCAGGACCGACACTGACAACAAAACTTCCATAAGCTTTGTTGGACCATCGATGCTGGCGACGTCGTCTGCAGAGGGTGCGATGCTTCTCACATGCTCGGAGCGGATTAGATCGGTCCTATCGCCAGATCTGCGCAGCTTCATGACAACCTTCTCGAGCGCCTTGAGAGCCAAGATGCGGATAGTGATGGTGTTCGGCTTGGCATCGTCCCAAATCCGCTCCTGTCGAGCCATTTGACCGACAAAGTCATTGAATGTCGACTGGGCAGACTTCGACATGTTGTTGCTGCGGTCTTTTGCAACCACATTCAGGTCAGATCGGTTTGAAGCAATCTGGACGAGCCACTGCAAACAACCACCATCTCTGGCCGATTGAGCAAGGTGATCTGGTGCGTCGCTCGCGAGAAGCAAGTTCAGAATCGAAGCCAATAACACATCCGCAATGGTATCTGAAGCACCTCCGCACTCTTTTAGTAGCCGTCCCTCGAAGCCATGTCTGAAGAACTTCTCCACAAATGTCTTGTCATTCAACTTGTTGGCCAGCTCGATTAACGCACTTCGCCTCCGGCTTCTTCCTGAGGCATTGTGGTCGGCAATATCGTAGAGCAGGCTTGTCGTCTCGTCCTCAAAGCGGCGATTGCCTCCACCAGCACGTAACTCGTGAATGGTGCGCATTCGACCACCAGTGTCATCGTCATCGCTGTTATCTAGATCAAATGCTGATTTCTGCGATTCGGCGGCTGATTTGCTGTTTGTACGCCTGTTCAGAACTGGGCCTGGCTGCGAGTCTTCCGTTTGCAGGCCTAGCATAAGGCCCTCTTCGAAGCTGTCTTCTGGAAGATATGAGCGCACCCGAGCAGCATATGTGATTTTGGGTCCGGAGTCAGCAGTAGCAGAAGTCTGACTGTACATCTGCGACTGGCTTAAAGTAGACTTGTCAGGACTCGCACCCTCACTGCTAACTTCCACGTCTGTAGAATCCTCATCGGTTGACTCGTCGTCGTCCGAATAACCGTTTTCAGAGCTTGGGGCTGAGGCTTTCAATCGATCAACCAGTTTTGTACGCCGCCGAGCTGGTCCCACATCCGAGCTTGACTTTGATAGTGTGGCGCGGATGGTAGAGGGATTCGCAATCGGTCTCTTGGTCGATTTCAAAGTCAGTTCTTGCATTGGCAGTCCACTTGGCGAAGGCGCAGACTCTTCTTCGTCCATCACCTGATCCCACAAGTCTCCCTGCTTAGAGGTCGCAGTGTCTCTAGTCTTCACTGCTGTCTCCGGCGTGAGCATATTGCGGTTCCTCCCAGACTTGTTAGGCGTACTTGGTCGGCTTGTCGACATCGATGGCGACTTGGCTGTGCTATCAGTCGTATCTGTGTCGCTGCGAGGAAGCATTCCATGCAGTCTTGCCGGAGCAGACTCCATCTTACGGGGCGACGATCGAGACGTCATTTTCAGCTTCCCTCGTCTGGTATGCTGTTGAGGTGAAGTGCGTTTGACCATCTTTGGCGGCACACGATTTACATCGTCTGCGCTGGACTCCGGGAAGTCGAAGATATCGCCACTAGCAGGCTTGGGCGGCGGCGGCGGTGAGGCAACCACTTCTGGTCCTGGAGTCATTGATTCACATCTCGGTGGGGGCAGATCCTCCATCGCAACGTCTTCGCCGTCCACTGATGCTTGGAGCTCGCCAGACCTAGGCCGCTTCCTGGGAGTCGGATCCGACTCGGCACCATCGTGCTCAAAGCGCTTGTGTATCCGCGAAATCTGCTTGTTTGGCACATCTTCCGCGCTGGGCTGCGTCTGACTGCCCGTCTGTAGCCTGCGAGCTTTCAACCGAGCTGCAGCACTCGAGCCACCGGGGCTGCCTACATCTTTCGGAGGTGAACTTGTCGACACTTTGTCTTTCGGGTTTGCACTCTTCTTTGGCGTGGCTTGTGCGAGCTCGGTGATCAGCTGCTCTCCTGGTGCGTCGCATGTACTTGTATGCGCTCTCTGGCTCCCATCTGTTGTTCCGGTCGTTTCAGTGGCCCGCCTTTCCCATGGTGCCAGCTCTTCCTCCTTGTGCTCGCCAGCATCTACCAGTCTTCGCTTCGAGCCCAAAGTCGGCGGGGATCGGCGCGTGATGCTGTTGCCAACCTCGTCATCCGAAGAAGGCACATCAAAGTCGTCCTGCTTCTTCGCTCTTGCTTTGACCGGCTTCAGCTTATGTTCCTTGCTTTCCTGCTTCTGCACCGTATATGCCCCTTTCACCGTCTTCGACGCGCGCGGCACCACAACCTGCGGCGCTGCCTGTCCATCGTCGTCGTCGGACGCATCGAAGCCACTAACATCCCATGCGTTTGCGTTGCGAGATGCCCTGCCATATGTTGTCTGCTTGCGGCGGCCTTGCTGCGCGAAGGTAGAAACAGCGGCCATTATGGTGCTGCTCGAATCGCAAATGCAGTCGCGTCGGTGGTCAGCTCACTCCAGGCACATCCTCACAGGCCGTTGCGTCAAACGGGGCCGGTCAACGCATGTGATGTTTCCCTCGTCGCGATCGCCGTGGAGGCGAGTATGGTAGCGAGTCTGTGTCGTCTATGGTATCATTCTGGTCGCGCGTATGTGATGATTGCGATGGTAGCGTGAGAATGGGATGTTGTCGATGAAGATGTGAGACTTGAATGAAGCAAAGGGTGCATGGCGACGTCAACAAAACAACGGACCGGCTAAACTTCACTTGAGGCCGACCATCCTTGCCCACCGGATCCGCCCGCTGCAGGTGCACCTTGATATTACCGTGCCAAGGTAAGCGTGCCTACCCAGGGTCCCTACGCGTCGTTCGCGAAGCCTGCCAATTAGTTAGTAAACCCGAACACTGAGTAGCTGCAATCAATCGTATTATTACCGGCATGCTTGTCGTCGCTTTTTTAATAGTATAGCCGTTCTTAGGTATTGTTTAGTCGCCTAGAATAGCGCGCGCGACTTAGAAACACGCGCTCCCGCACCGCACGCGTATACCGGAGGATCAGATTACCTTTATCAAAGATCTATAGGCAGAAGGCTATTCTAATCGCAGTGCCGTACGGAAGACTCGTATTAGTAGGCGCGCCGTCGATGCCCTAAGGATTAATATTATATTGTTTAGCGAGCTATATCCGCAATAGGCGAAGAAAGGACCGTCTCGAGCCCTTACTTTAGCGTAGGAGGTGCGTATAATCGACTATCTTCGCGATCGACCGACTTCGTACTATTCCGAGACCGTATAGTTTATATTCGACGAGTTTAACGTTGTAGTATCTAAGTCTACGGTTAGTAATATTATTAAGAGGCATAACTTCTCGAAGAAGAAGGCGTAGCGCAAGGCACTAGAACAGAGCTACGAGTTGCGCGAGAACTAGCGGATACTATAGAAGGGGATGCTAATAGACCGTGTTTGTTATATCGACGAGTCTAGTTTAAACGAGCGTACTAGATAGCGGAAATATAGCTATTCTAAGGTTAATATACCGTATAAAGATATCGGGGGCTCGAAGAGGTTAAAGAGATAGTCTATACTACCTACTATAACAAGTAAGGGTTATCTAGACGATTACCTAATCTACTAAGGCTCTATTAAAGCCGTAGACTTCGAAGACTAGCTAGAGTTGTTTATACTGCCTCGACTAGATAGAGGCATGTTTCTTGCTATAGACAATACCTTAATATACTATAGTCTACGCGTCTAAGACCTATATAATAGGTTTGGCATTCACCTGCGTTACTTGCCGCTATACTTACTAGACTTCAATCCTATTAAGATGTCCTTCAACTCGCTTAAAGTATAGATTAGACGTAATATAGACCTCGTAAAGGTATACGAGACATTCGGTCTATTCCTTCAATACGCTATAGAACAGGTTAATACAGCATTATACTTAAAAGCGTAGTTTTAGGCCTCTAGGTACCGATACTAATCGGATCTCCGACTAAAATATATCCGGTATTCGTAGGTCTACCTTATATGCTCGGCGGTTCGCTAGACAAGCAAACGGCTACTAATTTGGTAGACAAAGTTATGCTAAGACAAATCCTCTACTATCGCACACGGATTTCGACTACCGTAGGCGTAGTATTAGGGAGATCTCGTCGTTATTAGGTCGCTCGGCTTCTACTCGGATTCGCTCGGCTTTGCTCGGAGCTAGCGAAGCCGTATGTCTCTTATTACTTTTAGCTTCTATACAACTATTAGAACACAACAACAATATATAATACTTATCGTATAATAATTATTTCTCGACAGTATACGTATATAACAAGGCCGTCTCTTTTTTTCAGTGTTTTTCTACGGTGTGCTGTTGTATAGAAACTCTATGAATCTCAAAGCTGTCTATCCTTTATATACCTCCGCCCCGCTTGGCGGAAATACTCCTATTGCCCTTCTTTGAAGCCTAGTTTATACCACTTTCCTTTAGTTATGCCGATATATCTCTGCAACCTAAGCTCCCTATCTTTAAATACTCGCTCTATATGCTCTAGGTCTTCTAATCTATAGCTCTAATATATCCTTTAATAAAGCTAGGCGAAGAAATCGTAGATTTAATCCTTTAGGTCTACCTATTCTATATTCGGTTGTAAGCTACGTAGTGGACTCGAGGGCAGCTATTCCTTCACTACTATAGAGCTAGGCATATAATTATTAACCGTTACGCCGCTACTGTATCCACCGTTAACCTTTGCGCTCTTCGCACTCTAAGTAAATAGATTGCGAGCCGAGTTGCTTATATAGCGCTGCTTATAGCGCTATATCTTATTAATAAGTGTAGAGCCTAGATCTATAATAGTAAGCTCGCCTCTCGCTATTCTAGCCGCCTACGCTATAGCAATCTCTTTAAAGATTAAGTAGTAAGCAGTATCTAGGTTAGAGCCGTTATAATAGCAGTACTAACTATACTAGTTACAGGTTGTCTTCTTATACGCCTATATACGCTTTATTATCTCTCGATAGTCGCTATTATCTTCCTTACGAAGCTCTTTAGCTAAAGGCGTTTGCCGTAGATTGCTAGCCTCTTCTTCTAACTCGAGACGCCGCTACCGACGTACTTCATCTAACTGCCGCTAAGTCGTAGTTACCCTTTAAGAGCCGCCGGGTATTAGTCGCTACTATTGCCTCGCTCGCAGTTGTGTAGGCGTCTATAGCGGCTTTAGATTAACTACTATTATATCTATAGTTACAATAAGGCCTTGCCTATTAGCGTTATGCTAGTCGTCGAGTTAATTAAGAACAGCAAGCTATACCGAGTCTTGTTCTCGCTTATTACCGCCGACACTTGTTAAGAAGATATCTCGCTATCGAAGGCTATAGTGCGAGCACTTAACGATAATCTCTCGACAGTCGTATTTGTCTTCCTACCCTTTATACTACTTATTATACACTTCGAGGAAGTTGCGCTAGGTCTCGAAGCTAGTTACTCGCCGTACGCGTAGTTAACAATCTCTATGTAGGCGTTCTTTGCTATAGGATATATATACTAGCGTACGGAAGTTGTACTTAATCTCGGCTTCTTACTACGCTTCTACGTCCTTATTCTCTTTATTAACCCTCTCTTTATCGTCCGCTTTAGTAGGCGCGGCTTCGTCTTCTATAGGCGCGTCTTAACCCTCCGGATAACCGCTAGCTTCTAGCAATTAATCGTCTAGTTACAATTGCTAATTAGCACTATTCTATCGCTTCCTCGAGGCACCTACTTTAATAGTGCGTTTGCGCTTCTTCTAAGTAGCAGCAGACTAAGCTTCTACTATAATAGCGGCGCTCTCGGCGGCCTCTTTGGCTTTACGAGACGCGTCGGGTTTGCGGTAGAGAGGTATAGTTTAGTCGCTTAATCGACGGTAGGCTCGAGAAATGCCTCCTTCTTAACCCTAAGCGTAACCACGAGCGAGTTGAGCACGAGAAACTACTATAGATTCGCGGTTGCTAACAAACTAGCAGGGTCTACGAACCTCGCGTAACTAGCGCGAGGTGGGCACGCTTACCTTGGCAGCACAGTAAGCCACGCGAGCAGCCTGGGCCTGGCCCACAAATCCCCTCCACTCGGACCACTCCTCTTCTGCTTCGTTATTTCCTTCATCAGTATGTAGTTATCTCTTTCCTCTGGAGCTTCGTCGAAGTTTCTTCTAGCTCACCTCGTCCAGGCCACGTCTCTTTCATCACACCCATAAGATCCTGTCGGAAAAATTCCTCGAGTCCAGCAGCAAAATGGCTTCCCAAGGCTCGCCATTAATCAGGGCACCCAGCCAGCAGCTTGGCCCGAACTACAGGTCGACAGATCTCAAGCCAACAGCTACAGTGTCAACGGTTCCTAAAATCAGCAATCTCCATATCCTACCTCAGACACCACAACTGATAGCCCTCCTCACGTATGTTGTCGTTTCGCACCTGCCAGCCTTGCTTCTTTGACTAAAGCTGAGCAGGATGCTTCGAGACATCAACACCGGACGTGCCGACTTCATCTTTCACAGCAATCGAGTCAGCCGTCTACTCGTCGAGGAAGCACTCAACCACCTGCCAGTCTTGCCTCACACGGTCACCACACCAGTCCAAGGGCGAACTTATGCTGGTGTCAAATTTGAGGGCAAGATCTGTGGTGTGTCTATTATGCGCGCAGGTGAATCGATGGAGCAGGCTCTACGAGAATGCTGTCGCAGTGTACGTATCGGCAAGATCCTCATTCAGCGAGATGAAGACACCAGCAAGCCAAGACTGTTCTACGACAAGCTACCTGAAGATATTAAGGATCGATGGGTACTCCTTTTAGATCCAATGCTTGCAACGGGTGGATCTGCTCTCATGGCTGTGGACGTGTTGCTATCGAAGGGTGTGCCAGAAGAACGCATTTTGTTCTTGAACCTCATTGCCTCGCCAGAAGGCGTCCAGAACTTTGCAGAGAAGTTCCCTCGCCTGCGAGTGGTCACTGCCTTTGTTGATCAAGGATTGAATGAGAAAAAGTAAGTGTATCGCGACTCTCTCGATAACGAAAGCTCGCTCACAATTTGTGTCGCAGCTACATTGTGCCAGGTCTGGGAGACTTTGGTGACAGATTCTACACACTTTGAGTATTGAATGTGGGTTCGCGAATGAGGACATGAAGCTGGACGGCATGGAAGCGATGGCAGAACCAAACCAAAGAATCAAGCTATTGAGGCAGCAATGATCTTGGAATATTGCATAGGTGATGACCGAGGAGCATGTAATGGCTAAGGCACGAATGGAGATCTGCCTGATAGTGCCAAGTTTGGAGCAAGCGCCACTAGAAATTTTAGCTCGTGATCTGCACTTGGAAGTTGGAACTTCTCCTGAATCACGAACCACACCTCACGACGTCACTTAGCGACCTTGACACAGCGACCATCGACCGCAGAAGACAGCCTACAGCACATCAGCAAACAGCAAATCCCCCCCTGGAAAAGAACAGACAGAAACCAGACAACTTTTCACACACCCACAACATCAAAGCACAAAATCCAAACCCAGGCGGAATAAAATCCTCCACCATGCCCTCCACCACCTTCTCAATCTGCCACATCCTCTTCTTCATCATCATCAGCTACCTCGAACTCTCCCGCCATCAACGAGACTTCACCCCAAACCAAGAATATCTCAACCCCTCCAACGGCTCAGACTCGATTTGCAAAATCGGCGATCTCTACGGCAGCTGCTTCAACTCGATACGTTTTTTCCAATGCACACCAGACGGGCCTTTACCTCGTCCTTGTCCCGCGGGTCAGGAGTTCTCGTGTACGGGTGAGGGGACGGGGATGTGTGATAGTATTAAAAATTTGAATTTGGGGAAGGGGAAGGAAAAGAAATGTAGGATGGTTTGTGAGGAGGATGGGGGGTTGGAGGGGGAGTTGGGGAGGTGTGTTTGTGATTGAATTGGTTTGGTGAAGGAACAGGGTGTGAATACGGTCTTTTTTGGGAGTCATCGTACGTACATGCCAATCTGCCCGGGCGTGGATTTTCTACCATGAATTCAACCCACACTTACCATGCTCTTGACCACCTTTAGCACCTATGGTCTTCTCTCACTCCTTTCCCCTAATACCCGTCTGGTTTTCTCTCGCATCTGGCACGTTCTACGCCATTCGAGCGAATTGTGTCGTTAATCCTAACTCATGTTAAGATCTCAGTTTTCGGTGGATAAGGCATGAATAGGCTTGTGACGAGTATGTTGTCGGGCTCGCCCATGTTGATCATGATGGATCAGGAGCCGCGACGAACAGGATGGAACATGGTGGCAGTAAGATGGTGTAGATATGGGAAAACTGCATGTGGTTGGCGGAGGGAGATGATTTTGTACTCGTGATTGCAGCTGGCGTGACATCTCTGATGATAAAATTCATGGGATTGAGGAGTAGAGCGAGCGAGTGGCTAGATCGTTGGGCTTATATAAGAAGCTGCAACGAAACGCTTGCCTTCACTGATATGGCTACCTTACTGTCATCACCGATCCCGAGACTCGATTGCATGCTGCACAATTCGAAAGAGGCGAGGCTAGCAGCAGTCGTGAAGCTCGTAGGTATGCAACATTCAAACTTTCAAGGAACAGGCAACCCACCAACATGTTCCCACATCCTAACCAAATCCTCAACCATCCATCTCAACGTCTCAATCCTATTCTCCGCCACCCCACTTACCCCAGTCGCTATTCTCGCATTAACCGTATCCTCATCACCTCCGACGAACTGCTCGTAAGCTTGTGTAGTCCTGTGCCATTCTTCGAAAATTGCTCTCTCGTTCCATTCTAGGATCTGAGGATCACAGGTTCGGAGCTTGGTGAGATCGCGGATGACGTTCCAGTTCGGATTGGTTTCGTGAATTGTCCCGGGCTCGAACCCAAATGTTGCAGGCTGGGGAGGTCCGCCGTTGGGAGGGCGAAATCTGGGAGTCGGAGGAGGCTGTGGGAGGATTTGAAGACCGAGTTGAGCGAGGAATGGACAATTTCTGTAGAAGAGGTGGTCCATGCGGAATGGGTGGTGTGAATATGGGAGGGTTGTGGTTGATTAGAATTGGGATGTGGTCACAGCGTTGCATTTGTTTCCGCTGGTCGCCTGCCATTTTTGTGATTGATACTAGGGTTGAATCTAGGATCTTGAGCAAGCAGATCTACAGATTAGCATGAATGTCAGTTTGTCTTGCAAGGACTTACTCCTTCAATGGCGCCATTACTTTGAGAAAACCCAAGCCTATTTCCTATTCTTATTCTATACTGCTGCCAACAGTATTCACCATAGCTTCAGGCTGACGTGACAAGCGTGTTCACCATGTACTGCGCCAAGGTCGACTCTATATCCAGAACCTCACCAGCATTCTCAAACAAACCGGAAAACCGGGACTCCAGCAATTATGACGACTCCGGCACACACTGACCCAACGAGTGACGGGTGGATCCACGATCAGAACGACTATGACCAGCAAAATGGCATCTGCAACGATGCCCTAATCCGAAAGCACGAGAATTCAGCGAGAACAAGCAGATTCTCCGAAATTGCATCAACGAGCACTACGGCCCGACTTTTGGCACGCTTCCAGGTTCGAGAGTACCTTGAGAGAATCGTTCTACCGCTGAAGTTGGCTTGGGCGAACAGACGACCGTATCCAGAGAAAGACGACACGGCGGAGAAGCGAAATATCAGGATTGCGCCATCACAACACCCTCCTTTGACCGATCCGGGGGACGTCAGTACATCTGTCGCGCCTTCGTTGTATGACGTATACATCCCGGATTCCACACTGCTGCATGATATGCAGCTCGATATGGACATGGGTCGGGTGATCCCAATGAGGAAATCTTAAGTCGTCAAGGTGGAGTATGACTGCTGCAACCTCTGGAAGTGGAAGAGGGCTGAACATCAAGGCTCATGATATTCTGCTATACAAGTCTAAGTCAACGAAACCCGCTAAATCCATCTCAAAACGTTCTTGATTCCTCATTCCGGCTCCGGGGACGCCACCTGTCGTCGCTCTTGCTGAGGACGCAATTCTATATGGGTGTCATGTGAAGAGTCTTAGCAACTCTGAAGGAAGCTGTGCCGCCTCGCTGTATCGCCCGAGTGCTCGTTCGCAGTGCTCTTTGCTCGCTTCGTATCATCCGCACCACTCCTCCTATCGCAGCGCTATCTCTCCACGTCCACTTTGTCTTTTGTGCATAAGCGCCTGGCAGCCGCAGAACAGGAGAAAGACCTGTAGTAGTATTGTCAGCTTGGTGTCCTTCAGTCCAGGTCCTCAAGTGTCTTCGGTCTCCGTGATCGATTTAAACTGCCGGCGACTTACAGCGTATACTACAACTGCTCCGAACACTGCAGTCGCGACCTTCTTGCCATCTGGCGGGTCTTCTGTGCTCCCCATCATGCTGTGATGGTTGGATGCGAACATGCCGCCTATTGTGCTTAAAATGACGATGCCGAAAATCGAGATGACAATGCTGTATACCGTATGAGCCCTCTGCTTCATCGCGCATGCCATACGCCTGGCATTTGCTTACCATGTCCATGCATTGAAGGCAGATACTACGGGCTTCATGATGGATGTGGTTGGCGCCTTTCGCAGGTCGCAGCGTTCGGGGAATCGGTCGTGCACAGATCAGTATCGTTGCGTGCAAGTTTGACGGTCCGAGCGGTCTTTGCAGGTGATTTCGTGGGCGACGGGCTCGTATCTGTGGTGTATGATGACGGCGTGGGTGGTGGTAGCAGTGCGGCGGCCAGGTTGAAGGCTGCGCACAGATCGGCATGCGGCCAAAGTTCCATCCCCCATCACAAGCACCAGCGCCAGCACTGAATGCGACTGCCTACGACTTTCCAATTCACCACATCCAACATCCACAACACGCATTTCGAACAAAGAGACACGCACTGAGCGCACTTCACAATGCCAGCGTACCATTCCGTTTTCCTAGACGAGCCGAACCAGCAATTAATTGGCAACTTTGCTCTGCTCCCGCTACGAACACGAACCAGAGGTCCAGCACAGCAATTACCTGCACTAGCTGGCGTCACCGAACTCGACATTGAGCCCAGCAATGAGTCCTACGATCCACTAGACGAAATACTCTCGCTCTTCCGCGCCAATACCTTCTTCCGAAACTTCGAAATCAAAGGCCCCGCAGACCGCGTCCTTATATATGGCATCCTCTACGTCAGCGAGGCGCTGAGCAAAATCAAGCCAGGCATGAGCAAGAGAGATGCTGAGAAATCAGTGATGAACTCTGCTTTGGACACGAACTTTGCGATACCTGGCGATGCGGGCTTTCCGCTCAACCAGATGTTTGAGCCTCCCAGAGATAGGAATGAGGCGGAAGTGCTGAGACAGTATATTATGCAGATGCGGCAGGAGCTGGCTGTGAGACTTTTGAACAGAGTGTATGGTGACGCATCAGGGCAGCCTAGTAAGGTGAGTGCTGTGAATGCAGCGACTAGGACAGGTCACGCGGTCGTCGGCACGACGACTAAAGCAGAGCTAACAAATTGCACAGTGGTGGCTCAGCTTCCAAAAGCGCAAGTTTATGGGCAAGGCATTATGATCGCATCAATGATGGGAAGTACCTTCGACCGGGCGCAGCGAAACTGCTCGAGACGAAGAATCGCTAAACGAATGTGATCATCCTCGACATGCTTGTGGCATTTAGTGGTATAGGAAGCCACCTACGCTAGACCAACTGCTAGATATCGCAAAGCAGAGGTGAGAGCGTCAGAAAGATTCCGACGCTGCATTAAGGATAAAACAGTGGTCTCTGAGAAATCGTGGACCAGGCTAGATATGGCGATGTCTCATGACCAGAAGCATGACTTCGACCGCTACGAAAAGCTATGAATAGAGGAAATCTGCATTGAACCATGATCAAGCTCTCGACAGCAGCAACTGACATTCCGCCCACCGAACCGCTCATAGGCAGGCTTCTCGGTCCGATATGCAATCACATGAGCAGTCATGCAGCCCTCTCGTGTTACGGAAGAGCGGCCTCGGATGCAAAGCAGATCTGGACAGCTTCAGCCTCCAGAGACTGCTTGCGAAATCGCCCTGCATGCAGGCGTGTCAGTAGCAAGACCGGTGAATGGTATTCCAGCTTTCACCAGCGAATGCGTCGAATCATGTGACAGCCATCTAAGCCTCCGCCCAGCTGCGGGAGAAGACCGCTAGAAGGTCTGTCGAAGCACCTTGCCTCCAATAGGCATCGCTCGCGAGATCCACTTTGTTGCTGCGGATCGTCCATCTTGATGCCTTTCGTGTGACGACCAGCCGGTCAGCTTCTGTTTGGAGTAATTCGACCTCGCAGCAATGCGCCAGGCCTCCTTCCAGCTCTGGCTGTGTTCCCTGCCCTGCACAGCCATGTGAGTAGCATGCGGCTGACCGGCACTTGCCACTCTCCCAGGGAGCTCGCACTTTGGTTGTGCATACATATAATGGGACGCCTATTCCTTTCATCGTCTTACCATCAACCAACAATCTCATCACTTGCAATCCATGGCCATTATTGTACCGGCATAGACCACCACAATCGCAGTCATGCCTAGCAGACTATCAAAGCTATTTTCCTCCGACAAGGAGAAGGAAGCACTTGCCCAACGTGACAACAGTTCGCGTGGCAAAGACTCTTCCTCCTCTTCAGAGCAGCTTCCCAGCTACGAGCAGGACCAGATCGATCGGGACCACATCTTACAGCCTCCAGATATCACCGCTGGCTTCAGCAACCTTTCCATACGACCGTCTGTCAATGGCGTCCCGGTCAAAGAAGAGACGGTCGCTCACCTCAAAGTTCTGGAAGCCTTCTATCGCTTGAGGCAATCAGTCGGCTCGCAGAGTGGCCTCTTTGGCATTCACAACAACATCGTCACAGGACACGGCCTGCCCGAAAGCGACAAGATCGCAGAGCTTCTTGCCAGACTCGCGGAGAAGAGATGGGCCATCTACGTTCAGAGAGCCGTGGACCGGTTTGAAGCGTGGTGGAACGTCCTTCTACCCAATGCGTACTGGCCAGAGCGTGTGCGATTAGAAAGCGAAGGGAGACGAGGTCTTCTTGTCAAACCAGAGAACGTTGGAGGTATGCCCTATCGACTTGTCATGGATAATCTGCCACCAGTCGACATCTTGATGGTTTGGCATGCATTCATGCTCAACCCACGAGCTTACTTCGAAGACTGCTTGAGACAAGGCCATATGGCTTTTTGGCATTGCTCGTTCCCGTGGGAAGAGGTCGCGGGTGCCATCAACTCTGAGACCTTCGCGTTCGAGCCTTCAATTGAGATGCAGCAACACTTCACCGAGCTCACTAATCTTCCTTGGGATAATTTGGAAGGGAACAAGCTACGGACTGTAAAATGTCCTTATTGCCAAGCGAGCAACGACGTCCCATGGACTACATGCGACTGGAGTGCTGCAGACTCTGGAATCGCCGACGAGACAATATTAGATACAGCTATCGATCATGCGCTCTCTAGTGGCTATGGTTTCTCAGACAAGGACTTTTTTGCGACCTGCAGCAGTTGTAACGCATCCATTCACCACGATCGACTACGAGCTGGAAAGTTTGCCCGCGACCTTCGGAGATTGATTGTAGATGACAAGCCGATGGCTGGCACTGTCTTAGGCATGGAAGGAATTCCATTCCAAGCTTTTGGCAAACGAGACGTGACCTCCGAATCTGTCATGAAGTTCCCTAATGAACTCCTCAGGCATGGACTTGGAACGGTTATTGAAGGCAGTCGGAAAGCAGGTATCTTCGATTCAGAAGGGGCAGATGGCCACAGTATAGACGGCATTCGTGGTATGATTGAAGGGATGATGAAGAACAAGAGCTATATGCGGAAGGTGAGAGGAAGCCATTCGCACACACCGCAAAGAGCTGAGCGCGTGGCCATTCGGAAGATGATGAGTCGATATTGGGACAACAGCTCACCATTCGCGCTTGATCTGGTAGGGGCAGTCATCCGTCAAGGAACGTTTATCGAAAAGATGCATAACATTGACTGGCTGCATTCTCCGGCGTTGCCATCGACCATGGAGAGGATCATCACGAAGTACCAGCACTTCATGAACATCATGAAAGATCATCCTACACGAATGGCTGTTCCAACACTTGACGTTGACCTGGTCTGGCACACGCATCAACTCAACCCAGCAACGTACATGGAGTACACGATCACCAAAACTCGTCAATTCATCGACCATGACGATAAAGTTGCTGAAGTTCAGCTCAATGACGCTTTCGCCTGGACGTCCAAGACCTACCAGAAACTCACCGGCCTCCCGTACTCCGAATGCACTTGCTGGTACTGCGAAGCGATCCGAGAGTCGCATACTTCAGCCGCCAGTCGCTTCTTCCAGACTCCCTCTGCGACAGCTGCCGACGAGTTGCATGCCTCCCCTCAAGATCCCAAGAAGAGCGTGCACATCTCAGCCCACAACGCCGTTCGCCCGACCGACGCAAAGTACGATGCCGTTTCACGCTCTCACGCCGATGATCTCGAGAAAGCATATCAGAAGGCCTGCGAACGAGCGAAGAAGAAGGGCAAGCCGGTGCCGAAGAGGAATGATTATTACTACTCTGATGCGTATGGGTACCCTGTCTACATCCCGGCATACTCTCCTTACATTGGCTTTGTGCCTTACGCTCCAATGTACTACCCTGCCACACCAGGCTGCATGGCTGTCGGGGCTGGAGCTGTAGGTAACTGCTGTTCAGGAACCTGTGGCGGTGGTGTCGCCGCTGGTGGCTGTGCCGGAGCAGGCTCGGGCGGATGTGCTGCAGGAGCTGCTGGCGGCTGTGGCGGCGGCGGTGGAGGAGGGTGTGGTGGAGGTGGCGGAGGAGGGTGTGGTGGCGGAGGAGGAGGAGGAGGTGGTGGTGGTGGATGTTAGTTTTAGTGAATGGATAATTGGAGGGACATGGCTGCTTTGGTGGATTTTTCGATCTCTCCCATGCTGTTGAGATGCCCGTTGAATGAGGATGACATTTTTATCAAACCCACAATCCTTTTCGACCGAAATCCATCTCCTCGTCTCACATACCAAACTCACAGTGACATATGGCACTTTCGTTGTTGCCAAGAATCTGCAAGACTTTTGGACGGCAATGTGCGTGCTCAAGCAAACCCATTCTCTCTTCGACTTTTACATCAAGACTTTTGCAGTTCAATGAACAACATATGCGACGCTTCTTAACCCGATCCTCAGATCGCATCAGGCAGGCATGTCCGGTTTTCTCGCTTCTTGCAAGTCGTGTGACTGCCTCGGTATTCTGCCGCGCTCTCCGCTCAACTCAACTCTTGTACGACAGAAAGCGCCACGTCAAGCAAACCAGTTCTCCTTCTCTCGTGTGTGTCTGTCGAGCAAGCTGAGCCTTAGGCAAGATATAGGAGGATACTTTTGCGCGAGGTCCGAATACGAATACGGTGAAGGCACCTGGCGACTTTTCACGGCCTCCGAACGGAATCCCGAACTTCGAGACAATGGTCGTCACGGAATTCCAGGACATCATCCAATTCTCAACCGGAAATCCTGAGTCCTCTCGAAAGATTTTGATCTATTTCGTCCCGGGAAATCCAGGCTTGGTGGAGTACTATCGAAGATTCCTGGAACATTTGCGTGGACTGCTCCGTGAGGCTAAAAGAAAAGAGCACATCCTGATCTACGCAGCCAGCCATGACGGCTTTGAGTTCCAGGAGGAGACGAAACGCCTACACAATCATCAGAATCATGCACCTCCGTACTCGCTCGCCGAAGAAGTTCAGGGCTTGATATCGAAAATCAGCACGCGAGCTCATCAGACTGCGGAAGAACATCCTGGTTCGACATTGGATGTCATACTGGTTGGACATTCGGTTGGCTCGTATATGCTGCTTGAAGCCATTGAGTGGTATCAGCAGCAAACCTCGGAAAAGGCAGTGTACAACATCATTGGCGCGATTTGCCTCTTTCCAACAATCGTGGATATGTTTCGGAGCGATAAAGGCCGCGTTTTCAAATGGATCCTCCCAATCCCTGGTCTCGGTCTAGCTTTGACTGGAATCATCAGACTCTTACAATTCTTCTCCCCCGGTCTCCTCACGAGTTTAGCGAAGAAGCACACTCCAGGCCCGGAAGGCTGGGAGGTCACAGAAGCCTTGGCAAAAAGCGACTATGGCATTCGACAAGTGATATACATGGCCCGCCGCGAACTTTCAGAAATCACACACGACAAATGGCACCCTGCAACGCTCTGGGGTGTCGTAGACGAAAACGACGCATCCCACCTCAATGCCAGAACGAAACTTTTCTTCCTCTGGGCCCACAAAGACTACTGGGTTCACGACGACACCCGAGACGAAATCATCGCAAAACGCCGCACGAGAGGAACTCACGAGACACGACATTGGCCGTGCATGGAACTTTTGGAGAATGAAGACATTCCGCATACGTTTTCTCTTGATCCTGAACATTGTCGTTGTGTGGCTATGAAGACTGCGGAGTGGATTGTTGAGGGTTTGCTTGAAGGCGTGAGGTAGATGTAGAGGTACCGTCCTGAGCGACTGGAATTCCTTCCTTTTCGAAGATTTTACCGGTATATGCCATATTCTTGATCATCGCTCTCCCATCGATTCGGCTCTTCGTGCTCGGGCCATTTGTCGTCTGTGTCGCGAGGCGTTTCGGCGATGAGGTGGCGTTGGAATTGCTTTTGGTAAGGCATGGTGACTGCGAGTGATGGATGGTAGAAGAAGGTGAGGATTTGTTTCTTTGGTGGGTGGTGAGACCGGCTCGAAGATGTATGTTGTTGTGATTTGATGGATGATGGAAGATGAGAAGGAGGATTTTTTTTGTTTTTTACTTATTTCTCAGCTGGATGAGGGCTGTGCTCTGAGACGAAGGCTAGAAACATCGATTCATTCTGTTGCAAGACATTTTCGCATACACACACCGAACATTTGACTCCGAAGTTCTACTTCCTCAATCAACTTTCTAAGACAATCGATGACAGAAACACGAAACAAGATCTCACACACAACGCCCCCTTTGATCTATTGGTTGCTCAATCGCTCTCCACCCCTTCCCTCCCCCCTATACCCCCCTCCCATCCTTCATTCCCTTCCTTTAGAGTTAGGAGTTTCCTCCCTTAGTCTCAACCTCAGTGATGCTTCTTCTTCCTACACTCCTCCCTAAACCCCAAATCCTTACACCTCCCATTCTCGTAACACTTGTAATAATGATGAATCATACCCCCAGAAATCACATCCTCATTCGCCATCTCATAGCATTTTTTTCCGGCGTGGTTGGGTTGGCATTTGCAAGGCCATTTGTCGTGGGCGAGAGCTGGGAGGGGGATTGAAATTAGTAATGGGAGGGTGAGGAATTTGGGAGTCAGTGTGTGAGTGAGGGTAAGAGGGAGTTGGGATGTGAGTTAGTGATGAGAGTGATCTGGGTTGGGGACTGGATTGGACTGACCGACTGATGTGTCTGTGTTTGGGAGGGCGGATGTTGATGCTAGGGATAGCATGGAGGTGAGGACGAGGAGTGGTTTGAGGAAATGCATCTTGGGTGGTGTTGGTTTTGGATTGGTGGGATTGGAGGTGATGGAGGAGGAGGAAGAGGAGAGAGGAGAGGAGAGGAGTGATGCTTTCTTATAATTCTTCACGGCTTCCGAATGTTGCCGGTTCACAGGTAGGGGTTTTCGCTTCCGTTGCTGGAATGGTGGATAAGTGTCGATATTGTGCTGGATGGATGCAGTGAAAAGGCTCGGGAACTCCAATGCCAGTCTTCATGGGATGTGTGGATTAGCTGATATTTCTCCATTTGCGCATGTCGAACATGTTTCTTGGAAGAATTTGATGCCCAAAGGAATTCAAGAGCTTGGGAATCCAATAAGAGAGTGTGCATCTGCATCTTGACTTCTGCCGAGACCGTGGTTGTGGTCTACGGAGCCAATCATCGGTCTTCGAACTTTGCTGACTTCTACCACTACACATTCTCACTCTCGTCAGTAAATAGCGGTAATGACTGGTGGCATCCACTGCTGGATGAGAAGTTCAACTCCGCCCGACTTTGTATGAACTTCTCTCGGGAAATTTTCCCCATTCAGCCATCGTAATCACTCCCGCATCTATTAATCCTTCCCAAGTCGGTACACCTGTTGTTACCTCTGTAACACTGGTAGCAGTTTCTTCTCTTCTTGTCGACGTAAATGATGTTCGAGCTTCCACGGTATCAGCAGAAGTACAAAAGTGGTTCCACAAGCACAATACCGATGTCAGGAGTATGATAGAATGGCATCAAGGCACCTGTCGCTTTGTATAGCACCATCTCCTTGCATAAAAGATTGCGGAGGAGAGCGCTACAAGCGTAAGCTGCCAACCATTCTCGAAAGTCGACGCACCAAGTGGATAGAGGACGTCGATGGCTGCATCGAACACGGTGAGCGCTTGGAAGAGCGCAGAGGGTGTGATGTGATATCATGCATGGCCTGGTGAAGGTGAATGATGAGCAGAGAAGGCCGGCAGACTTGCAGAAGATCGACCTTCATCGATGGCAATGCCTTGTTTTGATCGCTGCTGAGAAAGCAACACGCTGAACTCTGTTTCCCGCTACGTCATTTGTCTGCCAGAGGTGTTGATATACCCCTCTACCCCTCCACTGTAAACAATCGACACCTTGACCCAAATTGAAGAACTAATTTATCGAAGAAAGAAGTAATCATGTCTGGCAACGTTGGAATGGGATCGTGCTGCATGAGCGGCCATTTGGCTTCAGGAACACCGCAGGGCCGAGAGGAGACGATCGGTGGACTGCCAACTTACGTCGCGGAACCCGCGAACAAGGACAAGAGCAAGACCGTCGTGTTCCTTAACGACATCTTTGGCTACAAGTTCAACAACATCCGGCTGCTGTAAGTCTCTCGAAAAGGATGGCAGCCTTGGGATGTGCAGATTGGCTGACGATGACGATCACTGCAGGGCGGACGAGTATGCAGCTAATGGATTCACTGCTTACATTCCCGACGTCCTCGAAGGCGATGCGATCGACCAGGCATTCCTCAAGACCATCGAGCCGACTTTACCAGAACGCGAGGCTCGCTCGATAACGGAGAAAGCGGCTGCAACCGCAAGCGTCGCAGCTACGCTTGGTCCGTTCTTGATCAAGCACCGAGAGGCTGTGGCTCGTCCCATCATCGAAGGCTTCATCCAGAAGGTGCGCGAGATTCCAGGGACTCAGAAAGTGGGTGCGATCGGGTTCTGCTGGGGAGGTCGATACGCCATCTTAGCTGCACAGAAGCCTTTTTCTGGGACTCCAGGCAAGGGTATCGACGCGGCATTCGCAGCTCATCCGTCGCTCCTCTCCATTCCAGCCGACTTCGACCCTGTCACAGTACCGCTTAGTCTCGCGCTGGGCGAGAAGGACTCATTACTTGGCGAGACGGAGCAAGGGCAGATCCTGAGACTGATGGCTGCGAAGAAGAAGGGTGAGGGAGAGGGCGAGGCTTTGGACGGCGCTGAGTGCATCATCTACCCAGATCAGATCCACGGTTTCGCCTTGAGGGGTGATTGGGCCGATGAGAAGAGCAAGGCGGCGATCGATCAGGTTACCAAGCAGAGTGTTGGATGGTTCAAGAAATATTTGTAGCTGTGCGACTTGCGGAAGCTTCGACGCCAGCAATGTGAGCTGTGTAAGGCAGATACGCTACGCTTTCTCCATGTTTATGATAGACGGGAAATGGAAAGATGTTGAGGATTAACAAGATGTGAGAAGCGGGAGCAGGCGACGTTGAAGTGACAAGTGCGGCCGTGCCGTTGACCAGGGCCCTGGTCAAATCTTGCTTCCAGCCCCAGCCAGCCCAATTGTCTTGTCATCGACATCATCAGGCTGCCAGCCATCACGCCTTCAACCCGTAATAAGCTGATCTCACTGACTGATATCGACACGTCTTCGCGGTGTGGTCTCGAGACAAGTCGTTTCCAACATCCAGCCGGCCTCGCGTAGAGCCTTCGCGTTATTGCGCAGCAATGTCCTGCTAGCGTCAATGGCCTGGGTAATTGCATCGAACACAGCGTCCTCTGCGGCGTGGGACACTTTGTCAGGCCCAGTGACCCGCTCTGGCTCGAAAGTATTGTCGGTATGAGTCGCCATGGCCTTCGCAACATGCAAGGCCGACCACCAGGCAGAAAGTAGATCCTCGGCGTTGGCAGACTGCCTCAGGACAATCGAAACATGGACTATACCTCCACGTCGGCTCGGCCAAATCAGAAAATTAGAGCCCTTGCATGCAGACATCAACCTCGACATTCGATACCCATCGACCTTCAGCGATGGCACTGATGTACACTCGTGATCGGAGAGCGACTTTAAGAATCCTCCGAACGACTCGTTCATCGTGCATACTCCTATCAGCCGATTTTCCGCGTCTCTCACGGCACCGTTGCGCTCAAAGATCCGTTCTACCCGAGAGACCTCCGCAGGCCTTGGAATGTGACCGACGCACAAGCGGTGATACACCACTGTTGCTCTTTGCCGGTTGAGGGTCTGCATTACAATGGCTCTGACTGCCCGTCGATTGGCTTCAAGATGTACAGACAACATGAGAATCAGCGCTGTCCAAGTCGCCCAATGTCCAGAGATCCAATTCACGAGGAGACTGCCGGTCAGCATTCCCAGTAGTGATATTATGGTTTCTTGACTGCTGTCTTTGGCGTTGAGCTCTCCCAGGTTCTCCCACTTCGCGAAGTGCGCGCTCAGGCTTGCTTTCGTCGAGCTTGCGACGACGTCGCAGACAGCGAAGCAGATGCTACTCAAAGCTAAGATTGGCGGCCGAAATGCTTTCGGGAGCATGGGAGAAAGGCAGTTGAGAACAAAAGATGAATCGTGCAAGAGGTCTGCACAGAATCGGTACATTTTACCTGCGATCGTGTGTGCGATTTTAGCAAATACTAGTCAGCGGCAACTTATTATTATTATTAGGAATTTGCACCTACTTACATTCTGGCTCGATGGCTTTTCCGAGGCGGTAGGCAAATGCGACCTTCGCAATACGGCTCAAGGATTGCTGGAGCATGGACAGGAGCAAAGCCGAAGTAGGCGATGCTGAAGAATCGCCGACGCCCACGCTTAAAAGCACGGCGCGAGAGGACAATAGCCCGGCAATGCTACTGACGAATGCCTGTATAGAATCCTTCGCGCCATCAGGCTCTGGACAAGATCCTTCTTAGCCCACGGTGGACACTCACATAGATCTGATATCTGTCAGAAACGTCAACAGTGTCCCATATAAGCCAGATGCATCCGACTCTATTTCAACACACTCTTTGTAATCCTCTGTCACACTGTGTGGGTAGCCCGAAGGCAGAAAAAGGGCGATGAATCTTTGAAGTAAAGTATTGGATGTCGGAGGGAACTGAGGAGGTAGTTTAAGCTTTGATGTAATTCCTGGTGATGATGCTGTACTTACGATCGCATCTACTCGGCTTGGGGATCCTTTTTTTCCGATAGAGTGTATGTAGGTTGCGGTGAGTGTTCCTGCCTCGTCAACTTCTCGGACTCGGAATTGGATTTCTGCCATGGCGTATTATTAAGTGTGTCGAGATCACGAATATCTTGCGACGATGTATGAGCATCAACTAGGTACTCGTAGTTGTAGAGGACGAAGAGACATTGCATGCATTGAATTGAATCGTGGTCAGCCACTGACGTAATCTGGTAAGGCTGGGACGGAATTTGCCAAGGCTGCGCTTGCGAAGTCGTTCGCAGTGCACTTTTTATACGAAGAGAAGCTACACTATCATGTCGCTAGAATAGTTCTATCAGTGGACGTTGCTCGGACTTTCGGTGGACATTCATTAGGACATGGATCACAAGACTACAGTCTCTATCATATGCAGCAACTCCGCCTTCGCTGACCTTGCATGCTCTCATGGTGCCTTGAAGCTCAGTACATTAAAGACTAATTTGCCTTGAACGTGCACCAGCGCCATTTCTGTATATGCTTAGGCACAACTTTACTTGCAAGTCTGCTAATCCGAAAGGGAAGACTGTGCTTCTGTTCCACCTGTTGGCCGGCTTACAGCTTGGGCCGTCTGCTCCGGGACAGCAAGCGCAGCCGATGGGACTGGGCTTTGCGGAGCAGCAGGCGTTGTGGCTGTGGTATTGTTGGAGCTTTGACTTGGAGCTTTCGTGCTACTTTTGCGGACCGGGGGATCTTGAATTTTGGCGACAACCTCCCGAAAACGCTCCCGAAGAACTCTTTGGTACCACCATCCAACATAGCTCATGAATATCAGTAAGATTGCTGCAGTCAAGCCTCCAGGAAGCCAAAATGTGCGGGCATTATGGACCGACTCGGCGCTGTTACCCCCCATGAAGATCTGGACATTTTCGTCATGTATGTTCATCCAGTATCGTATCTGCAGAAGCATGAGCCAAGCACAACGCACAGGTCAGTGTAGCCTACCGGAAAGAGACATAGACAGTTCTGGTATAGGCCCATGAGGAAGAAGACTAGGCAGTGTCAGCATAAGACAGGAGAATACGATGGACTCCGCCCACCTGTGCCCATGACAGAAGTGAAAAATGACATCACTACGCCCAGTACAAGAAAGAAATACCACAGCACCAGGACTAAATTGATGGGACGGGTCTTTTGCAAAGTGTGCGCCCTTGTATCCCTCGAATTTCTCTCCCAAAAAAACCAGCTGAACAGCCAGAGTATCATGAGGAACGTCTGCGACATAGCATATACCAAGGTTGTCGTAGAGCGGCAGCTCAATCCCGTCACCGGCGTCACATAACTGATATTTCGTCAGGACGACATTCGCTGCTTGTGAAGTCGCAGTACCACCTACCTAATCATCATACCAAAGAAGCTCGGGAAGAGGATCAGAAAAATGGCGGGACATAGAACCTGAAAAGTCCATCCGAGCCAGCCAATATCCAGTATGTCCCGCTCAAGTCCAACAAGATCAGGGTATTCCTCGACGACACGATGAATCCAGCGAGCTTTGCTTGATCCTCGCTCCCAGGGCCAAACTTGCGTGTACACAGACATATACGGCCCCGACGTAGACATTCTCGTAGCGAGGACTGGTAGACGCAGGGCAGCCATTCCACCTTTGCCTTTGGAGCCGTTGGAGCCAGCGATGCCTTTCTGGTGCTGTATATGCTGTATACTGTCCGGACGCTCTGGGCCATAAGTGATAGCCTCCCACACCTTGGTTTCTTTCCCAGCCAACAACAAACTAGAAGCAATCGCGACATGGGGTATTGTCATTGAAAAGATGCCAAAAGCTAAGCCGTGGGAGGGTTGACTAAATCGAGTGGTTAGTGATGTGCCCATTGCATATGATTGCAACATACTTATCCGCCGAATGCGTGATGAGATCAGCAACAGCGTAAACAAATGAGCCTGTGTAGAAAAGAACAGCCGCGCCAACGTTGGATCCAAAACTTGGTTGCGACTCCAGCATGCACTCCAGTTCAATCTTGACGCGCTCAATGTGATGCTCAAAGTCGTCATTGGAAGCTGTGTGGTTCTTCAGATTCGCGGAATGACCAGATGATGAGCTTCGAGAGCTTCGAGAGCGGCTCCCATTTGCGCCTGTACTTGGAGCTGAGAGTTCGTGTTGAGAGGACGCTGGGCCGGACGCTGGGGCCAAGAGCCCCGTTGCTGGAGATTGATGTGCCTGCAAGCCTTGCGAATTTGGAATTTTAGGTGGAGAAAGTCTCGCCACGCGCTGAGTCGCGTGATCCCAAGCTGGAGTAACATCCAAGTTGCCTAGCAGCACACAGAAGAGTATGTGTGCTTGTTGTTGAGCACTGAGCGATCTTAAAGCAACGCCTCGTGGGGGTAGCTTCAAAAGTATGTCCAGTATCCGAAGATCAATCACAGCTTCGAAAACGCATGCAACAATCATCGGCCCCGCAAGGCAGAATACCACCATGAGCCAAATGACGAGGTCAACGATCGCCACGAAAGCTGCAGTCGGAATTTGATATAGCGCGCTCAACATGCCAGACCAAGTGCTGAATCGCTTTGGGAAGAGCCAACCAGGGACATGGACTCGTCGTCGGCGGCCGATGTTTAGGACAAAGATGACAGATGGTACTATGAACGCCAGCAGGGGCTGAAGCCAGTTATTGACACCTTGCCCGTCGTTGATATGCCACGAGCTCCCGCAATGACCCAGACACCAGTCGTAAGTTGTCCAAACTTGCGGAGGCCCTCCAGCGGAGCCATTGTACCCGGCTGTGCATGGACAAGGTGAATCAATGAGCACGTTGATATCACCTCGAAGGGCAGTTTGTCCTGGGACGTATTCCACGGTATTGTTGACAATGCGAAGTGACTCGTTGATAGCGACCAAGCAGCAGGCACCAAAATTCAGATTGCCAGTAGTGTTGTCGGGCGTGTAACTTCGACCTTGAAATGGCGCCAATTCCCCCTTCCAGAGCTGGCCAAGTGAGGAAACGTTGAGGGAAGAATGCGCAAGACAGGCAAAAAGAGGCACAAGCGCAAGGTGCGCGACAGCCGTACGCTGGTGTAGCATTGTGAGCAACATGACACAAGCGCGGGGAAAAGTGCACGGCACAGAGCACAATAAATATCGGTACAGACCTTGCGCTCCGATCAAAGCTCGCCTGGAGTGCGACACATGCGACAGGCCACCATGTCAGTCATGCTCAGCACCGCCTGGCGCAAGTAGAGGCCGCCCATGGTGCGATGCGATGCGATAGAGCTCAGCCTCGTGTGTAGAAGATGGTGATAGCAAGGCCCTCGGCGGTATGGAACGTCAGAGGTATCAGGTGGAGTATGTGTTGTCCATTCTGGTTCGCAGGCGGTGGCTGGGCGCTGCGAAGTTGATGTGAGGGTGTAAGTGTAAGTCATCGTGCAGATTCCAAGTTGCCTTCAAGTTGCCTTGAGTGCAGTAGCGTGAAAACCCCTGCTTGCCAAGCCTGGAACAAGCCGCGTGTGCAAATCTCTCCGTCGCTTTGGCCATTTGTTCTGTCGACGCCATCCCATCCCATTGTAAACGAACGCATTTCAAACTGATCCTACACCTTATAGTCTACCCTGAGAAACTTCAAGTGCAACGCTCGACCATGAACAATTCACAACTGGCATGCCAGCCTGAAGCTGGAGCTCCCGCAGATTTGACCGACTTTTTCCAACGCGAAAAGGACATATCGATGGTGCACTTCCACTGGGTTGACATGTCAGGAAGGTTGCTGGCGCGTGTCGTCCCAAAATCCCGATGTCAAACACTCGCAGCAGCTGGGCAGCCTACCACAGGTACAGCATATGGTATCCTAGGTTTCATGAGCTGCTTAGATCTGCCCGATAATTGTATGCCAGGAAGTCGGACTGCTCTGTATCCGGACTGGAGCTCACTTTGCCGTCTTCGAGAAGGGCATGCGTCCGTGCTCTGCAATATCTCAGAAGAGAACAACGCATATGGTGACGTCGATGGCAGTATATTCGATCGATGCCCTCGGTACTCACTGTCAGGTCTGGTGAAGCGCATCAGGGAGGACCATTGTTTGAGTATGTTAGTAGGGATTGAGATCGAGTTCTACCTGGTGCCGCAACCACACCACGACGAGATGCCGCATTTGACTTCGGCACCATTGTACAATCGCAACAGCGTGGCTTGTAGCATTCGAGGGAAGAATGAGGCAGTGCTTTGCGAAAGTGCTCAACAACTCGAACGGTGTGGGATAGCGATTGAGCACTATCACGCAGAGTCAGGCCCTCAACAATTTGAGATTGCCCTTGGTCCGATGGAAGTCGTCAAGGCTGCAGACTCATATGTTCGTGCGAAAGAGATCGTTGCCAACGTCGCCGAAGCACACGGCATGAAGGCTATCTTTTTGCCTCGGCCTTTTGAAGAGGCTGATACTTGCGGTCTGCATGTTCACATGTCATTTGAATCCACGTCAACGGAAGACGATGCAACGGCTCAGGAAGGCAAGGTTCAACATTTTCTTGCAGGTGTTCTTGGGCGACTTTCACGACTGTGTGCTTACGCGATGCCAACAGAGGAAAGCTACTCGCGACTTCATCTGATGACCTTAGGACAATGGGTATGTTGGGGCACTGAGAACAGAGATGCTCCAGTTCGTCGCATCAATAGCAACCACTGGGAGTTCCGCGCTATAGACTGTACAGCCAATATTTTCCTGGTGCTCGCAACTTACATTGGAGCCGGCATACTTGGTATCCAGCGCCAAGAGCCGCTGCAATGGCTGGACAGTACTAACTACCACTTTCGCTATACAGACGAGACGAGGAAAAGCTTGGGCATCACCGAGATGCTTCCTGCAAGCCAGGCTGAGGCAGCCACGCTATTCAACATGGACACCATGGGTTTCGAAACTGTCATAAGTCCTCGACTGCTCGACCTGCATCAAAGAGTCAAGGCGATGGAAGAGAAGACATTTCGGGAGTTGGGTGAGCACGGTCGTGTGAAAACATTCCTAGACGTGTATTGACTTCGACATTTGACACTCGCGACAACAAGCTTTAAGTAACTTCTGGCAGTCGCCGTGCGCCCCGGCCCATCCCGAAGCAGCCGCAGGATTTGCGGGGATGCTGCAAAGTAGCAGTAGTGTAGTTACACAGCACTTCAAGCTTGCTTGCAGCGTTGGTCGCTTCGCTGTTGCTTGGGAGATATGGATCTTGACGCACTGCCACTGCCACTGCCACTGCCACGTTCATCTCTCCCCTTCCGTGCTCGTGCGCCAAGCTCGAAAATCTGCGACCGCTGATTCATCACGAGCTCGTCTTGACCGCAGGGCCGAGAAGAATGCACACCCTCTTGCATCAACCACCATTCGCTACTTGGCTTCGAGTATGCGCGCGGCCTGCCTGCACTGGACTTATGGTATGGAGCGTGTTCTGCTTTGCACAGTCGCTTTGGCTGCCTTACTTGCTGTCCTCCTGGTCAGTCGAGGCCCTTTCTTACTGCACCCGCTTGCACAGGCAAAGCAGCTGCCGGTGAAAGATCATATTGGCGCCGTGGCTTCAAACGCCGCTCCTTGCAGCCGCATCGGCATAAACGTCCTCCATGAGGGCGGCAATGCAGTTGATGCAGTAGGCAAATGCCTCATACATATTGCAGCGTTCTTGAAGGCTGACTCGAATAGGCCATTGCCGCAGAGTTCTGTCTTTCCGTAATTGGTATCATCTCGTTCGAACATGACGGAAAATGGCAAGCTGATTTCCATTCAGGCATGCAATGGACTGGACTGGGAGGTGGGGGGTATGCTCTGGTCAGAGGAACAGATGGCTCCTACGACTTTGTTGACTTTCGAGAGACTGCGCCCGCATCTGCATCTCGCGACATGTACCACAATAATATCAACGCTTCGATTCACGGAGGACTCGCCAGGTAAAGTTCACGAGATCAGCTGACGAGAGACCACTAATTCTGTCGAAGCGGCGTCCCGGGACAGTTACGAGGCCTCGAATATATGCATCGGCATTATGCGTCTCGATCATGGTCGTCGCTTATAAGGCCATCTATCCATGTCGCAAGGCAAGGGTTCCGCGTGAGTGCCGAATTGGCGTCTGCTATTGAAGAAGAAGGCCCAAACAGCTTTCTCCTCACCGATGACACTTGGGCCATCGACTTTGCTCCGAATGGCACGAATCTGGTCAAGGGCGATATGATGACCCGGAAACGTTATGCAGATTTCCTCGAAGCCATCGCGCATCAAGGGCCCGATGCATTTTATAGGGGGCCTTTTGCAAACGCAACCATACGAGCCATTCGAAAAGCCAACGGAACCATGACCTTGCAAGACCTGCTCGCCTACTCCGTAATCTCACGAAAAGCTCTTGCGATCAAATACAAGGATTTCAAAATAGTCAGCTGCGGTGCGCCTGCCGGTGGATCCGTGGTCCTGAGTACTTTGAACATCGTGGGAGGCTATGAATCCATACACGAACCTTCTGAAATCCATCTTAGTACTTACAGGCTGGACCAAGCTATGCGATTTGCATTCGGACAGGTACGACATTCCAATTCGTTGCTCCTTGAATTTTTAGCTGACTGTCACAGAGAATGAAGCTTGGAGATCCTTCGTTCGTAGCTCACATGGATCAATTCGAGGATTACATGATTTCTACTTCCACTGCTACTGATATCAGAAGTCGTATTTCTGACACGCATACATTGCCATTGTCGGCATACAATCCCGACAATATGACGTCTCCCGAGTCGTGAGTCTCTTTCAGTGTGCATGTCTGCTGTGAGCTGATAAATCTCCTAGTCATGGAACGTCTCACGTTTCATCGGCTGACAAGCACGGGATGGCTGTGTCCATGACAACTTCTTTGAATCTGGGCTTTGGATCGCATGTCATGGTGCCTGAGACAGGCCTCATACTCAACAACGAGATGAACGACTTCTCAATGCCAAATGTTTCGAACGAGTACAGCTATCTGCCGTCAGATGCCAACTTTATTGCACCTGGAAAACGACCTCTCTCGTCCATGTCACCTGCCATCGCTGAGGTTCTTTCCGATGGCCACATATTCCTCCTGACTGGAGCTGCTGGTGGCTCCAAGATCATCACGTCCACTATTCAGAGTCTCTGGCACAATCTCGAACTCAACATGAGCATAGATGCAGCCGCCGCAGCTCCTAGGTTTCATGATCAGCTGATGCCGAATGAGGTAAGGACAGAATATGGCGTTACATGCATAGCAATTAACGGGGTCTTTAGGTCCTGTTCGAGTATACCTTCGACAACCACACTGTGGCATTCTTACGTGACAGAGGCTTGAACGTAACCTGGGTTCAAGGCCTCACGTATGTGCAGACCGTAAGAAGACAACCCAATGGCACATTTCAAGCGGTCGCAGAGCCACGAATGGACGATGCGGGTGGGTACGCAATATAGCATATCCTGTAAATGAGTATAGCTGCTAGGTCTACTGTGATATGCCCCACTCACCAACAATCACTTTGCAAACGTGGCACTTGGGATGACGAATATTCTTAACCAGAGCAGCAGCCAGATTTGTGAAGGTAACATATGCCAATACACAGGCGTAAGTACGTACCCCGCTTCGCAAGCCCGCCGCTTGCGCAGCTCAGCATAAAAGACATATATACTTCGCCTTTTCCGCCTCCCAAGCTGAGCACTCGACATCTGCTTCGAAGATGGACGTACATTCGACCATTAAATTCTGCAAGCGGGATCCGAAATGGTCCCATGAGAAGGCCTTCAATCTTTCATATCTTCCACCGCCTGGAACACAGAAAACCAATGTGGACCATGAAGACATAGATGTAACGATACACGATATTCGGCCACGAAAGGACTCCCTGAGCCTTGGTCGCGAAGGATTCCAAATTCTGGATCTGGAGAGTAAACTTGAGTACGAGGATTTCTTCGATCAAGAAAAGGTGCAAAGCATCTTTGCCGTGGAACTGCGGGAGGTGCTTCTGAAATCCCTCGGAGCAAGCGGCGTGTATTTTCACGAGACTATTGTAGGCATGCACTCCCCCAAACCATCGCACTGTTCTAACCTGTGCAGATTCGTTCAAGACATCCGAACTTCCCGGCGGCTGGAACAAATTTGCGGTATGAACAGCCAATTCCGAAGGCTCATGTTGGTACGTGAGGGAGATCAACCTATCACTACCGCTCACGAAAAGACAGATTATACCATCGACCAAGTGCGTTCTCTTATCGAAGAGATCTCGGGCACTTTGCTGTCACCCAAAGTTCGCGTCCAAGCTGTCAAGTAGGTCATCACAAAGCCTTTCGTGGGCCTTCGCTAACAAGGTCGGAGCGTTTGGAAGCCCCTCAAAGGGCCTGTTCGCGACTGGCCTCTTGCACTTTGCGATGCGAGTACATTGAATCCTTCGGAGGACCTCCAGGAGATTGATGCGGTATTTCCAACAGGCTTTCTTGAAGGCTACACAGTACACTACAGCAAAGGCCAGAGATGGTGCTACATATCCGACCAAAAGCCCTCGGAGATGTGGCTTTTCAACATCGCTGACAGTGCTTCGAGTGTACCCGGTAAAGCCGAGCACAATTTCTGATGGATATTCTCATGCGCTAACGATCGTAGTTGCTCACTGCGCTTTCGAGAACTCAGCCTCTTCCGCAAAACATTCGTTGAGGGAGAGCATCGAGTTTCGAATTTTCGCTATATATTCCTGAAAAGAAAAAAAGAAATGTTGGTATACAGTCTGATTCCTCATGACGAATTCTCCGCACATATCCACGAAAATGTTTTTTTGAAAGTCTGACAACCTTCTCCGAAATGAATGAGTTGATAATGCAAAGTCCGCGCGATTCGAGCAAAAAGCTTTCCTTTCCTCTCTCAAACGAATGTCGCCGCGATCGACTCGTGATGCCAGCCAGGCTCTCACTCCTTCTTGACTTCTTTCTCAACCGAGGCACATGTAACCTCCTGCTTTGCAAGCATCGATTGCAGGGCCTCTTTATCGTCAAGTCTCCACAAGTCCACGCCACGCGCAGTCAAGAAAGTCGCCGGCATAGCTCCAGTCGTGCTATCATCGACTGGCTGCGAGGCAGCATGATTTGTTCCTTCGCTTTGCGGCGGCCAGTCTTTCTGCCAAGGCTGATCGCGTTTGACCTCTTGATTGTTTGTCGGACTCATTTCTACTTCGGTTGTGGTTAGTCAGTGGTCCAAACCCCGAAAATCTTGGGAGCTGCTGCTCATTCATACTCAGATGTTTGGAGGATGTGAGCTTTTCGGTTTCAGTGTTGTGTGGTTTGATTATGGTATTCTAAGGCAAGATTAGGAATGAAACTATGCGATTTTCTTTTGATTTTCTTCAAATCTATATACTAACTATATATACAAGCAACCCCGCTTTCGTCTTTGAGGAGTTTTGATAATAAGGATCCATCAGTCGGCGCTGGCATCCACACGTTTCCTGAACGCAGCACGCCATCCTCGTCGAGTCCACGGGAATAGCTTCGAGGGAAATTTCCGAGCGAAGTTGAGCTCGTTGTCCAATCGCCGCTATGCCTTTTCTCTACATTCACTTACATGTACCCCAGACAGACCGGTGAAGGACTCTAGTCCAGACATAGCTCCTCATTGGTCTGCAAGCGCCATGCAGCCTTGGCTTGATTAACCGACCTGCAAGGCAATGATGAGGTACCTACCTGGCACATTTCTGCCTTTGTCGTGCATACGTAGGCAACAGGAAACGACTGTCCGCATCGATTATTTCGAGACGCTGGCGGTAGAATAGTGATTGGTTCTCCGCAACAGGCCCTTTCATTCAGCTGTGCCGAGCAATGTTTTTTTATATATCTTTTCAGATGGATGTTAGTTACTGAGTCTTGTGTACTTGTTGCATCGTTAGAGAGAGAGGGGTGCAGTGCTTACGCTGCACGTCCTGCGATCATATAAAGAGTGCTCGCCTTGCTTCTGCACCTGCCCACTACACCACGATCTAGCATCATCCGAGGCAAACAGTTAGGCAAAGTTTGTGTGAGCTGCGGCATTAAGTAGGAGCTCTCTTGATTGACGTCTAGGGACAGCAATCTTTGTGGGCATGGGAGGTACTGTACCTTGGCGCACTCTTGGCTATGCATATGCGTATGCGTATGCTTAGCGACCCAAACCCTCACGAAGGTCCTAGAATAATCGATAGACCCTCATCCGACGTCCCGGGCGAGTCGCGAATTGCGAGACAGAACGTTTCTGATGGGCCGCGACGGGAGTTGCATACAGGCGCCATAGATGTTGAATACTGAATACTCTTAATTGCGTTTAGGTTGAGAATGCCAAGAACCTCGTGACCGCGATGCCTGTCTATACTGTTTCTTAGTAATTTGGTCGATAGAGTGCAGTTATCCTTACACCGCCTCGAAAATGGCCCTTATAAGCGGTCTACTACTAGAGATAGCATATATTATCGCTATAGTCTACGTTGCTAGTAACCTCTTACTACTATATTACCTTATAATAGCGCTAAAGCCGAAGAAAGTACCGTCGGCGGCTCGAGCGAGTCGATTACGTAAACTAGTCGAGAAGGAGCTTCCGGCTTATAAGGAGGCTATTAAAAGGCGCGAGTCGCCGAAGAAGGAAAAGGCGAAGATAGTAAAGAGGTCGGCGGTAGCGGAGGCAGCTTTAAAGAAGTTTAGTTAGGCGCGCGTATTTAATACTTAGGCGTATAGAGAATTCTCGGACCTCTTATTAGAGCGCGCGTCGATAGTAGTTAGTAATAATAATAGTAACGGCGGTAGTAACGGCGGTAGTAAGAAGGATATAGAAGGTAAAGTCGCGCCTAGCGAGTTAACGACTATAGGTAAGGCGCCTAGCAATTAGCTAGCGCAACGGCTTATAAACTAGAGGTTAATAGATAAAGGAGATATTAAGACTGCCTCGTCCGACTCTCGTAACGACCTTTACTATAAGCAGTATTAGCGCCTTCTTAGCGGCAACTAGGTCCTTAGAACTAAGAATAAGGAATAGTATAGTGCCGCTACTTAGCCTACTAAAGATGCTTTCTACTAGGCAGTTAATAAGGCTAAGAAGCAAGGTCTCTTTATTAGAAGCTATATACTAGTCGTATCCGCTACGAGTATAAAGAAGGCGGATTAGTTCTACTAAAGTTAGAAGCAAAGTAGTAAGTTAAACGGCTATTCGAAGAGCGTTTCTATACTAATCTCTCCTAGCTAAGGATTATAGTAAAGCACTTAATGCCGCTCTTGAATTTGAATACGAAGGTCGAGATAAGGTCCGTATTAATATTAAGTTCAAAACAGTAGCGAAGGACGCCCTCGCTAGCGCTATTCTTAAAGTTAGCAAACTAAAGCTAAACGACTAACAAGCTATAGACGGTCTTGCCTATATTATAGAAGAACGAAGGTCTAGTAACTATAAGACTAAGCTCTAAGCTAACTATATATATACTCTTAGCACCTGTAAGAACTATAGCGGCTACTGCTATTATCCTAAGAATACGCTAAATACGGAGATTTATTATTACTAGTTCTATACCGAGGCTTTAAACCTATAGTCTTACGCTCTTGCTATATAGCAAGAAGGAGTTAGTCTTAAGAAGCCGCCGGAGTTAGCTTTTATAAAGATAAAGGATTATAAGGACAAGATATTAAGTAGCAAGCTAAAGGGCTCTACTAGTATGCTTGCTAATTTAAAGATAGTAGAGCTTCCTTAAACACTAGCCGTTTAACGAGGCCGTAATAACATTAATCCTAGTGCTATTGTCCGAGAGACTATATTGAGTCTGCTTCCGGTCCTTCGTAGATAACTAGCCGCCGCCGAGCCTGCCGTTATACTACCTCCGGCTATTATAGAAGAGTCTCCTATTCTAGTCCGTATTGTAGCACAGATTAGAACGCCTATCTTAAGCCTTACTCGACAGTTCTTTAAGTATACTATATAGTAATACGAATAGTCTAATCTAGAAGAAGTTAGAGACTTTAAGAAGATTGAGTTATACTTCCTTGCTAAGAAATAGGACTGTAATCAAATAATGCGTGTCTCTAAGAAGTACTAGAAGGAAGAACTTAGCTTCTTTAAAGGCTATAGACGACGGTTGCTTAATACATTAAAGCGCTTTTAGAAGATTAAGTTATCTAAGAGGTTAGAGAAGTAATAGGTTTAAATAATAATAACGACATTAATAACGGAGCAACGGCTATTTTCTTTAGTTTAGATTAGTATAGAGTTTATATAGGAAAGGGAAACAAAGTAGCTTATTAATTGCTCCGTTGCGTATGTCTTAATTATCGTTGCCGCCCTTCGAGTCCTCCGCTAAAAAGTAAAGTTTGTAAGCGGAGCGCTTAGCGCGGGGCTTAGTATTCCGCACTATCCCTTCGAAATTCGAAAACATCCGCTATACTACTCCGACTATTATAAAATTGATAGCGGAGCTTCTATTAGACATTATCTTAATATTGCGCATTTTTAATAGTATAATTTAGTCGTATAGTAGTAGTATTCTGCCGCTTAGAGGTATAGGTTGTTAAGCTCAAAGCCTAACTTAGTTGCTTCGTCGTTAAACACGCTATTAACGTTATAACCGCTATGTTTAAAGAGTCCGGTTATATTAAGGCTAGCTATATACTTAAGAGCCTATCTAAGGAAGTCGGCAAAGCACTTAAAGTCCTTCTATAGGTGCTTGTTCTTCTTAAGCTATCTTTTAAGCATTGCGAAGGTCTATTCTATTAGGTTAAGGTCTAGCGAGTATAGCGGCAAGTACTCTAATCTATAGCCGGCTAACCGTATTATCTCTTCTACCCTATCGCTATAGTAGATTAAGGCGTTGTCTATTATAAAGATTATCTCCTAGCCCTTAACGAGAGGTAGTACTTTATTTTCTAGCTAGTCGTTAAAGGTAACTTAATCTACGGCGCCTTCTATATAAAGAGTACAGTTAAGATAGCTATTAATCGTTAAAGCCGGCAATACTAAGGTACGTCGTTGTCTTTGCGCGTACTAGAAATCGTAGCAATCTATACCTCTTAGAGACTAACTATATTTCTAGTAAGCAGTCTTCTTATTAGAGGCCGTCTCGTTAATAAAGACTAACTTATTAACAGGCCATTTCTAGCTCCTAGTATGCTATACGGCTCTTGCTATCGGATTGCGCTCCTTCGCGATATGCTTTAACTATTTCCGAGTCTATTCGAGCCGATTAGTAAGCGTACGCTAAACACTCGAAGGATACAGTTCTACGCTAAATTCATTATATAACGCTATATACATCTCTTTAAGGAATAAGTCTAGTCGATTAGATAGGTATTCCTTTAACTATACGTCTATCTCCTTCGTTATCTTTTATAAAGGGCTATGCCCTAGGTAGAAAGCGCTAGCCTTAGGCATTCGGCCTACGCGACTCTAACCTACTACTTAGCGCTTAGCGCACCGTACAAAACTATTCGGATTTACGTAGATAGACTTAGCTCTTTATCGAACCTATTAAGTCTTATATCTAGTATCTACGTACGCGTTGCTTATCCGTAATATTAGGTTCGATCCTTAATATAGGAAACGCTAAGGTTTATTAGGAACCCGAGTAAGATAGCTAGGGGAACGCTGCCCCTACCGTACTAGAGATAACTAGGGACGAGATTTATCGTGCCTTCGAGAGTCTCTATACTAGATAGTAGACGATAGAAGCCTAGCTATAAGCTACTCGTTCCGCGCTCTAATACGCGGAAGCGTCTCGCTAGCCCGGGCCTTCCGAAGCTAGTTTAGTACGAGACTAGTCTACGAACGAGATCCTAAAGGGACTGCTAGAAACTCTCTCGGCTTCCGGCTAAAACGTAACGGCATCCCGCGAGTAGAAACTACTATCGTAGGATAGGAAAGCCGAGTCGTTCCGGGACTACCTACTACGACTAAGAAGTTCGTACCGAGTTCGTTCCGGGCTAAAACTAAAGCTCTCCGAAGATTATTACTAGGATACCGTATACGATACTCTGCCGGTAAAGGAACGCGCTAGGATACGCTACTTCTAGGAAAGAGGAAGCCTTACGAAAGGAAAGGACCCCGAAGCTTTCTTCTAGTAACTCGAGGACGTCTTCGCGGATAGTAACGAAGCTATAAAGGCGCTAGAGCAACTCTAAGCCCTAAGGCACTCCTAGGGACAACCTTAGTACAACTACTAGCTAGAATTCGACGGCCTCCTACTAAGCGTAAGCGGAGACCGTTAGATAGACGATACGAAAATCGGGTATCTAAAGAACACCTTCTCGAACGCGGCTAAGACCTATACTACCGCCGTACTAAAGATTAAGGATTACTACC